ATTCTTATATGGGGCGGAGACATGGACTCTAAAGAAGGCTGATCGAAGTCGAGTCGACGCGTTTGAGATGTGGTGCTGGAGGAAAATGCTGCGGATTCCCTGGACGGGACATGGGACAAACGCATCAATCCTGGAAGAACTGGGTGTCTCCACAAGATTCTCCACCACTTGACTACGTAGGATTTTCAAGTTTTTCGGTCACGTTGCGAGGAAAAAGGGTGACTATCTCGAAAAACTACTCATCACCGGCAAAGTAGAAGGAAAGAGGCCTAGGGGGTGTAGTCCCTTGCGCTGGTCCGATCAGATTAAGACTATTTTGGACTCCAGCATCAATGACAGTATCGACTGCGCGGAGGACAGGAAGGAATGGAGGAACATAGTCCTAACAAAAGTGCTCCGTAAAGGTCACGACCCTCAGCACTGAGGAACACGACGTACGGAGGACGGAGGAATATATTTTAATATTTATTGTACGTTGGTCTAGTGTTAAGCAAACTTAGCACTGTACCATCAGGTCCGGATTCAATTGGTGCTTGTTTTGTGTGTTAACATCAAAGAAGGTAATATTTGCTCAGAACCCTTGAAGTGTATACTGCTAAACTTGATAACATTACTTTTGACTTCTTGCATTACGTGAATTCTCAATTATGTTGCATAACTACTATCCCACCGTTCAAACTGGAACGCATGAATACTTCACAGCAGAAATTGTTGTTCACTGATGGTGGGGCGCCCTGAATAGTAGATGATACCACCGTCCCGCCTATTTCTGCCGTGAAGCAGTAATGCGTTTCGGCTTAAAACAACATGGGGCAGCCGTTGTACTATAGAAAACTGAGACACAGAAGTCATGTCTTTTTTTTATTGCTTAGATAGGTGGATGGGCCACAGCCCACCTGGTGTTAAGTGGTTACCGGAGCCCATAGACATCTACAACGTAAATGCGCCACTTACCTTAAGATATAAGTTCTAAGGTCTCAGTATACTTACAACGGCTGCCCCGTCCTTCGAACCGAAACGCATTACTGCTTCACGGCAGAAATAGGCGGGGTGGTGGTACCTACCCGTGCGGGCTCACAATTGGTCCTACCACCAGTAGAAATGTGGGTGGCGGTATTTACGTTGTTGATGTCTGAGCTCCGGTAACCACTACACACAAGTTGGGCTGTGATTTCGCCAACCAATTTAAGCAATAAACAATAACATACACCCGGTACTTAAATATCTAATTCAAAAAACGCGCGTTCACATTAATACATTGTATATTAGTAAGATACGTACACTGTTATTTTGAAAAATTCGTAAAAATAGTAGTGAACTTTATGAGACACATAAAACGGATTAACTATTCCCGTATTACGTGTTAAAAGCAATAAAAACCGTTTAATACATCGATCAACAAGATAAAGTGATATTCGAGAAGGTTCGGGGGAGCCTCGGGGCTGTTTAGGGAGCGAAGGGGAAGGTGAATGTAAATTGAAACGCGATTGTGAAGTGGTTATTCTTAAATCTTTCGATATTCAAAATTAGAAAAATACATAATTATTATTATTTTTTACCTAAGCTGATAGACCTGAGAGGCTATTTCAGCGTAACCTTTAGGTGAGCTCACGGGGCTCAAACCTGACAACGTTGCTCACACGAACCTTAGCAAGAGCCGTGCTTCGCAGAATCTAGCACCAGATCGGAAACGCGACCCACTGAGAAGATCCGGCGAGAAACTCAGTGGGCTATAATTATAATAAGTGAATCTATACTAATAATACATAGATACTGCATATAAAGGGTTTTGAAAACTTTTATTAGTCTTTGTGATTTGACTCGATGAAACAGAATGTACCTTCGAAAAGCGACGCTAAAAGAAGATTGGATATGAATACCTGCGATCGAAAATAGAGAACCTAGGTATGGAGCGGTCACTGTCGCCCTAGACATCAGCAATGGATTATCCCTGAAAGAGCCTTGTAGGAAGCACCGTGGAGGGGAGTTAATTTCGACTCACACAGTCGTCAACGCAAACCAATAAAGGATCCCTTAGTTTATGTCTCGAAGTTACCCGAACAATTTATACCACGGAGTATCTATGCATATTCCGTTTTATGTTGTTATTTACTGCTGTCGATGCCATACGCAACTTATTATAATTGTTTACTGTCGCTCGGGGATGTCAACCGCGCCCCGTCAGTTTGGACACGACTCGTCGCAAAAATAATAGTTGATAAAACGAAAAAAGTATTTTATATGTATCGAGCGATATCATAATATATTCATAAGAACAGCATGTATTCACTACTTTAAAAACTCACCTGAGAATTATCTGTAATATTATATTGTATCATTAAAAAATATTTAAAAGTAACATTTGACATTGACGCCAAAAGTAAAACATTTTATTTTATATATTATTAGCGAACCGCCCTCGCTTCGCTTCGGAAACTGTAATTTATTATTGATTTCTCCACTATTTAATGGATGTTATTATACATATAAACCTTTCTCTTCAATCACTCTATCTATTAAAAAAACCGCATCAAAATCCGTTGCGTAGTTTTAAAGATTTTAGCATACATAGGGATGTAGGGACAGAGAAAGCGACTTTGTTTTATACTATGTAGTGATACACGCGCATAGTATACGGGAGTTTTTTTTTTTGCATAGATGGGTAGACGATCTCACAGCCCACCTGGTGTTAAGTGGTTACTGGAGCCCATAGACATCCACAACGTAAATGCGCCACCCACCTTGAGATATAAGTTCTAAGCTCTGAGTATAGTTACAACGGCTGCCCCACCCTTCAAACTGAAACGCATTACTGCTTCACGGCAGAAATAGGCAGGGCGGTGGTACCCACCCGCGCGGACTCACAAGATGTCCTACCACCAGTAAAAAACAACAGTGTGACAAACAACTGACCAAACTCTGTATCAACAGCATCAAAATTGTTTACGAAAGAACATTCTGGCACAACCAAGAAACGACCAGCATTACATAAGTTCTCGCCCTTAAACTTCGTTGTACAATTACGTCCGCTACCACAATCGACTTTGAATGCTGCGTCACACTTAAATAAATTTATTTAGACGTACAATTGGAAGCATGTTTAGTATTTAATATGTCTAGACTAAACCTAATAAAGTGAACGAAGTTTATGTATTGTAATTTTCGTTCTTCATATTATCAATATAGATATTAATACGTAAAGCAAAAACTTTGTTACCCTTTTTACGAAAATTGCGCGGACGGAGGAGTACGAAATTTCCCACAGTTAGAGAATATAGAGGAGTGCAGAATGCTAATATTTTTTTTAAATTATGCATTTATAATATGTATCAATAAAAAAAGCATTACACATACTACCATGTATTTGACACACACATATATACTCTTTGTTTATCGACAAACTTTTGTTATTGCATAAAGTCGAGAATAGGTTAATATTGTTTGTCTTATTACTTGTCTATAGTGTAGTCTTGGCGAAATCTGTGATTATAGAAGTATAATAGTTTTTGACAATAGAACCTTAATAATGTTAAAACTTATAATTTAAATTAATTATGGTCGAATTTCGACTATTGAGGGACCATTAGTAATACATAGTATGGTGTGTAGTATTGCAGTAAATTTGGCACTACGAGATCCTCTTAACGAAGACGACTGTAACATAGTTTTATGACTAAAATTTCTGTTCTTCAAAGAAACAAACTTTTTACGTTGGAGTGTCATATTTTTTTTTATTGCTTAGATGGATGGACGAGCTCACAGCCCACCTGGTGTTAAGTGGTTACTGGAGCCCATAGACATCTACAACGTAAATGCGCCACCCACCTCGAGATATAAGTTCTAAGATCTCAGTATAGCTACAACGGCTACCCCACCCTTCGAACCGAAACGCATTACTGCTTCACGGCGGAAATAGGCGGGGTGCTGGTACCTACCCGTGCGGACTCCCAAGAGGTCCTACCACCAGTGATCCTACCTACCATAAATAAATTGTTTATCAATCGAAATGTCTCCTCGAGATATTACCACAACCTGCTCACCATCAGTCCCATGCCTGTCATTAACTGGTACTAGTAAATTTTATGAGCTATTTCGGTGTTTAATTTAGATTTCGATCGCTATATTTCTATGAGTTCCTAGTAAGTCTATAACATCAGTATTGTTGTGTCTGAAAATCTACTCTTCACCACTTCACCGACGATTTTTTTATAGAACAAAATACATGAATACAGACTATTTTTAGCAAGTTATTCATTTTATATTGAAAACAATTGACTAAGTAAAAAATAAAAATGTTGAATAATCATTAAAAAATAATTATTGAATGAAACTAACTGTAGAATTAGTTATTTGTAGCATAGGCGGATGAACGAACTCACGACCGAGCTGTTGTTATATGGTCACCGGAGCTCATAGACATTTAAACGTGAATACCGCCCTTGAAACTTGAGGTCAAATTCTACTGGATAGAATAAGAGCTATGCCACTCTTTAAAACTGCTTGATATTGACAGAGTGGTGGTACCTATTACGTGCGGAGTGCACACTTTTTTCCCTACCTACTCTCGCTGATAGCCTAAGAGGCTATTCCAGCTACGCCCGGGCGGGTAGGTGAGCTCACAGGCTCAACCTAGAGAATTTGATAACCGCCTAGCAAAACTAGTGCTTCGCAGAATCCACCACCGGATCGGAATCGCGACCTACTGAGAAGATTCGACGAGAAACTTAGTGGGCGGCACACATTAGGCTCTGCCACTACTAAATATGCTTTAAATTTCAATAAGCATGCCTGTTTAATTGACATCTGTTGAAGTATTGTGATGCTTACGTATGGGTGTTTGAGATTGTTTAGAATGGTATTGGTATTATAAGTTATCCTTACCGAAACAAAAATGTTATCTATAGTACTCCTCAATTTGAACAGAAATATACTACGAGTATAATACCGAACCTAATGATCTTATATAACTTACGTATAATAAATTTGACTTTTGTTGACAGACAAGATGGGGGTGCCGAACGAGAATGACGCCGACCCGGGCGTTCCAGATATGACTATGATGCCACAGATTACCGAACAGGCCATCAACGACAACCTCAAGAAGCGGTATCTTCGCGACCTTGTATATGTATCCTTTTCGAGAAATACGAGATGGGAATTTTGATGGGATATAACTTTTCGATTCTCAAATATCCCTTTTTTTTGGAACAGCGTTGTCGTTGCGAATGACAACGATTGACAATTCTGACATTTGGAGTTTTGAATTAGCTACAACGAAATTAATGTTTCATTTTAATTTGTACTAGAGATCCCCCAGTAATCGAAATTCGACTATAATTAATTGGAATTTTAAGTTTTTACACTATTATGATTGTATTTTATACTTATATAATCACAAATTTCGCCAAGACTACACTATAAAAATATTAACAAAGACAAACAATATTTAATCTATTCTCAATTTGACAACAGACGCCAAGAACAAAAGTTTGACAATAAATAGTATGCATGCGTGTGTGCGTCAAATACATGGTATGTAGTGTGTGTAATGTTTTCTTTATTGATTTAATATATCTTTTATGCATTATTTAAAAAAAAGATTATCATTGTGCACTTCTTCTCTATATTCTCTATAAGTGTGGAAAATTTCATACTCCTCCGTCCGCGCAATTTTCGTAAAAAGGGATACAAAGTTTTTGCTTCACGTATTAATATATAGATTCTAGCCAAATATTGTAACTGTAATTTTAAATACTTGATAAAATGCTCTTGTTCTTAAAATTAGCAAGCTTTTCTATGTCATTATAATTTAGTATTACATTTTTTTACAAAATGAAAGAAATTTCAAAAGGTTCCTTGACTCATGAGCGCAGACATACACTGGCTCAATTCTGGTCGCAGTCAATCCCTACAAGGAGTTAGGATGCTACACAATGGTAAGTGACGATAACATTGTGTTAATTAATTAACAAAAGACAAACAAAAAAGTATGTTCGTTCTTTCAGAGCTATTAACACCTCGTCATTAACATACAATAGTTCGTCACTTTCTATGTGTTTATATTTTCCTGTGAAAAAGATGTCACGTTTTTTCACAAGATCTATTTTCCAGCAGCAAAAGGCTCAACTGATTCTATGTAGGCTTTCAAGGAACTACTCTAGAAATTGTCATACTGCCATTTAAAATACGTGAAATTTATAGTTTTCTTTACTGTTCAATATAATATGTACCTACTACTTAATGCGTCAAATCAAATTTATTTGGGAATCAATAATGTATTAGATGAAAAGATCTACGACATTGTCTGTTTCATTCTATTCGCACAAATATTTGAGGAGTGCACACAAATTTGGCGAGGATCCCGACTCCAATATCGAAATGTACAAACATGATGTTTTGTGTACACAGGAACATATGCAGAACTACAGGAATAAAACCTTTGGGACAATGCCGCCCCATGTGTTTGCGTTGGCCGAATCCGCTTACAGCCTCTTGCAAGTATGTCAAACTTATTTACTTTTATTAAATTGGCAACAATACGTCAACTTAGTATCATTTTTTTATTAATGGATTTTATGACCTGGTAACTAAGACCTTTAGGTCAAGTCTTTATTTTAATTTTAATGAAAACTTTTTATATGAAAAATGATATTAAGAAATGAAATGATGTTGATTAATATGAAACATGGCATGAAATGAAATGAAAACCAAATGAATGAGATGATATGGGATGAAATATAATCTCAGTAAAATGGTGGTCATTTACTGAGATTTTTTTCAATGGACTTTTTGGAGGATCCCGGGAAGCTACTTTCAGCGGCTTTGTTTCATTTTCCTATATTTGTGCACCTTCACAGATACTAAATAGTTAGGGATCCACCGTTATTACACATTTAAAGCTGAAGAAACATTAAATAGACAAAATAAAACAAATCACACAACTTCACTCCTCGCATTCCCGCCAAAATTCCAATTTAGTGTCAGAGTTCATGGCGGGAACGCATGTAGAGATGATGATTATGTGAATCGTTTTATCTTTTAATCACGGTGACTTATTTACTGTTTAATATCTGTAAAAGTGAATAAAATGATCAATATCGTCTTTAGTGGCGTCTTGGTTTTTTCAGAAAAGTCTGTAAATTCTCACAATTTCGCTGGAACACTATTTCATCGTATCTCATCTTGTTTCATTTAAGTTTATTCAATCTCATCCTGAAATCAATTTTGTATAAATCTTCATTTATTATATTCTACTTCATTTAACTTTTTAGATTGCCAATTAGATAAATGACCAAAATAATCTAAATAATTACATTGTTTACCATATTTCTGCAAATATAAAGACGGATTTAATATGTGCTGTCTGTAACAATACGTTTTCGGTTTGGACCAAAATTACTGAAGCTAAAAAAATTTTCTCTTAGAAAAATGAATCAGGTGTCACATGTTATTCACGGTTACCTAAAGTGATTCATCCGTTTTGTCTCGAATGTAGATTAGTAATTACTTGTAATTACAGTAGTCACGACTATGACTATGACGTACTCAAGGTTGCGAAATATGTTCTTAGCTATTATAGAAAAATGGCAACTACTTTTAAAATAACAAACAAACATCATCGATACAGTACTTACTATGAGACGAGTATCTTAGCTATCCATAGATTAACCGTGCGGAAGGTGCCGAGTCCATTGTGTTGTTCAGAGAGTTGAAAAATGCCAGTAGACTTGCGATGCTGGTGTAGGCCCCTATTAATGCGCATATTACCCTCACCTCCATTCTCCGCATTCCTCTCTCTGCCAAACAAATGCTTGTAATAAACTCTCATATATCCGTTTGCAGCGATTTGGCTGGCATTATTCGTCTGTCTAAAGGGCCTAAAAATCGTCACATCTTGAAACATCGAGCGTATTCAAATTCATGGTGGTCTAAAAAAAAAGACATTTGATGTTCTCGTATCGAGTGATGTGGCTATAATTAGGTCACAATCTCGCAGAATAGTACCAATTATTTTAAAGGATTATGAACCTAAAATACGTCACTAACGACTTCAAAGATGAAGGAGTAGTATATTTTAATCCAAATAAAAATCCCGCAAAATTATTATAAAAATGTTATTCATGTTTGAAAGTTTGGATAGCACAGTAGACCGAACTCTTGTTTCAAATTCAGTCGTATTCACCGTGTGATATCTATGGCTTTCGGTAACACCCCGTAAAACTTGAAGTCATACCCCAACTAGTACAATAAAGAGTCATATGAAGCAAAGCTGCAAAAATGATGACGAAAATTTTCGCTGAACTAAGACAGTCGGTAATTTATATTTCCTGTTCGTAGAATGGAGAAAAAAATCAATCCGTCGTGATATCCGGCGAGAGCGGTGCCGGGAAGACGGAAACAACGAAACTAATACTTCAGTATCTGTGCGCTGCTGGGGGACAAGCTTCGTGGGCTGAACAACAAATCTTGGAAGCGAACACAGTTTTGGAGGCTTTTGGTAAACAAACGCATACTGTACAGAAACAGAAATGGTAGCTTTCTTGACGTAAAGTTTGTTCAAGGTCCAAATGTTTAACTTGACATCAAGATTTACAATATCTATATATTAATACGTGAAGCAAAAATGTTGTACCCTTTTTACGAAAATTGCGCGGACCAAGGAGTATGAAATTTCCCACACTTATATAGAATATAGAGAAGGACTGCAGAATGTTAATATTTTTTTTAATTATATATAAAAAATCATTAAATCAATAAAGAAAACATTACACACACTACCATTTATTTGACACAACACATACACACACACACATATACTTTGCGTTTATTGTCATACTTTTGTTATTGTTGAAAATCTGTGGTCAAATTGAGAATAAATTAATATTCTTTGTCTTTAATACTATTTACCTATAGTGTAGTTTTGGCGAAATCTGTGATTATATTAAAGAAGTCTGTTTGACAGTAGAACCATAATAATGTTTATAAATAAAATTTCAATTATTTATAGTCGAATTTCGACTTCTGCGGGACCACTAGTATTTTTTAATTACCATTGACTAGATCATAGAGTTTATCGTGAACATTCCTCACAGGTAACGCAAAGACTGTTCGAAACGACAATTCATCAAGGTTCGGCAAGTTTGTTGAAGTGCGACTCGACCATCGCGGCAGTATCCGAGGTGCCGTACTGAGAGACTTTCTGTTGGAGAGGGCCAGAATAACGGGTCCCGCGCCCAGGGAGACTAACTACCATGTGTTTTATCAACTGGTCGAGGGGGCCAAAGTAAGTTTTCGAGACGACACAGGAAACCTTTCAAAGTTGATGTTTTAGATTTCAAAACGTAATAATTTCTGGGTAATTATGTCTGAAAAATGTTGGATCATTGTTAACGTATCTAAAAATCATAGCATAGAAACGGTACATATGAAATTAATGATTTTCATAAGATCATTCATTTTACTGGTGGTAGGACCTCTTGTCAGTAGGTACCACCCTGCCTATTTCTGCCGCGAAGCAGTAATGCGTTTCGGTTTGAAGGGTGGGACAGCCGTTGTAACTACACTTGAGACCTTAGAACTTGTATCTCAAGGTGGGTGGCGCATTTACGTTGTAGATGTCTATGGGCTCCAGTAACCACTTAACACTAGGTGAGCTGTGAGCCGGTCCAACCATCTCAGCAATAAAAAAAAATGTTTTTTCTTGCTACAGCACAATAATGAGCTGCGGAACACGTTACGCTTACGACAAGAAGTTCACTTCAAATACCTTCGGCCTGAAGATGAAGAGGCCCACAGAGGCCGCGGAGGGGAACAAGGGAAGCTCGAAGCGCTGCAACTGGCGTTGACTGTACTCCAAGTTCCACCTCACATGTGCGAGGGGCTGTTTAAAGTTTTGGCTGCCGTTCTCTGGCTGGGGAACATTCAGTTTCAGGTATGTATGAAATAATTTAGGAATAAATAGCTGGTGGTAGGACCCCTGTGACTCCGCACGGGTAGGTACCACCACCCTACCTATTTCTGCCGTGAAACAGTAATGCGTTTCGGTTTGAAGATTGAGGCAGCCGTTGTAACTATACTGAGATCTTAGAACTTATATCTCAAGGTGGGTGGCGCATTTACGTTGTGGATGTCTATGGGCTCCGGTAACCACTTAACACCAGGTGGGCTGTGAGCTCGTCCAACCATCTAAGCAATAAAAAAAAAATGGTAGTAAGAATGGTATTATGCTGTATTGAACCAGAAAAGTCTAATTTGTATTACAGGTGATTTCTAAAACTAAATTACAATAGGCATCCGCATTGTTACGCACTGGAGCTCGGGATAAATAAAAACTTTCACCGAAGTATAAATTAAAATTCATTTTGAATATTACCACACTCGAGGTAGATTTCAATTATCGCAATTCACTTCTTTCGCTTCGAGTAGAACTGATTAATAACTAACGAACTTCGTGTCAACGTTGCAGAGTCACACATGTCTACAATTTTCGTACTAGTTGTTTTCACATCCGTGTCTGCTATTTGGTAACAGATGACGTTACTCGTATCAACATAAAAATATTGATTATAGCTACCTGTTCCGTAATACCGATAAAGGAATTAAATCGAGGAAGTAATTGCAAATTCTGGTGTAATCATTGAAAATTCTCAGTTTATTTATTGTATAACAATAAAAATTAGCATTTTATTGTGATACAATAAATACGAACACGTCCAAATAATAATTCAATTGAAATTATAAACGTGATTATCGGATAGGCTAGATGTTTCTTATTTTTTTCTAAATTCACAAAATATTTGTTTTTAAATTAGAATAACACATAGACTATAATATATATTAGTAGTACTATTAACGTACGACGATTAATTAAGAATTTACGAAGATTAATGCGTGCACATACCTAAAGTCTTGTAAATAGTTCACTACAGGGAAATTTTAAGTGTTCTCACAAAATTACATATAATCTTGGCAGGATGTTGACGGTGAGCGGTCGTCTCTTGCGCCCGAGGACTCTGAGGCGGTGGAGGCGGTCGCCAGCCTGCTGGGCCTAGCGCCGCCGACCGCAGAGCGAGTGCTGCTCGAACGACAGATCAACGTGCGGGGGAACGTGACCGACATCCCGCTTAGATTACACGAGGTAACTAAATCTAATTCGTTGCTTTGTTTCAAATTTATGAGCTTACGTTGTCAACTACGTGAATGTTAAGCTGTAGTAATCGTTGTATACGTTTAAAAAAAATTGGTAAATACTACCCTCGAAAAATAGATATATTTATATAATGTATTGTTTTATTCGTATAAAAATAAAGTTTAGCCTAGTAAAACTAAAGCACAAACTGAGTTGTTCTATGAAGAGAAACAACATTTAAAGCTATTGCTTCACCAGTTTTTATGTTTTTTATATTTCAATATTCAAAAATGTTTTAATATTTCTAATGTTTCAATATTCAGATTATCATTTATGTCACCTTTATAACATATTAACCTCTTTTAAGATTTATGTAACAAATCATATAGTGGTTACATTTATATAAATATTTGGTGGGTGCTTTGAAATTGCCGCGTTCAAAGAGTAATGAGATCTCCGATATTTAGTTTCCTACTTGTAAATAATTACCAAACCATTACCATATCACTGGTGGTGAGACTTCTTGTGAGTCCGCACGGGTAGGTACCACCGCCCTGCCTATTTCTACCGTGAAGCAGTAATGCGTTTCGGTTGAAGGGTGGGGGCAGCCGTTCTAACTATACCGATACTGTCTTTGGGCTCCGGTAACCACTTGACACCAGGATCTATGCAATAAAAAAATTTAAAAAAAAACTTCTTATACCTAGATGATATTGTAATGCCTTGTAAGCAAGTTGTAATCCGCGGATTATTTCAGGCACGCGAGAATCGGCACGCGATGGCGCGCGCGTTGTACTCGCGCACGTTCGCGTGGCTCGTCCGGCACGTGAACAGCTGCTCGGCGCCGGGCCGCGAGGCTCCCCGGGCGCTGGGCGTGCTCGACATCTTCGGCTTCGAGAACTTCGCTTCGAACTCGCTGGAGCAGCTCTGCATCAACTACGCCAACGAGAAACTACACATGTTCTTCAATAATTACGTCTTCGCGTTAGAACAGGAAATTGTACGTCTTGTCTTTTTGTTTTTAAGTTTTTTTTTGTTTTTTTTATTGCTCTTGTAGGTAGACGAGCATATGGCCCACCTGATGGTGAGTGGTTACGGTCGCCCATGGACTTCAGCAATGCCAGGGGCAGAGCCAAGCCGCTGCCTACCACTTAATACTCTCCACAAGCCTCGTTTGAAGAAGGACATGTCATAACGCTCGGGAAACACCGTTAGTTAAGTCAGACTACGTTATACTATAGTGCCATATAGTATAGTAGCGTATACTTATCCAACAGTACAGTACAGTGTGAACATGCCCATAACAATGTATGGTGCGCGATATTGTTGTGCTATGAGCTATGTACTATATGCTATTATATTATAACGTAGTCTGAAAGCAGATTTGATCACTGTCTAGACAGGCAATTGAGTTAATCGAAATAATGAAAATTCAATTCAATTGAGATTTGGATTATACTAATTACGCTGACACTATTTATTTATTTATAGCAGAGTACCAATCACTTTACAATATGACCACTCATTCCTCGTTCCTTTTAATTTAACAAATCTATATTTATATTAAAATGTGGTCATATAGATTATTCAAAATTTTATGGAATTGTTAACGTCTATAAGTGACAGTAGCCCCTTACCATCAGTTGGGCCGTATGCTCGTCTGCTGACTTAGGCAATAAGAAAACCGTGCCGTAACTTAATGCCTTGAATCATCAAAAACAAATTATTAGCAAAAATCCTATTAAAAGAAAAACTAAAAAACTATCCTTAATTGTTTGTGCTTTTTTTCCATTACAGTACCGACAAGAAGGCATCGTTTACAATCAGATACAGTTCACCGACAATGCTGCTTGCCTCGAACTGTTAGAGAAACCACCGAGGAGTCTGCTCAAACTGCTCAGCGAACAATGTCATATGCCGAAGGTAAAGAAGATACAGTTTTTATTGTTCCGTTTTCTATGATAATTATTTCTACCTTGCTTTTGTGTATAATAATAAAAATATCTGACAAAATAATTGTACATAAAAACACGGGTGGCAGTCGGGGACCGCCGCGGTAAAGCATAGCACTTATTATAAACTTATGCAATTATAATTAGACAATGATAATAATTTAATATTAAAACTATAATAAAATAAGACCACGCTATATTTATAAACATTAACAAAAGCAAAACATTAACTGTCCCCTTCACACTCATAAGTTAGACCGCGCGAGAGAGAGATGGGCAGAGTTATCATGATGCTCATGCAGTGCGACGTCACGCCGCGCGCTTATTCACAAACACTACACAAGCGCAACGTGTGAATGTGTTGAACGCGAGCTACATTGTTGGCGGAGTGGGGGTGTTAGGTTTTGTCGTAACGGTATTTCTTGATTCCGTCGCCGCGCCGCAATAAAAGCTATGCAATAGCTTAAAAAAATTCAATATATTTGTAAAAATTTCAATTTCATTGTTAGGGCTCGGACAGCGCTTACCTAACTAATATACAAGGAGAATTCGGCGAACACCAGAGCTTCGTGAAGGGCTCCCGGAGGAAATGGGAGGAAGAGTTCGGGGTGCAACACTACGCCGGTACGGTGTCGTACAGCGTCCACGGTTTTGTCGATAAAAATAGAGATACGCAACAAGACGCCTTCATCGACCATCTAAGTCGTTCGGCGAATCCTTTCGTCAGGGAATTGGCTGATTACGTGCAAGACTTGGCACCTCCAGGTCATGTGAGTATTGGAAAATTTTATTTAAAATAACGGAAAATAAAAATGTTTTCTAAGACAATACGTACCATCACGAATAACTTCCACAAATCGAAGTCTTATAATGTAATAGTTAACATGTAATTAATTTATGCAGGACATGTCACTATCAAGTCCGAATTCAACTGGCACCACGCAGAGGGGCACGTCGAAGGGACGTCCTACTGTTGTCGATACTTTTAGAGCTCAACTGCAATCTCTAGTCGATATGCTACAAGCTACTGACGTTTGGTAAGATACGACGTTTCTGTTTCTAACCGGAGTTCTCTTAATCTTCTTGATGTTCTGTTTGTCCTATTATTCTTTGAAATGTTCCCTCTCAAAATTAAATAATACTCATAGAAAACTAAAAATAAAAAAATATCGATATCGTGTAATAAAATTTACATTGTTAGCTTTATCGCTGCCAACTTTAATTTCAAATATTTGTACACTATTACAAAAATGTATGTATTATATAATAAAAAACGGTGCGCGTGCAACTTGGTGCACGTGAATGAAGTGAAACTTCTTTTTCGCTGTGTAGTATTGTGGTTTTCTTCATTTTTTATCCTTAAATCAGTTTGCTCTTGTAATAGGCAATGCTGTGTATAAGAGATGCAACATCAAATAGATAGAAAAATAAATATTCATATATATATTTTTTAAATACTTCATTAAAATATTGGACGCCACTCGTTGCTAACGCTCGCGCTGGCCTCTTAACAGGTATACTACGCGCATGCGTTCGAGTGCCGCACGCATTCACTCTTGCTCTGTCTCTTTCTAGCAGGGCAGCCTGTTGGAAGTCGCATTAGAAGTTTCACTTCAACTAAAATAATTATGGCTTTTAGGTATGTCCGTTGCATAAAACCTAATGAAAAAAAGGAGGCCGGTAAATACAACGAGCAGCTCGTGCTGGAACAACTCCGGTACTTGGGCATGAACGAGATTGTGAGGATCCGGAGGGACGGGTACCCGGTTCACCTGCCGACCCCGATGTTCCAGGCCAGGTACAGGTGTTTACTGCCGCACCCGAGACCCAGCTGCCCGGATATCGCGTAAGTATTCATTTTGACTCATTCTCGATCGGACCCACTATTTCACTCAATAACTCACTAGCAACATTCATTGGTGTTAGTAAGTTTTGTGAGTCCGCGCGGGTAGGTAACACCACACTGCCTATTTCTGCCGTGAAGCAGTAATGAGTTTCGTTGTAACTATACTTGAGATCTTAGAACTGGTATCTCAAGGTGAGTGGCGGCATTTACGTTGTAGGTGACTATGGGCCCCTTTAACAACTTAACACCAGGTGGGCCGGAAGTTCGTCCACCCATCAAAGCAAAAAAACAACAATCTGCACAACACTTTGTTACAGTACTGCTTCAGTACTTTTTAAGAGATATTCAATGTTTTCTTTTTCGTGTTTGATATTAGTAGAAGGATAGTTTTATAACTATCCCAGTAGTAGTATGTATAGAATGTAACGAAAATATCTTTTTACGCACCACTTAATAACAAAAAATTGAGCTATCCATTTTGCTACATACCCTTTTTATAATTTAATAATATGGATAACAGACTCGATAAACGAATTCAAAATCTTTCAGAACAATAACAGCAATAGTAAATGCCACGAATACAGACTGGCAGATAGGGCATTCGAAGATTTTTATGAGGACTTCGGTGCACTCTCCGCTTGAGGCCAAGAGGACCGCGTTATTGCAGGCGTCTGCTTTGCTCATACAGAAGGTGAGTACATTTGATCCATGTAAACCTAACCTAAACATCAGCCCGCTGAGTTTCTCGCCGGATCTTCTCAGCCTGTCGCGATTCCGATCCGGTAGTAGATTCATTCGCGAAGCAGCTGCTCTTGAGTTGTTAGGTCTCCTTCGGAGGAGCTCGGGCAGCTGTTAGCAAATCTCTTGAGCTGAGCCCTTGCTCGCTCACCTCCCCTGGTAAAACTGAAAAGGCCTTCGAGCCACCCATAATCTCTCAAAATAAAAAATGAAAACCACACGAGAATGTGAAATAACCATATTTTAAACACCATTCCTTTTTAACATGTAGAACTGGATTTTCTAAAATAACATCAAAGTACGTATGGTAAAATGCTTTGCTCTGGAACACTTATAACATTATACACATATAATATTTTAAATTAACTTCTAGTAAGAAACTTTTTAACATGTAGTACTGGATTTTCTAAAATAACATCAAAGTACGTATGGTAAAATGCTTTGCTCTGGAACACTTATAACATTATACACATATAATATTTTAAATTAACTTCTAGTAAGAAACTTTTTAACATGTAGTACTGGATTTTCTAAAATAACATCAAAGTACGTATGGTAAAATGCTTTGCTCTGGAACACTTATAACATTATACACATATAATATTTTAAATTAACTTCTAGTAAGAAACTTTTTAACATGTAGTACTGGATTTTCTAAAATAACATCAAAGTACGTATGGTAAAATGCTTTGCTCTGGAACACTTATAACATTATACACATATAATATTTTAAATTAACTTCTAGTAAGAAACATATATTTGTCGGAGAAGCCACAATTATTAACACCATCGTCAGACATCGTAGGGGCGAATAGGGTGATCGAGCTAAGAGAAATATTGAGTGCACCAATCACGTTTGTTGTCTTAGAACAATTTAGAAATCTTCTCTTGACGTTAAGAAACGAAAACAAATGACAGTTCTTCAGAATGACGGAGCTACCGCTGTTCAAGAAGGCTGGTTGGTAAGTGAAATGGCGTCTACGCGCCTCCATCGGCTAGGCTCTGTCCTAGCCGAGGGGCAACGGCTGCCCCACCCTTCAAACCGAAACGCATTACTGCTTCACGGCAGAAATAGGCAGGGTGGTGGTACCTACCCGCGCGGACTCACAAATGGTCCTACCACCAGTAAATGATACCGCAATCGTGCTGCGTTTCGTTTAGCTACCAAACTAATGACCGTCTCCTATGTCTATCGATATATCTTATCGATATATATATAATCGACATCGGCTACATCGTCCCCCCCGCCCGCAGTGGTACAAGGGGAGCGTGCGGCGCCGCCACTACGTGCAGTGGCGGGCGGCGGCCGTGGTGCTGCAGGCGGCGTGGCGCGGCTGGAAGGAGCGCTACACGTTCCTGCGGCTGCGGCGCGCCGCGCTCACGCTGCAGCGACACCTGCGCGGAGCCTTCGCCAGGGAAGTGGCTGCGGCGCTCCGGGAGATGAAGAGGGTCAACCAGGAGATCAAACTGAGGGAAGAGCGCAACAGGTACTGATTTGACATCGAATATTTTGCACCGCCCGCCACCGGAGTAGAGTTCATCCATACTACCTGGAGCCACTGCGGTCATCCACAGTGCGTTTCCAGAGATCTTTTTTGCCACGTACCATCCGGCTATGGAATGAGCTCCCTTTCCCGAGCGCTATGACATGTCCTTCTTCAAACGAGGCTTGTGGAGAGTATTAAGCGGTAGGCAGCGTCTTGGCTCGGCTCCTGTCATTACTGGAGTCCATGGGCGACGGTAACCACTCACCATCAGGTGGGCCGAGTGCTCGTCTGCCTACAAGGGCGATAAAAAAATAAAATAAAACTGTCTCGACGTGTAATGTTGAGTGTCCAGGGTTTCAACTGGTTCTTATGTATTACACGATGAGACTGTAAGAAACTAATGCGAATATAAGGAGAATTTTGTAATAGCTCACCCCTTACTAATGCATTTCATATCGAAATTTGTTTATTAGTTAAACTAGTGGTACTTTTTTTTATTGCTTAGATGAGTGGAAGAGCTGACGGCCCACCTGGTGTTATATGGTTACTGGAGCCCATAGACATCCGTGAAGCAGTAATGCGTTTCGGTTTGAAGGGTGGGGCAGCCGTTGTAACTATACAGAGACCTTGGAACTTATATCTCAAGGTGGTTGGCGCATTTACGTTGTAGATGTCTATGGGCTCCAGTAACCACTTAACATCAGGTGGGCTGTGAGCTAGTCCACCCATTTAAGCAACAAAAAAAATCTGATACGGTTTGCCATTATACTTGTAACTGTATCAATCAATATTAACCTAACCCATACAGTCTCCAAGAGAAACAAGAGCAGGAGCGTGCCGAGCTGGAGACGATGGCGGACCAGCTGCGGGGGCTGTCCTGCGCCGCGACCAACCGGGCGGAGTCCGTGAACCTGGACAACTTGTTCGACTTCCTGGCCGACGTGCCCACGCAGCGGGGCGCGCCCGACGGCGAGCCGGACCTCAGGCAGCCCACCATTGCGGAGATCGGGGACTCCATGGAGAGGCTGGCTGATGATCTGCACCAAGAGGTGAGTGGGAGACATTCGTTTTTCAAATATCCAGATAATACTGGATACTAATAGATAATATTGGTGTCCAGACTTGAGTTAACTTTACCCCTCTTTGATTTTTAATAGCAAACTAGCTGACCTGGCAGACTTCATAGTGCCTCAATCAATAAATAAAGGACCTAAGCTTTTGTATAAAATAAAGTTAAAACAAACAAAAGGAATCCGTCCGACGAGGGACACATCAAAGGAAAAAAAAAATGTTTGTTTTTATATAATTCCGAGCATTTTCATATTTATCTACCTTTTAAACCTACTTTGGACTTCCACAAATAATTCAAGACCAAAATTAGCCAAATCGGTCCAGCCGTTTTCGAGTTTTAGCGAGACTAACGAACAGCAATTCATTTATATATATATATATATATATATATATATATATATATCCCGTAACTCTTTTGGCAACCTTTCATTTTCCAACCTTCTGACAACCACCACTTCTAATAAACTTAGAGCAAAATGAATCATGTATATTAACGTATTAACGAATATGAAACTGACTATGCAACTCTAAATTCACCTTGTTGCAATATTCTAGAAAATAGTAATATACCAATATCAATATTCTTCGCTGTACTTTTGACCACCAAGCCACATTGGTGTACTTACCCCATCCGCGTATATTTAAATATATTACTAATCAATTCACTACAGATAAGTCTACCGTTTCTTTGGAAATAAATTGGAACTCTGTATATTGTTCTGTATACCGAATTCATTCCTACAGACATCGGACAACCTCCCATTAGCGTGTACTTCTGACATGTTCACTTACTGACAAAATATATTACCATTCACAGGTCTTATAATTGTGAAAGCCATGTTCAGTCAATTATCAAAATTATAAAAATAATTTACTTAATGCCATAATTGTTCAGTAGGAGAAACAGGTACATTACTTTGAAAAATCTGCATTAAAGCTTAGCATAAAAATTCCTCGGGGAATTCTCCTGGGAAAAGACCTCGGGGGCGCAGCCCAATACGTTGGTCCGACCAGATCCGCACCGCTCTTGATTCCACGTTTCACAACGCCCTCCACACCGCCAGAGACAAGAATGGATGGAGAAAGATCGTGCGTGCGAAGGTGATACAAAAGGGTGGTCACGACCTTCAGCAATGAGGAATACGACGCAAGGAGGATAGCATAAAAATATTATAAGTAACTTTGCAGACACAATAAATGTGTTCTAACTTGTAGGCAGACAAGCATATGACCCACCTGATGGTGAGTGGTCACCGTCGCCCATGGACTTCAGCAATGCCAGGGGCAGAGTCAAGCCGCTGCTTACCGTTGAGTACTCTCCACAAGCCTCGCTTGAAGAAGGACAAGTCGTAGCGCTCGGGAAACACCATGGAGGGGAGCTCATTTTAAAGTCGGATGGCACGTGACAAAAAAGACCTCTGGAAACGCACTGTGGATGAACGCAGTGGCTCCAGGTAGTATAGATGAACTCTACTCCGGTGGCGGCCGGTGTAATAGTAAAAACGAAATTATGAGATCATCTCAAATAATTCCTCGGTACAAAATGCAGAGAGAAGCGAAGTCCCTCCGCAGAACCAGAGGTTCCAAACGATCCGTGAGAACGGGATTATCGACAATCCGAACGGCCCTCTTCTGTATGGAGTCAAATGGAAGTAGCTGGTATTTGGGAGCCCCAGCCCAGAGGTGGGATCAGTACTCCACGCGAGGCCGGTCTTGTGCTTTATAAAGCAAAAGTCTTTGTCCAGGCGTGAAGTACCGCTTCGCTCTTGGCCTCCAAATTACTCCGAAACTGGACATTGCTCGAAATGTCGACCCCAAGAATTCCGATACTCGTGGAAGGTTTTAGGGATACTTCTTGGAATTGTGGCACCACGACAAAGGTGTTCTTCTTCGCAGTGAACGCGTAAACCTGTGTCTCCAACGGGTTGAATTGAACTAAGTTCGATTCGCCCCAGAGAGTTCTCTACTTCAGACGCAAGTTTAGATCGTCTCTCTTGCACCACGCTCCGAGAAAGACATTGATGACTGATATATCGCGCATCCCCCGTGCTGTCATCTGCATAGCAATGCATGCCATCAATAGGCAGCATGTCATTGATGTACAGGATGAAAAGCGTGGGGAAGGGCACCGAACCTTGTGGAACGCCGGCGTTAATGGTCATGGTATCAGAGCAGCCACCGTCCGCTCCGCCCATACAAAAAACTAACGATACACTTGTAGTTTCGACAGAAGTGCCCTATACCAGACCCTGTCGAAGGCCTTGCGATATCGAGGCTCACAGCAAGACCCTCGCCCTTACACTCCAAGGCTTCAGCCCACCTGTGAGTAAGTTATACAAGAAGATCGCCGGCTAAGCGACCGTTACGGAAACCGTATTGTCGGTCACTGATCAGCTGGCGATCCTCAAGATACTTCAGGAGTTGTGTATTTATTATTCGCTCCATCACCTTGGAAAGCAAGGAAGTGATCGCGATAGACCTATAGCTCAATGGGTCCGACTGGTCACCCTTCTTGGGGATAGGGTGGACGTGGGCGGTCTTCCATTAAGACGGAACCCTGTTAGTACCTACCATACGAGAGGCGATATAAACGCGTTAGCGCAGGTGTTAACTTAGTGACGCACGTTTTCAAAACCACTGCAGGGATGCAATCTGGCCCACTCGATTTATGGACGTCCAGGGCTTGGAGCTCCCGTCTGACTGCACACTGTGTAAAGCAGATCTCAGGCAGAGAGCTACCACACCAGGGATGTTGGGTGGTTTTTTTTAATGTTTGAAAGACTACTGGTGGCCCGTAGGCATTTCCAGTTCCACCAGGACAGGTGGGCGAGCAAAGGCTCAGCCAGGAGGGGTGGGATTTCCTAACAACTGCCCGAGCGCCTCCAAAGGAGACCTAATAACTCAAGAGCAATTGCTTCGCGAGTGAATCTACTACCGGATCGGAATCGCGACCCGCTGAGAAGATCCGGCGAGAAACTCAGCGGGCTGATGCATGAGTTAGGTTGCACGTCGACCTCTTTGTCGAGTTCGACGAATACGGTTACCGGGGTCCCTAAGCCTGCTCCTAGTATTAAAGCTGAAGGCGTCTAATGCAAAGGTTATTGGATCTGATGGATCCGTAAGGACGTGTCTAGGGCGTCGACAGTGACTGGCTCCTGCATGATCAGGATTAGGGGAGTAGTCAGCGGCGGCTACGATAAGGCGATTATCATGACGCATAGTCTTATCGAAGTACCGTTCCGACACTGACTTCATGTATTTCCGAATTGATTCGAGGCCCCGGTCGTCGTGTAGGTCAACGTTCCTCACGAACCACGGAGCCCCGACAGCTAACCTGCAAAAGCGGGATTGTAGGGATTGGAGGGTGTCTATGTGTGTGCGGGCCGCGTGAGTGAAAACCACACTCGCGTAAGTGATGACCGGCCTTATGCAAGTTTTATAAAGTGTCACCTTGTTCCGAAGGGACATTTTACTCCGCTTACAGATCATGGGGTAAAGTTAACCGAGAATAAACGCAGCACGGTCGCGGACTGATTTTATATGCGGGCGGAATGTCATCGATGCATCCAGGGTAACGCCTTGACCTTCCTGGCCCAGGGTATGGGTTGTCTAACGAGAGTAATCGGCGGTATGACATGCTTCCTCCTGATCCGGGTGGAGCTTCCTCTCCGAAATAACACCGCAGTACTTTTCGCTGGGTTGATGTCTATGCGCCATTTTCGGAACCACTGTCCTAGGGCTACGGTTACGCTCTGACGCTTCTTCGCGATTAGGAACTTGTTTCTACTCGAATAGTAAGCAGTCGTGTCGTCGGCGAATAAAGCTAACTGGGTCGACGGCGACCGGAATATCGTTGACAAATAAGCTAAATAGGAGGGGTGAATTGGGTGGTGTGGCACCCTCGTCATCCATAGTGAAGTTCGAGGGGAAGAGTTTGACCAGAAGGTCAGCCCAGCGTTCTCTTTCGCAATATGGGCCAGACTATCATTGAACATACGTAATGGTGGGAGACAAGACCTGCAGAAGTTGCTTTCTGCAGCCTTAGCCAGCGACTAGAAAGCACGGCTCCCAGAGGGATAGCCTTTCAGTCGCTTACCGATTCTGGCAACGTGCTCAGACTTCGCCTTGGCAATAGTCCTCTTATAGGTTATATAACACAAATAACGCCACCTAGAGGTGGCGTTATTTGTGTTTGTGTGCTTAGTTTTATCCGTGAGTGAACTATGCAGTGGTACTATGTTACTTATTTCTTTTGACAAAACTGAACTATTATGAAAACTGGCTAAATTGGGAGTTGCATTAAGATTATTGCATTGCATTAAGATGATATTCATGAACTGCACTATAATGAATCTAAAAAAATCCTCATGGGTAGACGTAGGCGTATCACATTTTGAATTAAATAGTGTGTTTAATATTTGTGAATGTCTGAAGTATGTACTTATATCAGTATTCAATGTGCAATTCGCGCTGTTTTCAAGATTCTTTTCGTCAGAAATTTCTGTTGCCACCTGTACCTGCAGATTTAGTTATGTTTAAGACCTTGAGCTTAAATAATTTCTTCGTTAAGAGTCTGACAGGAGGCAGCTAGCACACTGCCATGTTAAAAAATCATATCCAAATACCTATGTTATTATTAATAATCTTATAAATAATTATTTATTATTATTTTTTACATTACTATTTATTATATATTAATTATTTATTATAATTTAGTATAATCATCAAGTCCTGGTACAGAAGTGTTGAAAAATCTGAAATTCGAACATTTCGAGCATTAATGAGAAAATGAAAGAAACTTTTTATGACTACATATCCGATTCTTGATTTTCGCTATACTACTTATTTAAATATGATTTTTGTTATCTTAAGAATCAAAATCTGAAATAAGGTGTCAACGGTGACCCTAGCAATCTACAAAGTTTCAGTGTCACAGGAATTTGAGGGTGATTTAATTCTTCTACACAAGAAATCTTAGCGCATAAATAGTGACAAGAATATTATAATGCCGGCTAATACTATGCGATATCTTGCAAGAAATTATATTATTCGTTTCTCGTTTGCTTTTTATCCATTTTGATTATAAACAAAAGAGAATTAAGGTCACTAATCAATATGTAGAAGTAAACCTAGATGAACCTAGCTTGATAATTACAGTCACATTCATCAGGTGTATGATGATCCTGAATGGTATAATTGCAAATTTACACCAAATTTTTTTTTTATCTAATGCTCTAATACAATTTCTGTTCATGCTTGTTACAAAATGTAACGGGCTCTGTGTATGTATGATACTATGAACGCTACCTATCATTACAGTTGAAACATTTATTCATTCTTACAAAATGAGTGACCTTCAAGGGACAAATTAGTTCGTGTTTTATACATCAAACAAAATCTTTTTTAGTTAAAAATTTATCAATGTCAATGTATTGACCGCGATACCGCAATAATTAGGTACTACTATTAATAAGTGGGTTACACGACACGCACCTTACAATAAGTAAATATTTTGAAATTTGAATCCGAGTCGGCAACGTCACATTGTAATGCGAAATTTCGAGCTGGCTGGCGACGCCAAATCATCGGTATTGTAAAAGCCAATATACAGCGCTACGTATACACACCCTCTGGCGGCACCGCTCGACACTGCGATATGCTTTTCCAAACGTTTCTGAGGCAATTTGGTGACCATCTCAAAAATTGATATAGTAACCGTAACTCCATCTACAGTTGATTGGTGTTAAAAATATTGAGAAACAAAGTGGCGACCGCATATTGGTCGCCAAATGTGGGTGGTCGCCACTTTAAATGTACTTTTGTGTTCATTGGATGCCAAAAGTGTTGCAGGATATATATATATATATATATATATATATATATATATATATATAGATATAACTTCTTATTTGAAACCTCAAGATTTGCTGATTAAAGAGATTCAGAAAACAAATTGTTTCGAAGAAAATATTTCATAAGAAACTTTGTTTCAGCTGGAACATGTCTTAGCAGCTGAAATGAACGAATTAAGCAAATCCCATACGGAAGCTCAACGCAAGCCAGACGGTGCTCCATCGGACGCCATCCCCCCACCGCCCCCCACTTCTCTACCACTTCATTCGGTCATATCCCCACCACCTCCAGCCTCTCCGGTAATGTCGCCATTAAATGGACTATCGTCGCCAATGAGTAACGGCACTCCTATGTCCAACGGTGATGCGATGACGTCATCATTAATTCTCCCGCCTCCCCCTCCTTTGGAAGATTCGGCCGAGGATTCCCCAGTCTTTCCTCCACCTCCGACGCAATGTTCGCTACCGGAACCTATTGGGCCACCGCCTCCTCCACCAGCAAAAGGTTTGTAATGTTCAAAAAAACTACTATTTCTATAACGCAGAAGCTTACATTCAATTTCAAATTTGTTCAATACAACAACAAGGCGTGACGTCAAATCTCATGTACTCTACACAAACGTACCCTTGCTTCGTTTTACGTTCCCCTCAACCATCGTAAACTTTTATGGTTTTTTTGGTTATTTTGAACACACCTATGTTGTTATTGATGATTGCGATTAAATTATATTCTTTAAAAAAAAGGATTTGAACAAATCCGATATTAACCGCCTGCTTCATTGAGAATTTATGTAGGTTAATACGCAAAGAGTTCTTCTTAAAAAAGACTTAATAGGAAACCTTGCAAGAACTGAAAATTGTCCTATAATTTCTACATCTCAACACATAAAATACAAATACAAAATTTCCCTACACAGAATCTCTTCACACATTAGATTAGCCTACAAGTAAATTAAGGACTTTTTGGCGGGAACGCGAGGAGTGAAGTTGTGTGATTTGTTTTATTTTGTCTATTTAGTGTTTCTTTTTTTTTTTTTTTTTTTTTTTTTTATTGCCCTTGTAGGCAGACGAGCATACGGCCCACCTGATGGTGAGTGGTTACCGTCGCCCATGGACTTCAGCAATGCCAGGGGCAGAGCCAAGCCGCTGCCTACCAGCTACTTTGCTACTTTCTTCAGGTTTAAATGTGTAATAACGGTGGTTTATTAACTGTTTAATATCTGTGAAGGTGCACAAATGTAGGAAAATGAAACAAAGCCGCTGGACGTAACTTCTCGCGATCATCCAAAAAGTCCACTAAAAAAATCTTAGTAAATGACCACCATTTTACTAAGATTATATTTTATCCCATATCATCTCATCTCATTTCATTTAATTTCATCCCAGTTAATTAATGTCTCAAATTAATCATCTTCATTTCATATCATATCATATCATTTCATTTCACTTCACTCCATATTATCATTTTACATAAAAATAAGAATATAAATTAAAATAAGACATGACTTAAAGGTCTTAGCTACCAGGTCATAAAATCTTGAAAACAAGTAAATGAAGCACAGTAAAGAATAGTAAGCACCTCACCTTACAGATACAACACCTCCGGAGCTGACGAACGGTATAATACCGAACGGGAAGCTGACTGTTATCAACGGCAAGGAGCCGATATACGAGTCGGTGATACCGCGCCCGCCCTCTGACGGCGCGCCCAAGGACGCGGCGGTCGAACCCCCGCCCCCGCCCCCGCCACCCCTACCCGAGACCAATGGGTAAGAACAACCAAAGCGCAGAAAAACCTTAAGGGCAGATTTCTATTACGAAGTGTTACGCCTGCGTATTTCTGACGTGAAGCAGTAATGCGTTTCGGTTTGAAGGGTGGGGCAGCCGTTGTAACTATACTGAGATTTTAGAACTTATATCTCAAGGTGGGTGGCGCATTTAGGTTAGTAGATGTCTATGGGCTCCAGTAACCACTTAACACCAGGTGGGCTGTGAGCTCGTCTACCCATCTAATAAAAAAAAAACAAAAGCGATCGTTGTTGAAAGTTTCACTTATTGACATTATGCTTTGTGGCGCGCAACGTATTACAAATAAATGAAATGGCGTACGTTGACCGCGTTTCTGCTTTTGTTATACATTGCCGGTTCACGAGATTGGAGCTAACTAACACTGCAAGTACTGATGCGACTAATGAAGCTATTTATTAAAGACTTTTTAGTGGTTTACCTAAGTTTTAGCTCACTTTGTATTCAAGACAATAGAAAATTAAATGACGTTGTTATTTTTAGGACAGTAAACTGTTTTGGGAATTGAATAACGCCGTTTTAATGGCCCGGTCAAAATATATCAAATTTTATATAATACTAGCCGTACTCGCCCGCTTCGCTGCGCATTTAAAATGAACATTATTATTTATTGTCATTATTATTAGGGAGTCCAACGCTCATATAAATATTAGCCTATCCATTAAGTACATATTTTTTCTTCATGGATACCAAGTTTCAAGTCAATCGGATGCGTGGTTCAATTGTTATAATGGAACATCCGTAAAAACCACTAGATTTAAATATTAGTATAGATGAAACGGGGGAATAAACAGTTTTGGTGCTCAGTAATATATTTATTTTTCTCAATGACCCTATTCTGTTTATTTTTCTGCATTAATACTGTAACTAAAATAATACTAGGCCATAACCTTAAATGATTGTAATTAAACAGACTCACCGAAGAATACGACGCCGTGCCAACAGAAGCGCCTCCGCCGGCGCTACCTAATGTGACGTCACAAGACACCCCCATCTCCCCTCCTCTTCCAATACCAATGGACACGTGTGTTAGTCCACCGCCCGCAATGAACGGCGATTCCACTGTAAGTGTTTTTAATCAAGTAAATAAAAAAAGCCATTGCCTTCTAGATTTTTTTTATTCTACCCATGCTGGTAACCTCAAGGGGAAATTCAAACTACTAATAGTAGATCGAGAGGATCCGAAATGACGTGGTTTCTAATGACGCAGCTTTTTAATACTTAAAAGTGACGTCACAGTCCACCGTAAGAATGAGTAGAGACCGTAATTAATCAAGTAATAATTTTGGAATATTTTCTATCACACACGTATAAGTTATCGTTGGCATTAGTCACTTGAGAAAAAGTGGTTAATTTTATAGTGACCTTTAAAAATAATCGTTAATCCGGCTTTATGGTTTCGAATTAACTATACTCAATGTTCTTTGACGGCAAGTTTGAAAATAAAATTAATAATAATACATTTTTGTTTGGTCAGGTGACTAAAGACAGCTTCGGTTTCGGTCAATTGAAATGTCAGAGATGAGTGAACATAATTTTTTGAAAGAATATATTGATCTTATTAAAACATTACCTTAATAGTGTTACCACCTTATTTAATTGATTTAAAATAGATGTCTGTAGAATCGAGATAAACGTAAACTAAAAATATTTGTCTTAATATTTTTTTTGTACAATAATATAATTGAAAATAATAAATATAATCGTATTCATATTTTATCTTAATGAATGAGTCCTTATAAGCCATTATGTTTGTACAGAGTACTGAACGTAACGCCCGCCGGAAAGAACGTGTCGAACGTCGACTGAATCAATTAGAGGCGGCGTCTCCCCCCGCCACCGCCGCGCCCCCTACCACACCCCCTGCAGAGTCGAGCAACGATTTTACGGAATTTGCCAAGCTTTGCTTCAATGATCACCCTAGATCGCCTGAAGGTATGTACCTCAATAAAATAATTCCTATTTTCAATAGTCTATGTAAGGAAAACCTTTAGAGTTTAAAACTTTCGTTTTTAAAAAGGATTTTTCTTCAATGTCATGAAGTGAAGTCTGTCATTCAGTAAAAAGAGAGCTTAGTTTTGTATATTTTATTAATCGTTGGATGCAGGTGGCAATGGACCGGTCGCACTGGAAATCTATTGGAGAGGCCTATGTTCAGCAGTGGACGGCGATAGGCTGAAATGATGATGATGATGATTAATACTGTTAATTTTAAAAGAGATTAAAGGATTAAAGGAGGAAGATATTGTTTTCTTATTGTATAACAGAAAACGCAATTAAGTCTTTTATTGCTTATTCATTCTGAAATACTCCATATCATTATGATCTATCTGAACTGATTAACATGTTACATTCACTAAGGCACTCCGTCGTCACATATAAAGTAGAAGCTAGAAGTATAAACTTTAAATCGACTCTTAAAAATAATCAAATATAATAGAGAAAGCGCTATGCGATTTCCTTCATTCAATTCTTAGGTAAAAACTTTAATTAAGACCATTTATTAGCCTGTGGTTTTGTAAGTTTGACATAAACTTGCCGTTAACAGGTACAATCATGGCAACGCTGACACGCAAGAGCAAGTCGATGGAGCTACTCACCAAAGAGGAAATGGTGACTTATCACAAAGGGAATAATATACCAACTTCGCATATACAACTTCATGATCCGGATAGTGTCACGACCGCTGTCAATATATTTAGGGTGAGATTTTCTCAAGTATATTATCTGGTTAAAATTCAATATTTGAGAATATAAGTCGGTCAAATTCATGCCAAAAAAAACCTTTATAAATATATATATTTTTATTGGGTAAATGAGTGAACCCACCTTGTGTAAAGTGTGCTAAAGTGCCATTTTTCTTTTTCTCTTCTTTTTTAAATTAAACACCACATAAAATCACTTATGAGTCTACGATCTGTTTTTTTTCTTTTAGGAACTGTGTCGATACATGCGAGGGGAATTGACGGCGGAGAAGGAAACACAAGTTATTCAGTCACTGATCGGGAAAGGATTGGAAAGAGAAGAATTGAGAGATGAAATAATCGTTCAGTGCGTCAGACAGGTGAGGCGTAGATATTGTATCGAATAATCGATTCTATGATATGTGTATGTACATAAATAATGACGCGAAATATAAATGTTATGGTAACATTTCTATTAAAATACGTTTAACTCTACACCTTCGTACCGCACTGTCAATATGACCGGTAATTAAAAACAGCTATCGTATTTTTATTATTATCATTATATTTCTTGTATAAGTGAAAAATAATTCGACGTACAGTGAAAAAAACTGTATGCTACGAAAGAGAGAGAGAGAGAGAGAGGGTGTTTGTTAACGGTATTAAAACGTTTAAAATATGTGTAATATTTCTAAAAGCTTGAAAGAGATCAATTTGATAGGTTTGGCGCTAACATATGTCAATGACACGGTCAGTTAATAAAACAAATATCAAAACCGTAAAGTGGTACTCATTACTCTTATATAGCTCGGTACATTTTTTGCTCGTACATGTTTATGTTCCAATATCATATTTTTTGTATAATTGGTTTCAGATAACAGATTGTCCGGTGGAAGAATGGGCGGAAAGAGTATGGCTGATACTCTGTCTGATAGCTGTGGCTTGGCAGCCCAGCCGGGGCTTGGCTCGGTACTACAGCGGCTGGCTGCGAGCGCGCGCCCGCCTCGCCGCCGACGCGGACTCGTCGCCGGCGGGTGCGCCCGCCAGCACGCCCGCCGCCCGCGCCGCACACTGCGCGCAGTGGTGCCTCGACAACTGTAGGGGGGCCGCGCCGAGACAACTGCCGCCCAGTACTGTGGAGATCGCGGTACGGAAACTTATAGTTATGGATATTTATCTCAAAAATAATCCACTATTTTGTTCCTAATATTCCATTAAAAAGAATGACATCATTTAAGTCAAACTTACACTTCCTTGCGTCGATAATCCTCAATGCTGAGGGTCGTGGCCTCCCTTAATAACATCCTCCTGTACTACTAGTAGCCGGTCCAAAGCAGCAGCCTTTCTAAATAAATTGTCACCTCTCTTTCTGGCAGTCATCATCATCATCATCATCAGCCTTTATGTGCCCACTGCTAGACATAGGCCTTCCCAAATGCCTTCCACAGAATGCAGTCCTCCGCCTTGGCAATGTATCCAAAGAATTCAAAACTCCTAAAATGCTCATCAGTAAATAAAATGAGTATAAATACGTTCAATCCGTAAGTTAATACGCCCTGTTGCAATCTATATTGCTCTACCAAGTTCTCTGACCCAAACAAATGATGTGAATATCTCTATGGATGTGTGTGTACAGGCGATGCGTCGTCTCGGCACGATAGTGTGCCGGTTCTTCTTCCTGGACGGTCGCACGAAGGCGATCGACGTGCACCCCGCGGACACGGCGGCGGCGGCGGCGGCGCGGCTCGCGGACAAGCTGGGCCTGTCGCCGCACGCGCGCGCCGGCTGGGCCGTGTACCAGCAGCGCGCCGGCAAGGAGGAGCACGTCCGCGCCACGCACTACCTGTATGACGTTATCGCCGCTTGGGAAATGTGAGCCTTATTGCAATTGTAAATATAGATCATTTTAGTAATGAGCTCATATGTATTAATCAGGCTTATCGCCGAAAGCTTTAGAAGCTACACCAGTCGTATAAAATGACATGCTAAGTTTTGATATTGGGCGTATCATGACACAAACCGACAGGTCAAGTAGCATGATGCCTTTCTTATATGTAAACAAAAAAAAGTTGCGTGTGACTCGTGGCATCTCTGCAACACTTTTATAGTCGAGACGATATCCGTAGAACATTCTGAGCAAGTCGAGTATCTTCGATGTGTGTTTCCGCTATCTCTGTTTGACAATAGATGGCGTTGTACTTCTCGAGCTTTCTCGAAGTTCGTTTGATATTCGTTCGGCTATTCCACGATAGATGGCGTTACTCTTATCGGCGTAACAATATCTTACGGAATTTAAGATGTCATTTTTTTCTCCTCGAAGGCAACAGGGTCCCGGCGGTGGTTCGGCCGACAATCGGTTCGTCTTCAAGCGCCGGTTGTTCCGCGGCGGACGCGAGCTGCCCCACGATCCAGTCGAAGTGGCCTTGCTCTATGCACAGGCGGTCCACAGTGTAGTCAAGGTAACTATATTATTAACCAACCTAATTGCGTTGACGTGTAGCTTTCGTTAACACAAAGAATACAAGATTGTCTTGTGAAATATGCGACCTATTTTTCGTGGTGTTGGGACTTGGGACTATCTTGCTATCTCCCTCACACGCACACACTCTAATGACGAAAAAAGAAAGTTGAAATAAAACGTTTCATTCATTTCACCCAATTGCTTTCGTTAACCCGAGAAGTAGAATATTGTCTTGTGAGAGAAGTTACCTATTTTTCGTGGTTAACTGAAGTCGGACTATCTATATCTCTCACACGCACACACTCTAATGTCTAAAGATGAAAGTTAAACTTTTTTTTTAAGTCCTGCGCTGATTCTATTTGTGACTTTTGATTCATTTCACCTTCAATCTATACTAATATACAAATCTACAGTGGTTTTGACGGATGTTCCGTTATAACTACTGAACCATGAATACGATTGACTTGAAACTTGGTATCCATGTAGAAAATACATGTACATAATGGATAGGTTAATATTTATATGAGTGTTGGACTCTCTAATAATAATGTTAATTTTAAATACCCAGCGATGCGGTCGAGTAAGGCTTGTCGTATCTAAATATCATGAAATATCACAACTAATATTTACTCTACTATAACGTGTAATATGGGTACAGCTGGACGAGTTCCCGGTGTCGGAGAAGGTGGCTTTGCAGCTGGCAGGCCTACAGGCGCAAGTGTCTCTGGGCGAGCCGCCGCCAAGCCCCCCGCCCCCGCACACCCGCGCCTACTACGCTCACCCCGAACAGTTCCTGCCGCAGCGGATCGCCAGGCCTCGTCCTGCCCATCAGTGGGTCGGTAGCAATCAATCACATGGACTCACAGAACCATTTATAAACGTACAGTCGACAAATTCGCGGCCCACTTGATGTTGAAGGGTTATAACGTGAACGCTTGACATGTCCCGTTTGTATAATGACTAACACCAGTCTTACAATTCGAATCGAACGTCGTGAATACTGTGAAAATGACATTCTAGGACTACATCACACACACATCACACACAGAGACGCACAAAATCCATAAATAAAAAGTCTCTTGACACACGTCAAACCGATTTGATATCAACAATGATGTCTACGAAAATAACATTTAACGTTATATCATGGATAGTTATAAAACACGTATGTTCATTAATAATTTTAATTTTAGCTCGCACAGCTTGTGCACCAGTGTCAAGTAATAAGATTTTTTCGCCGTCTTCATTCTTTATAGTTTATGAATAATAAAAAATGAAGGAAACTTTCCATTTTGGTCACTATTAATATCAGTGTAAGTATAAATTTAATTAGCAGCGTCGTACGGTATAGATAAATTAGGTTGAGGAAGTAATTTGATTAATGAAGTAATTAACTCTGCAAATGGTAATATGAGTGAAGTGAAATGAAATTGATTAATATTATGAAACATGGCATGAAATGAAATATAATCCCAGTAAAATGGTGGTCATTTACTGACACTTTTTCAGCTGACTTTTTGAAGGATCCCGAGAAGTTATGTCCAGCAGCTTTATTTCATTTTCCCACATTTGAGCACTTTCAGATACTAAACAGTTAATAAACCAACATTATTACACATTTAAACCTGAAGTAACACTAAATAGACAAAACAAATCACATAACTTCACTCCTCGCGTTCCCGCCAAAAAGCCTACAATGATATTAAGGGGCTGTCTATTTCAGGCGACAATACTCGCTCAGGCGCACCGGCAGTACGGCGCCGGGCGGGCGGAGCTGACCGCCAAGGCTCTGTACCTGTCGTGCGTGATGCAGTACCCGCTCTACGGAGTCACGCTCTTCCCCGTCACGTACAAGGGCTACTGGGCACACGGTCTGCACTCACAGCTATTTATTAATATATTATTTAACCCTTTGACTGCCATGTAGGTCACCGGTGCCCTACGCGGCGCACTGAAGTAATTATGTCGATTTCTGTTATTAAGGCGCCTGGATTGCCTAACTTTGCCCTCTTTTGGTTAATCACTACATAGTATAAAACAATGTCGCTTTCTCCGCCCCTATATCTGTCCCTATGAATGCTTATCTTTAAAACTACGAAACGAATTTTGATGCGGTTTTTTTTAATAGATAGAGTAATTGAAGAGGAAGGTTTATATGTATAGTAACATCCATTAAATAGTGGAGAAATCAATAATAAATTAGTTTCCGAAGCGAAGTGAGGGCGGGTCGCTAGTGTAACATAGATAACATTATTCCTTGTAGGGACACAGTTTAGCAGTGTATGCAGTTTTGTACATCACTTGCATTTGGTCAGTCGTACACAGCCCACCCGACACGGCAGACACTTGTGAATATACGGAGTTAAATTGGAACCAACTTGTTTCATGAATAAAGAGCAGTTTACACCCTTTACTCTTGCATAAAAAACTGAACACTCCTTTAGGTCTCCTAAAAATAGATTTATTCTCAGTATCTTCAGATTCGGCTTTCCCAGAGTCTACTAGATATTCCTTAGTAACTAATGTAAACAACAACAAAAATCCGGCTTAATTCATTAAACGACATGAAATATCAAAGGCTATATTTTGTTTTTAGGTCCAAACGTAATGCTGGGCGTGGGTTCGGAGGGCGTCGTCCTGGTGCGGCCCGCAGACAAGGTCGTACTGGCCGAGTACCCGTACGGCACCATAGCCGCTCTACTCATGGACCCCGTCGACAACGGACTGACCATCAGCCTCACGCACCACGGACAGCACGACGGTTTGAGGTCAGTTTTGTTTTCTAGTTAATCTTTTTTTTGCTCTGTATCCCTCAATTGACAACGTCATGTCGTACTTATACAAAGACAAATGAACCCCTTGAGTAGGGGGGACAAACTGAAGGGATCTTTTACAATTTCATGTCGAGATATGACTATGAGTTATATAGTATGACATATGCATAATTACCTTTTTTTATTGCTTAGATGGGTGGATGAGCTCACGGCCCACCTGGTGTTAAGCGGTTACCGGATTCCATAGACATCTGCAACGTAAATGCGCCACCAACCTTGAGATAAAAGTTCTAAGGTCTCAGTTTAGTTACAATGGTCATTGGTCTTCACATTACTAGTGGTAGGACCTCTTGTGAGTCCGCGCGGGTAGGTATCACCGCCTCGCCTAGTCCTGCCGTAAAGCAGTAATGCGTGTCAGTTTGAAGGGCGAGGCAGCCGTTGTAACTATACTTGAGACCTTAGAATTTATATCTCATTTACGTTGTAGATGTCTATGGGCTCCAGTAACCACTTAAAACCAGGTGGGCTGTGAGTTCGTCCCCCCCATCTAAGCAATAATAAAAATAAAAAAAACATTGAATACCCATTAAAATGTGCTTGTTGAATCCAGGTGTATAGTGCTGGAGACTAGTCAGAAGCACGAGGCGGCGTGGCTGATGGCGGCGTACAGCCCGGTGCTGGGCAACGGCCTGGCGGACGAGCCGCCGCGCCGCGCCGCGCCCGCCTCGGAGCGGTCCCGCCTCGCCGTGGCGCTGCGCTCCGCCCGCCGCGCGCTCGTCGACTGCGGCCTGCTGCGCCGCCCCGCCGAGCAGCACGCCGGGAACTTCCTCAGGAACACGCTTAGGAGGTAACCACTCACCTCAGAAATGAAGGGCATTTTTTTTTTGTTGCTTAGATGGATGGACGAGCTCACAGCCCACATGGTGTTAAGTTGTTACTGGAGCCCATAGACATCTACAACGTAAATGCGCCATCCACCTTGATATAAAAGTTCTAAGGTCTCAAGTATAGTTACAACGGCTGCCCCACCCTTCAAGCCGAAACGCATTACTGCTTCACGGCAGAAATAGGCGGGGTGGTGGTACCTACCCGCGTGGACTCACAAGAGGTCTTACCACCAGTAAATTTTCGCCGGATTTTCTCAGTGGGTAGCGTTTCCGATCCGGTGATAGATTCTGCGAAGTACTGCTCTTGCTAGGCTTAGTGTTAGCAACTTCGTCAGGTTTGAGCCCCGTGATCTCACCTACTAATTTGTCGAATCTAGAATAACCCCTCGAGGTTACTAGAATGGGTAGTGAAAAACAAGAGGGCATAAAAGGGCATAAAGATATAAAGCTAGTTTTTTTTTTGTGGCCATAAAGACCTGATATATTTCGCCTTTCAGTTGCTTGTCACTATCTATATGATTTGACGTAACTCCCGCAGATTGAGCAAGCACAGACTTGAGAAGCTGCGTCAAGACATCGACGCGGACAGCCAGAGCGAGTGCTACAAGGGCTTCCCGGTGCCGTACTGGTGCTGGTCGCGCACGCTGCCGCACAGCCTCACCAAGCTGAACGAGGCCGAGGAAGTCGCCGCTATGCAGATATTCAAGGTATCTTTCATTATATTCAAAATCGCTAATACGCTACAGAGAATACCAACCAAAAATCTATCTATACTATGAATATATAAATTGATATTGAATGAATTGCTGTTCGTTAGTCTCTGCGGAGCGGCTGGACTGATATGGCTAATTTTGGTCTTGAATTACTTGTGAAAGCCCAGAGAAGGTTTAAAAGGTAGATTAATAAGAAAATGCTCGGAATTAAATAAAAATAACCATTTTGTTTTTCCTTTGATGTGTCCCCCGTCGGACGGATTACTTTTGTTTGTTTCAAGTTTATTTTATATAAAAACTTAGGTCTTTTATTTATCGATTGAGGCACTACGAAGTCTGCCGGGTCAGCTAGTACTTAAAAAAAAACGATTTACAGGATATAATGAGTCACGCCGGTTTGAACACGAACGAGGGTAGTACGAACAACCTCGCTAACAATAACAGCGTCAGTAGCCAGGAGAGCGACAGCGACGACAGAGTCGCCCTAGCTCAAACCCTCCTGCAACGCTGCCTGCAGAAGGACACGCTGCTCAACGAAATGTACATGCAGCTCATCAAACAGGTGGGTCATGAGTCACGTCAGCGGCTCTCAAGCTTTGAGCCGCACTACTTTTGTGTGCCGCCAAAATTATCTTCATCTCTGTGTGTCGTCAATTTTTTAATTTAAAAGGTGTGTCGCTACAAAAAAAGTTTGAGAATAACTGCTTTAAATAATCATCACTGTTATAAAAATAAGATAACGGGTAGCAACAGGCTGTAAATGTGTGATCTGACAGCGGAAACTACACAAATCGTTTCCTAACGACTTTTTGAAAATGGCATAAATATAGTATGAAGCCGTCATGGCCTAAAAGATCAGACGCCCAGTGTACTTGTATCGAGCGGTACGACTGTGCCGTTGTTCGAATTCCGCAGGCAGGTACAATTTTTTTTAATGAATTGTACTTGACAAATGTTGCCGAATGACTTCCAAGACGAAGGAATAGTATATTGTTATAATTATTATACAATAGACGCATATACTTGAAGTCTCAAGGTGGGTGGTGGTATTCGTGCTGTCACGTCTAAGGGCTCCGATAACCACTTAACACCAGCTGGCCCGTGAACTCGTTCATTCGTCAACGCAATAAAAATGTAATCGTTGTATCTATATCCGACCGTTCCAGACGACGGAAGCGCCGGAGTCGGCGAAGCACGTGTCGGCGCGGCACTGGGCGCTGCTGTGTGCGGCGGTGGGCGCGGCGCTGCCGACCGCCAAGCCGCTGCGGAGGCTGCTGCTGGCGCACCTGCGGTACAGGGCCATCGCGCTGCACCACGGCCAGGAGGGGAAGTTCGCGCGCAGAGCTGAACAGGTACTCTTCCTCTTTTTCTTCATCATATCCCACTAGGTGGGCAGCGGCTTGGCTGACGTCCATGGGCGACGGTAACCACTCACCATCAGGTGGGCCGTATGCTCGTCTGCCTAGAAGGGCAATTTAAAAAAAAGGTGGGATCGGCAAAGCTATTTTTTCCTCTTCCATTCTCTTCTATTAGCTGTCAGCTCAACACTCACTTTTCTCTCTCTCATATCGTCATTCACACAGGTATGAACTGGTACTCTTCATATTAATCAAGATTGTTAATACCCACTTCAAATTCTTTTAACTGTCTTGGAACAGTAATGGAACCATGAAATAATTCAAACGTTTATGTGGAATTGAGTTTACATGACTCTGTAATGATGTCTTGTCTATGTGTGCTGTCAAGCAGACCATTAAAGTCGTGGAGTCTCCTAATACTAGACTTGTGTGACTACAATTTTTTTGCCTACCTAAGCTGGTAGCCTTGGAGGGCAATGCCAGCGTAACCGAGCGAGTAGGAAAGCACACAAGGCTCTTAACCTGAGGATGTGCTAACACTAGCCCTAGCAAGAGCAGTGCTTCGCCTGTGGGTTAACTTACTCGCCGAACCCTTCGTCGCGAGCGACGGGTTCAACGAGGATCCAAAATGACGTCTTTGGGCCAAGTCGACTGTTTACCATTCGGTCCTCAAGATTGGGTATGATGACTACCCAAGAGTGATACTTCAAACTAAAAAAATACATTACAATTGCAACACCAGGTGGCGCTGAGTACGGCTCAAGTAGCTCGTCGCTTATCCGCCCCGTCCAAAGAAGAAATACTGTGCGCTGCTGCCCGGAGACCTCTACACGTCCGAGTGCTGTTGTTGGACGGGAAGCAGCACGGGCTCGTGTTCGGACCGGCCGCCACTGCCGATCACCTGGTCACCATGCTCAGGGAGAAGATTGGGCTCAGCGAGTCTGCTACCGGTGAGTCTTAATAGATGTGTACTCTGATAAAGAGCTGTGTAGATTTTTTATCCTTTAGTTATCTATGTGATACTATTTAAAGTATTGTAAATTATTTTTAACTAGATGATGACCGAGCTTTGCTCGTTTTTTTTTTTTATAACGCCTTCTTGTTGTGTCTTTAAAGCGGTTAGTTGCCTTCAATTAAGAAAAATAGTATTATTATTCGCCAATATATGTCGGGAAGAGTTGATTATTGAAAACACGAATAAAACACCCCCGAATTATCGCCCCTGAAATCCCCTGTATACTAAATTTTATGAAAATCATTGGAGCCGTTTCCGAGATTCAGATTATATATGTTAATATATAAGAATTGCTCGTTTAAAGGTATTAGATTTTCAGTTATTGAAAAAGCTTAAACCAACTTAAATGCAAGGATAAAATTATCTTAACTATTTTCACTGTACCGTAGGACATGTTTACTGACTGTATTGTAACAGGGGCGAATGCTAAGTAAAAAAATATGTATGGACACAATTTTCTTTTAATGTTTTTTTAAATCTCAATTATTTAATAAATACGAAAATGTCGATGTAAATATTCTAGTAATTGATTGAGTGGTATTATTTCAGGTTATGCGTTGTACGAGGTGTGCGCGAACACGACGGGTGCGGGCGAGCGCGCACTGGCGGGCGCCGAGCGGGCGGGCGACGTGCTGGCGCGCTGGGAGAAGGCTGGGGCCACCGCTGCCGCCTGCAGGTAAGTGCTACCCGCGGGGGATGGGGGGGTAGAATATGTAGGAACATCTTTTGTCCAGGAATTTAACAAAATGATAAAATTATATTTTTATACTTTTATTATGTTCTGCTTTTTATTTATTTATTTGGGAAACAAACAGTACAATACAAACATATCATATTTTAAAAAATATAGCTAAAACAATAACCAAATATGTTTCCACAATCAAAATCACATATAAGTAGAAAGTGAACAGAGAAGAGAAATTTAGAAATATAAATTACAAAAAAAACAAAAACAACACAATACGCACATACTATTTTGTTCATCAACGTACACTATAAAACTATAATATAATACTCATCGGACTAAATCACCTTATAAATATTTTAAAATATGTTTTCTATATGCTACAATTTTATATTATTTGATTCACATTAAGTTTGCCGCGTATTGTTTATGTTGTTGGTGTTGCGCACGCGTCTCTCCTCGCGTCTTCACGTTTTGTTTCCGGGTACCCCAGTTACTGTACAACTGATTTAAAACAGTTTTCATCACAGAACATTTTTTTTTCTACCTATTCATTAATAGTCTAAAGGGCTATTCCAGCCGCGCACTGGCTGTGGGTGAGCTCACGGGGTTCAACCTGAAAGAGTTGCTAACACTGACCCTAGCAAAGGCGGTGTTTCGTAGAATCTACCACTGAGAAGATTGCGCGAAAAGCTCAGTGGGTAGTGTCTATAGACAAAACGTTAAACTTTATGTGGGTCGTAGGGCTAGTGTTAGCAAGGTCTTGAGGTTAGAGCCCCGTGAGCTCACCTACTCATTCGGTTACGCTTTCATAACCCTCTAAAGTTACCAGCGTAGGTAGGAAAAAAAACGAAAAAACGTGTCATATTAAAGTGGTGTTTCCTGAATAGGCTGGTGTTCAAAAAGCGTCTGTTCCTCGGCGACAAGCCGCTGCAGACGTCGTGCCCTACGGAAATGGAGCTGTTGTACTATCAAGTGTTGCACGCGGTGCGACACGACCGCCTGCCCATCGAGACCGATGAAGCGGTATGTTGTGTTTTATTTTAAATTAGAAGTTTACAAGTCGTCGTGGTCTAAAAGATAAGACGTCCGGTGCATTCGTGTTGAGCGATGCACCGGTGTTCGAATCCCGCAGGCGGGTACCAATTTTTCTAATGAAATACGTACTCAATAAATATTCACGATTGACTTCCACGGTGAAGGAATAGCATCGTGTAATAAAAATCAAACCCACCAAAATTATAATTTGCGTTATTACTGGTGGTAGGACCTCTTGAGAGTCCGCACGGGTAGGTACCACCACCGCGCCTATTTCTGTCGTGAAGCAGTAATGCGTGTCGGTTTGAAGGGTGGGGCAGCCGTTGTAACTATACTCGAGGCTTTAGAACTTATATCTCAAGGTGGGTGGCGCATTTACGTTGTAGATGTCTATGGACTCCAGTAACCACTTACAGGTGGGCTGTGAGCTCGTTCATCCATCTAAGCAATAAATAAATAAAAAATATTTAAATCACTGAATGTAAAATACATTTTGTTATGTTTGATTTTTAATTTTAATTTAACTTCAGAAATTAATTTAATTGATAATCAAAGATTTATTTTGTATTCGGGATGTGAAAATTATTTCATATCATTCAAGTATGTGACACAAACAAACTTAAAGGGATCTTATATAAAACTGTATAGATAGATTGATGATTACTATCATCTGATCCTTCAAGCCGGTGATTGTCTGTTGAGCCACATTGTTTAATGTAAAAATCTTCAAATCTGGTTACATTAATTCAACTAGTAATATGGACTAACAACTATTTTTATTAATAACCGTAAAAGGAGGATAGATAGAAATTAAGAAAAATCAATCAGATTTGAAGTTAGTGATTAAGCAAAATTGTTCGCACGCTGTTTTTTCTTTTAATAAATTTTTGGGTTAAAAAGTGTAGTTTTAACACACATAGTTAACTCAAATTTGTATGCAGTTGGAACAGCGCGCCTAGCGGCAAACGTTCCAACTTCATACAAATTTGTGTTAACTTTTACGCAATTGAGAACGTCAAAAAACTCGCCTAAGCACACAGTTTGTGTACTACCATCAGCAAGCCGTTACGTATTTGCATAAGATCATTTTTACCATATCATTGTTAAGTTAATCTAAGTTTATCAATACTAAACTTTTATTTATTTCCAAACATTTACACAAAATATTATTTTAATAACCTAAAAGTGCATATTATTATTAATAATGTCTCAAAACATTGGAGTTGTCGTATGACAACAGAGGGATGCCTGGACACACCGTACAGATGTGTTTGTGTAAACAGTGTATATGGGTTGGATCAAACAAACGAATGAAACGAATCTTTCGTCTCTTTCCAACATTAGCATTACAGAAAGGATAAACTGTTTGTGATGTAAGAATGGTTGCGTTGTGTATGCAGGTGATGGTGGCGGCGCTGCACGCGCAAGTGGTGGGCGGCGAGTGCTCTGGCGGCGAGGAGTGCGCGGCGGTGGCGGGTGCGGTGCTGCCGGCGCGGCTGGCGGGCGCGGCGCTGCCGGCCCCCGCGCTGCGGCGCCACCACCTGGCGCTGCGCGGGACCACGCCGCACGCCGCCATGCAGCGCGCACTCACGCTCGCCTCCTCCTGGCCGCTCACCAGGGCCACCGTCTTTGACGTAATGGTACGTACTGTAATTAACATGTCGTAATTTGATTTGATAAAATTTCTCTTTATTCTGTACTAGCTGTACCCGGCCGCTGGGCATTTAAAATTAACATTATTATTTCTCACCCCCACAAAGATTCTCATCATTAACACCCCCGCAACTGGTGTAGGGAGTCCAACACTCATATAAATATTAGCCTATCCATCCATTAAGTACATCTATTTTCTACATGGATACTAAGTTTCAAGTCAATCAGATGTATGGTTCAGTAGTTATAACGGAACATCCGTAAAAACCACTGTAGATTTATTTAAACTAATATTATAAAGAGGAAAGGTTTGTTTGTTTGTATTGAATAGGCTTCGGAACTACTGAATCGATTTGAAAATTTCTTTCACTGTTTGGAAGCTATACTATTTCCGAGTGACATAGGCTATAATCTTTTTTGGAAAAATGTACGGATCCTTACTAAAGCTTCAATAAAGTAACCTAAGGTGTAAAAAAATTACCTAAGATTTTAATATTCTTTACATCGCGTGCCCTGCGAAAACTATTGATGATAGAATAAAATAATGTACTACGACTTTGTAGAACACATTATTATTTACAAAAAGTGTCACGGCAGCATATTTTATCTAACTATTACAGTTATGCCGCAAGAATTGTTCTTTTATTTAAAAAAATAAAACAACGTCAAAATATCGTTGAATTTTTTGGTAGACCCGGAGCGGGCCGCTAGTATATTAGTATAGGTTGAGCTTTTATGACAAATGTTAAGTTTAAAAAATGCCCTTCCAATCAGTCGGACAAGCAGCGATTTAGCTAATATGCCGCTAGCGTCGGTAAGCTTCATGAAAATGAAAGGTGATTGATTACCACGGCTCCAAATTCTGGTGAAGCAATCACGCTAATATTTTAAATCCCATATATTTTTCTTTATAATTCTATCGACAAAGTTCAATAAAAGACCCCGGATGTAAAAACGATTTTAGGGCATTGTTCTTTTTGTGACGTGTTGTTAATTGATACATCAAAACATATTGATCCTGACAATAAAAATAATTTGATTATTGATATGTATGTATGTTTATAAAATTTAGGAATTCCTTTGAGACCCACAAAACGCTTATTGTGTATTTGTTTTATTTACATACTTTAACAACCATCACAAAATGTTTATATGATATTAATGAGTTTGTTATTAACAAACTCATTAATATCATATAAACTCATTAATCTGTCTTCTTGTTAATCTGTAAATCTTGTAAATCTGTCGTCTAATCTTGTTATAACAAACTCATTAATCTACTTGTGTTTTTGATCAGCAATCGTTCACGTCGAACTGGCCCCGCGCGCTGTGGCTGGCGGTGGACGCGCGCGGCCTGACGCTGCTGAGGCGCAGCTCGCGCGTGGCGCTAGTGTCGCACGATCACGAGCAGCTGCTGGCGGTGTCGCCGGCGCCTCGCGCCCTCCTCCTAGTCACGCGAGCCGACCGCAAACACGCCAAACTTGTGCTCTCAACTGACCAGGTGTGTATTTAGTACAGCCCACTGAGTTTCTCGCCGGATCTACTCAGTGGGTCGCGATTCCGATCCTTGCGCTTAGTGAGAGTTTTTTAACGTTCTCGATAGCGTAAACGTTAATTTAAATTTGTATGGAATTGAAACGTTTGCGTAAGTTTGCCGCTAGGGGCGCTGTTCCAACTGCATACAAATTCTAGTTACCTTTTACGCTATCGAGAACCGACGGGGGACACATCAAAAGGAAAAACAAAATTGTTATTTTTATTTAATTCCGAGCATTTTCATATTTATCTATCTACCTTTTAAACCTTCTCTGGACTTCCACAAATAATTCAAGACCAAAATTATCCAAATCGGTCCAGCCTTTCTCGAGTTTTAGCGAGACTAACGAACAGCAATTCATTTTTATATATATAGACAAAAATTTAGGTGTTTCATTTATCTATTGAGGCACTACGAAGTCTGCCGGGTCAGCTAGTAATTAATAAATTGTTGTTTCGACAGGCATATCAAATAGCGACCCTGATCAAGGATTACATTGAGGCCGTGCGCGGCCCGGTGTCGCCCGCCGTGGCGGACGCGTGCGGCGCGGGTGCGGCGCCCGCTTCGTGACCCGCGCCCGCCTAGTGCCAGTGCTTCCACGTGCGCTGAGCGCCGCGCCGCCGCGACACCGCGACACCACCGCACGACGCCGCACCTGAACGACGACTGGCGCGCCACCACACACACCCGAGCGTTTTTGGAAACTAAGCTTGTCTATGTTAGCCGGTATCGGTCTCCGCTAAAACGATGACGTCGACAAATCTTACGTAACGCACTAGCTTTACGAAACGTGACGTCATTTCGTTTAAGTGTATCGAAAATCGATTTTTTTGTTCGATTTGAATTCGTTATCGATATAGGATACTTAAATAGTCATATTTCGTTTGTAGTGATGTTAATGTGCAGTGAAAATATCAGTGGCTTTGTTTGAACTCGAAAGATAGTTGGCCATAAACGAAGTTATAGAATGATGGGCGTAAATAGGTGTTTTATGAAATTTAAATTTAAAAACGAATTGAAATTATAAATTTTCGGAAACACCTAATAAATACGTTTTGTATGAAACTATAGATATGGCAATCTCGACTAAGCTGTCACTGCGATTTACGCTTTACTGTGAAGCTTTGTTATAATATTTATACTAGGCAAATTTCTGGTTTATATTAATAATGGTATTCGAGGACTATTGTTCTTCGATTATACAGTTATTAAATAAACTATTCGCTCAATTATAAACTTGGATAATACTAACGACTGACGCTACGACCGGCTGTAAGTGATTATTTTTAAATTTTAATACGGTCATACGATCGTGATTTAAACTAAACTAAACGTTTCATTGGGCTTTGTGTTTGCTAAAAAAAATTATATACATCGACTCGGATAATAAAACAGGTGGATTAATAGAAGTGGTGTTCGGTTTGGTGTGCAGCAATGGACGATTTAATTTGCCATGCCACGGGGAAGCAATCTACACGAATAATAGTATATATAATAAATAGTTCAACGGTTTTAACATTTAAAATTAATCGTTATATTCCCTTCTTGTAGATTTCTTGTAGTAGATTGTGATTTTAAACAGGAAAAAATGGGTAAAATATTGACTTGAATATTGTAGTAATCTATGTGGCATGTGAACTGGTCGTACTAGGAGGATCCCCACTTAAGTGGGAACCATCGTCTTATTACTGCCGCGAAACAGTTGTGTTCCAATTATAAATGGCGTGATCGTTGTCATACGATTCAGCATTCATGGTTCGTTTGCCGAAATACAGAAAAACCTATCAAATAAAGCCATCGGTGGATGCTCGTCTCGAAGTTTTACAACATTTTTTTCAATTTAAGACACAAAATATATTCCGGTATTATAGATGTTATTCGATATCATTAATGTTGTTACTGTTAAGAAATTTTGATGTTTTTAGATAGAGATGTTCCGTGATATCGATTACTTCATCATTAGGGTTATCCGTTCCCCTTGATCTATGGTATTTCTTTTTAAAACATCGATATTGTAATGAATGTATCGAATGATACTAAACTATACGAAATATTATCGATAACTTGGTATTTAGCTGAGCCTGACCCACTATTGTTTAACTACATCTTAAATAGTGCGTATTTGATTTAAGTATTCTAATTAAATTATACACTTAAAAAAATTGTTGTGTGACATATATTCCTATAATTTTTACCTTATGACTATTTGAAGCCCCAGAAATAAAAATGTTAAGAAAAAATAAGTATTTAAATAGTTTACTGAAGTATTAAACTAAATGATCTCTTATTTTTTCATTATTAACAATACTCCCAACGATATACATAGTACTAATTGAATGTGACATTGTGGATTTACTTTTGAAAATGTTTCAATTACAAACATGTATAAATGTCGTTGTTCAATAAGATGAATTGCTTTAAATTCTATAATAGTTCCCATCTTGTTTCGTGCCTTGTATAAAGCTGAATTATGTTGAATTATGTGTGTTTTCTACAAGTCGAAATTGTTGATGGAAATAATAAGATTTCCCTAACTTGTTGGCACACAACAATGCTGTTTCATCTTGCAGAACACATATATTTTTCAACAGACATGTAAGCTTTTTCAGTGATCATTTGTGTGCAAATTTTATTGTAAATGCAAAATAAATATTCATTGTTTTAAAACGATCAACTCTTATAAAATATAATCGTGTTTTATGCACAATGTTATATCTCAAATATTTATTGTAGAAAACAATTAGATATTTATGATTCGATCATAGGATATGATCGACCCACTCGGGTTGAATATATTTAATATTATAAAAAAATATATTATATTATGATAAAATAAAGTGTGAGGTTAGAAAAGAAAAATAAATACTGTACTTGAAAGGTAAGTTAAGTGAACATTAGGTAAATTACATTAGGCTTCAACAAAAGTTTGTTTTTGAATTGAATTGAATTGAACTTTAAATTAAATTCAAAATGTGTTTTTATGTAATAGATTTGTGTATGTTCTAAGTCCTGATATTTATTTTAACAAACATTCTTTCGGATCTACTCCGAATGACTTGTTTCATATTGACAAAAAATCGCATTACTGTGTACCTAATTGGTATTGATCAATTTTAAATCAATCAATATAAACGACGATTGGCAATAAGGTAATCTCTGACATTATGTAATATGAATACTTTATTTATTATAGTGATAATAATAATTGCTTTTAAACCTAAAACCATTTTAGTCCAATATAATTAATTGTATGTACTCTGATTTTCTTAATGGATGCATTCTTTACATGCAAATTCATTTGGTGCTTAATTTGACACAAATATATAGGCTTGTGTCTGATCTCAAAACTGAGTATTATTTTCGTTAGATGCCATACGAATAATACGTAGTATTCAATTCACTATTTCATTAGTTATACTAATATTTGCACAGCCGATTCGCAATTAAATGGAATAACTGGTGTCTCTTGTGAACAAACCCTATAACAAATACCATACAAATAGATTTATCAGTCCCGCCAAAAAAAAAATATCAGTTATTTCGTTCATAGGCGACTAGTAGAATACAATTAAATATAAATTTGTACATAGGCAATTGGTACACCAAAGACATTAACATTTTCGATAAAAAATTATTATCGATTTAACTAAATACAATTATCGATTATATCCGATATTGATTATTCGATTATTATACATAAGTGATTACCTATTTATATAGTTATGAAAAATTTACTGGTTGACTTTGAAAAAATATTATAATAATCTGAAATAATGCGAAAGTGGCAAAAAATTAGCTTTTCCTGCTTACTTACTAGAGTTATGACAGTTTGTGATTCAATGTAATCATAGTTCTAATTTTTTCAACATTGGAAATCCTCTGTTCGATATCCTGTATTCAATTTCTATAATTTTGTTATTCTATTTTCCTTATATGGTTACTCATACAGTCAAACGCTCAATTGTAAATTTTAATAATGTATCAATTTTTTTTATTATTTCAAACCACCATGAACACTGCCCAAATAGACTGAGTGTCCAAATATTGAACTTCGTTTTTATGTATGTTTTTGTTATTGTGTATGTTTTGAAGGTTTTTTATAATAGATAATTCGATTATTTTTTTGAATGCCAAATAAAAGAAAAAAGTATGAAAATATCTTTTTATTTCATTGTACTCATTTAATTCTTAAGACTATGAATATTCCTAACGTTAAAAATTGAGGTGTGGTAGTACAATCCTTAGCATAATGTGTTCTGTAACTGTGTTACATAAATTTCAAGTTATTGTGGTACTAATCCCAAATAGTCTCCAATTAAAGTCCCGATTGCAAACTGTAAAACAAAATTTTCAACATTTTTATAATGATCTAATAATAAATATTACATATTATTTTAGACATTACATACCTGTTTTACATTGATTATAAATTTATGTACGAATTTTGAAATTTAATAAAAATGTGTCTATTAGTTGCATATTCACTTAAGTATGTCATTCAAAATATTATTTTATGACCATTGGCAACACTGATAGTAATAATGTAAAATTCCCTGTGATTTACAATATACATTTAGGGAAAAACTATAAGAAAATTGTCCAGAATTGTTTAGAATTCGCCATTATGTTTAGCTTTTGTATTAAATAGATTTTATTACTAACTTTTTTTGCACCTTTTCAAAAAGAAATGTCAGTAATAAAAACAAAGATGCTTTTTTTCGATTTTTCTTTAAAGCAGAATCCGTGACACCTTACAATATAACACATGATTTAATAGCAATTGTGACTATTTTATAATATTGCACCACCAACTTATGAAAGTAAATGGAGGACTGATTAGTTTTCTACTATTTTTTTTCTTTTTTTTTTATTACCCTTGTAGGCAGAGGAGCATACGGCCTACCTGATGGTGAGTGGTTACCGTCGCCCATGGACTACAGCAATGCCAGGGGCAGATCCAAGCCGCTGCCTACCGTTACTATATACTTATATACAAATATTCCATGATGGAAAAATATTTTAATCATCATTATTAAAACAATGTCTTACAATGCCACTCGCGTCAACCCTCGTACCAACAATCTTTAATCGGATCACATCCTCTTCTTGTATTACGCTATCCTCTTGTTTACTCTTATAACATGGAGGATTTACATTAGGGCAGAACTCCATATAGTCTGGTATTGACTGTAAAATAAAAATATTTTTATAATTTCATTTTATGGTACAAAAATTCGTAAACCTTTGTTGGTTATAAAATATTATTTGGTAGTATAAGACAAAGGGAAGATCTTTCACCAAACGGGTGTAATTGGTAGGTGGGCTGAGGGGCTGAATATTTTTAGGAAGGAATACTCTTGATAATTTTAAAATAATTTAAGCTTAATTATATAATTCACTCTGAATACTCACATGATGGGATATAAAACATTTGAGAGGTCCTATTTGCGCAAACATGCCAACCTAAAAACATTAAACATAGTAAATTTGCAATTTTAATTACAGTAGTAGACTTAGACTTGATGTGGCTGTGCCCTTGGCATTACTGACATGTGCAATAATTACTACTTACCATCAGATTGGTCGTAAGAGGGCCTGCCAACAACGGTATTAAAAATATGGGCGAAAAACTATGTAAACAGCTCTTTAAATTAAATTTGATTTATTCTAACTTAATAAAAGAGACATTTTAGAATACACCTATCCCCTATTTATACTGAACATATGTCAGTCATAAAACAGTGTAAAATAAAATATTTGATTGTGCTATTTGAAACCATGTAAAATAAACTTCCACTGTGTAGTTAATTCCGTTCTTTATTTAAGTAAAACATGTTAAATAGTCTATCTAAACCTACCTAAAATTATTGTGGCCACATTCATGAGAAATATGCTACATCAAGCAAATACATCAACATCCACAGGGGCAGAGTAACTTTTTGCTCTATTTTATAGTCTTAAACAACCTAATTTTTTCATTTTTGTTTTCAAAGATATCTTATTTCATTTCATTTTTTATGTAGAAGTTTTTAGACACAAATTAGACACGAGTCCAAAAAAAGTAATAAAATTAATAAGGATAAGTGCTAATAACTAACAGCCATGGCAAAAAAAATATAAATGGCTTTTTCAATTGCTTTCACATGAGCTACTTTCTGTTTGGTTACATATTAAGGGTATATAATTCACTAAATGTATGTTGTATGTCACAATATGGGGACTAGTACATTATTGCATCAGTGTTGCCAAATTAATGAGATCCAATAATGTTAATATGCAACCAATGTATACATTTTCATAAATTTACATACTGTGAAAAAGCCAAAATCAAGTATTATAGGTACCATATAAATAGGGGGGTAGGTGTTACTAAAGTAAACTGTTGATTTATAAATGGTGGTACTAAAACAGCATACTATAGATTCATTACAGGGTGAAGGAAACTTTTTCTGAAAATATAACTGCAATATAATAAAACTAACTTATAATATTTGTTATTTTGTAAGTTTCTATTTGTGATTAATTTCACTTTGTTAGGAATTACCAGTTCTACTATCTTTATTTCAGAAAAGATTCCAACTCACCCGAAATAACATTAAGCATAATTTTAATAGTTTAAGTCACCTTGTTTACTTGTGTGACAATACCATCTAAAACTTCTCCTTTGAATGGTCTGAACACAACAGCTTTGTATTTAACAGGGTACATGACAAACCCTTGTCCATGTTGTATGAGACCAGCTCCGATATTGTCTATTTGAGTTACCGCTATCACAAATCCATATCTAAAAATGTTTTGCTTTTCACTGTATTTTGTTCACAAATTGCACAATAAATTCAGAGAACAGTTAGTTAAATATGTAATGGCAGTAAGGCAAAATTTGAGCTTTTTTCAGTGAATACCAACCAACCTCTAGTTTATTTTTGCCACAAAGCAATCCTTCATTCCAGTTTGAAGTGTGGTAAAGGAGTTTGGAATGCCATTGAGATATGGACTCTATTTATCAGTGAGTGATATTATACATTGATGTTGCTATAATAATTATATACATTGATATTGTAATTGTTATGGGCTCAGATAACCACTTTTTAACAATTGTTCCGTAAATCATGAAAAATTTATCTAGAGCCTGGTTTTCTAACAAGGTTTCTTTCCTTTCTTTTTTTATTTGATTGCTAACGGGATCAATTTAGCAAATTTTAAAATTGGTAAGTGTTTTGTATTCATAGGAAAAAAACTAGAGAAAGCGTTTTGTATTAGTGATTTTGCTATGGGCTATGGAAATAGTTTGGGCATCCCAGATCCAGAATAATAAATATAAAAAGCAAAAGTTACTGTCAGTTCCTGTTTAAGCCTATTTTAGACCTTATTTTCTATTCATATAACACTTGTGAGTAGAGTGCGACTTCTGAGCAGCAGCTGCAGGGAAGACAGTTCATTCCAGTATTTATTTCCGATATTAAAGATGAAAAGTATTTTATACACTCCATAGTTACAGGAATAAATATAATGTGGAAATTAGCGAAGCGTTACTCACATCGCAATCAAAAGTAGCTAGGTCTTGTTCGAACATAACTCAGTGGGCCTACGGCCAATTAATACCGACTTACTTGCCAGTACAGGTGCCTTCCACATCAGTGTATAGCTTCTGTTTGACTGTCTCCAATAGTTGTGGACCGAAATATTTCGGATGTAACAAAATTTCGTGCTCCAATGAAATCTGAAAAGTTTTATTTACAAAACGAATGCATTGGCGTTCATTTTAAACAGAGTGAAACAGGAAAATAAAATATCATACGTGGTAGAACATTTTTCAGCGGTGGACAAATTACGATTAGTATTCCATTCAATTAGATTTGTTTTATTGTTATTTTTTAGTAATATACATAAACAGCATCAACTCTCAACACTGCATGCTAATTTCAAATTTTAAACCAAATTGAAAATTGAGTCATGTCAACAGTCAATGTCATTATTTTTCCTTTAATTTGAGCATTGGACAGGCAGAAGGAATGTAACTTAAACGGCTAAATGCAAATTTTGTTATTGTTGTACTAGTAACGTGGATTGCATTATTAACAAACGAGCAACGACCTCTCGATATTTTCGTTTAGTCATAAATTAGAAGTAGTTGCTAAAAATACCAAATCATAAATAAACACATAATCAACACTTTTCACCTAGCACAAAAAATTTAAAAAAAATCAAATATCAATTACTTATAATCATAAACAAACTTCCTTATTTATAGTTCATATAAATAAATTTAAGTTACAAATATTTTTTACATAATTTATGTAAATAAATGTTTATTTTTTCAATTTAACTATTATTAAAAAAATCAGTATCTCATGTGACTAATTTACTATAGAAAATTAAAATTCGTTTCACATCACTAGTGGAGATTGAAAAATGCCAAATGAATGGCAGGCTATGTGTATTAGCGTAATCAGATTGTTGTAAAAATGGCAAAAACTTACGATTGTTTATTCAAATTACTTCTAATCGGAGATTCGGGAGTGGGAAAAACATCAATACTATTTAGATTTTCTGAAGATGCATTTAACATCTCCTTTATATCCACAATTGGTAAGTGGTTTCTTCAGATCAAAAGTGTCAGTGAAGAATTTTTTTGTACACTTATTGTAGGTAATGGAAGTGTTTTTTGTTTCCTATTCATTGTTTCATTTTTTAAATACATGATGATCAGGGCGCGGCCTTTATAACGAAACCCTTATCAATTTAAAGGATACTAGAATTAATGACATCATACTCACTAATTTTAATTAGTCCCTCCAGTTTCAATGGGTTTTTGTTTCCAGGTATCGACTTTAAAATTCGAACAATAGACCTTGATGGCAAAAAAGTTAAATTACAAATATGGTGAGTTTTATTCTTTAACAAAAGATTATCATATTTGGATTAAAGAAATTTAAAAGTTGTTTCATTGTTATTTTTACTGTAGATTTATGTATTAAAATTATATTTTACATGTTCATTATCAGTATGTAAGTAATAATCAATGAATTAATGTACATTATAGTTTGTCTCACATTGCATATTTAATCTTCTTACATTATTTTTTTTGGTAATTAATTTGAATCACTGGATTATTGTATTACAATAATACAAAATTTTAATTGTAAATTACCATTTTTTAAATTAGTACTTATTTAAATTTAGTGTATCACAAAGTAATACAATGAAGCAGGTGAAAAATAATACTAGTGGTAAATCATATTGTTGAACCCACCAAGGCTAATACCACCATAAAAGTAAAAGCCTACTTTTGACACAAAGAAGTCATGCTTTCTTTTATGAATGGTGGGACATCATTCAAACATTATTCATGTTTTGATTTCTATTTGCTCTGGTAACATACAGGACTGGCTTGTAAGTTTTTTTGTCAGCTTGCAAAGAAAGAAGAACATAATATTTCAATCTTAACATAAATTCCTAAAAGTTTTTTGGGAATTTGCCAAAGTTGATATAGTATATAATAGGCTTTTCATAAAGAAATAGTCTTTATTAATATTTCATGACAACTTTATGAATAATTGTTTTAAGAGTATGTTTTGTTCAATATGCATGCATGTATTAAGTGTGTATGAGTTGTCTGAATCTTGTATGAGTTGATCCAACTAATGAAATAAATGATGCAACATATAATAGTACAGTAACATTAGTTAACAATAATATTTTAACAGCTTCATTTTTTCACACAATTAAATGAGAATTTTGGTTGAATTTTCTAATACACTGTCAATAGATTGTTGCTGCTTGATTGATGTGTAGTTAAATCTCAATGTTCATTTACTCACCATATTTATGTAATTTTGGTTCAAATGTTATCTGCCTAACAGAATCAAAACATTAAGTCAATTTCTATATCATTTTAGGGATACTGCTGGTCAAGAGAGGTTCCGTACAATAACAACAGCATACTACCGTGGTTCTATGGGAATTATGCTTGTCTATGATGTTACGAATGAGAAGAGCTTTGAAAACATTAAGAATTGGATTAGGAACATTGAAGAGAATGCCAGTGCTGATGTTGAGAAAATGATACTTGGAAATAAGTGTGACTTAGATTCTCAAAGACAGGTGCTTACATAGAGTTTATTTAAAATTCTTGGGTTAATGATTATAATTGAGTAAATGATACTAATAAGTACATAACATCGCTTATTTGTGCTAATATATGGTTCTCAATGTATTCTACAGGTATCAAAGGAGCGAGGTGAACAATTAGCCATAGAATATCAGATAAAATTTGTGGAGACATCAGCAAAAGACTCGTTAAATGTTGAATATGCATTTTACACTTTAGCCAGGGACATAAAAGCGAAAATGGAAAAGAAACAGGTATTTATGCAAAATTTCAATTTAATTGTAATAATAAATTAGTCTGTTTTATCACAATATTGCGTGAAGGTCATTTTCATAAATGTCTATTCCCGCATCCCACTCTGAGCTAATTTTATGACAGTTAATGACACATTGTGTGTTTAATATGACTACATTTCCTTTATAACCTCCGTTGGTGGTATGATTAAGAGATTGAAAAGCAATTGTCTCGTGTACAGTTAAAAACGGACAGACATGTTAATAATTAAGACTTTCACAACAACTAAAAGCCGTGAAATACACTGAGCATATGATCTCAACTGTAGTTTGAGACTTATAAAGTATCATTAAGTTGATAAATCATAAATTGATAATCCATTGCAATTTTAAAAGTTGCCATTAAAAAAATAAACTTTCGTTATCTAAGATTCTGTTGCTTGCAGTAGTATTCGATTATGGTGACATTAATATGACCAAATAAATTAAAATCAGGTAAATACATTAAAAAAAACTTCTAAATTTTATGTGCATATAGTAGTGAAATAATATACCTAATTATCTATGTATAATGACTAAATATCTTTTGAACGTTTGATTTCACCATGGAATTGGTAAGCTTGAGATCAAATTAAAATGCAAAAAGTGAAGAATTACCACATTTTCCATGGGCGTTATAAAATACGACCTAGGGAAGTTATCGCAGTATACTCTGAAAATTACCCGTGCAGTGATCTATAACGGTGTTTTGTGAAACTGCACAGGGAAGTGACACCATTATGCCTACTTCTACCGCGAAACAGATATGAGAAGTTCTAGTTTTAATGCGATACAACGATAGAGGACGATCCCGTGTCTCAAAATGGGCGGTACCATTCACGTAGTGCCCTTTATAGCCAGTGGATAGGACAATAAACCAATTCCCGTATAGGACAGTAAAAATGAAATCTAATCTTAGCACTTTGTTTGTTTCATGGCCGCTTTTCGAAATCCAGAAGGTAAAATATACTTTTAAACATTTACTCGTGTTGTGTTTTTGTATGATTATTGTTTTGCCTGTTTTTTATGAGATTCGATATTGTTAGTAGTTTTGTAGAAAAAAACATAAAAAAGCATGCATTTCGTTTTAATGCTGAATTGTAATCATGCTTTCAATAGTAATTTACTACTACTCATAAAAAAAAACATTGTTTTTTTTACAATACTACATTTGTAGTGCTGCCAAAATGATGATAGCAATTTGATAGAAGCCTGATAGATGCTTTTGATAGCAAAAAATAGAAGACATTCAATGCTTAGTGACAGAAGTCTAAATACAAACGCGGATACTTTTGTGTTAATTAGTAGCCCGAAGCCTTGCAAAAAGGAAAATAAACTGCTTCCAAGTCTAAAAATGCATCGATCTGTGGGCGTCTATGAACATTTTTGTTTTTTACAAATTAGCTAAAAGTATACAAAATATAATTGCCGTGAAAACTTTACATTCGATGTCTAAACGCAACTACATTACGTATGACGTCACTTGGGGCCAAAATGTATGTCTAACCACTTATAATAATACACGAATACGTGTTATATATTTTTTTCCCTCTAATACTTTACATACAACTTTAAAATCTCTAGAAGTAATAACTCCTCCATCTTGATCCCTATAACAATATTAGATGTAGGTAATTTGATGATTTGGAATAATAATGTATAGGTATGTACCTAGTTTAAAAATAACGGTAATATAACAATAACCCGAAGTAAAAAAATTTATACTGTTAATACACTACACTACTACAGACATTAGAGCAAAGTTATAAAACCAACAGTCCTTGATGCGTGTGCAGATTTTCAAGTTAATCGGACTTCTTGAAGTCTGCGAGAATGACGTTCAAAGATTGCATACATACATACAGACCAAGTTAATAAAAGCTAGTTAAAAACTAATATTTCACAATATGTATTGGATTGGAATACTAGTCTAAATTTAATTATGAATTAAATTGTTCGACAGTTCAGTTATTGGTGTGTGTATTGTAATTATAAAACCATCATTCTTTGTGCCTTAACACGGTCAGCTTGTCTTACTCACCATTTCCGTTATCAATGAAGCATCCCCATACATTTAACTTTGTGACTCAGTACTCAGATAGAATAACGATTAGTGCTTGCTGTTTTTATAGTATGCAATAACATACCTAAAAGCCTTTGTGTCATTGTGAATTCCATAACTAATGTTTAAATACTCAGTAGGCAAAGGGAGAGCTAGAGTTTTATTTATTTATTGCTTAGATGGGTGGACGATCTCGCAGCCCACCTGGTGTTAAGCGGCTACTGGAGCCCATGGACGTCTACAACGTAAATGCGCCACCCACCTTGAGATATAAGTTCTAAGATCTCAGTATAGTTACAGCGGCTGCCCCACCCTTCAAACCGAAAAGCATTACTGCTTCACGGCAGAAATAGGCAGGGCGGTGGTACCTACCCGCGCGGACTCACAAGAGGTCCTACCACCAGTAAAAGAAGGAGTTGATAAATTTTAACACAGCTTCGTGTGTAAAACTAGCAACGTGTGATAATTAAGTTTAAAAGTTTACGTTTTTAAAGTATCTCAGGTCTTCCGCATGTCTCTGGCTAGGCTACTTGAAGTGAGTGATATAACTGATATACCTACTAGATCAATGCAATACGGTAAAATTCGATCCCATATTTCAAGGTACGCCATTCGTGATGTCTATGAGTTTCAGTTACAGGAACACAAATTAATTATTAATTTAGTTTTGCTCCTTTCACATCTTCAGATTTTCCATAAAATAATAAGCTTTTTTTTTAAAACAGTTCGTTTAGATTTTTGAGTATATGTCGATAAGGGTTGCAGAATAAAAAATATATTTTTAATAGTGCTTATAAAACTTTAGGCTACTCATAGGCTCCAGATAGAAAATAAAATGTTTTTTTTTTAATTTACCGACCTATCGAACTTACCTTTGTCTCTGATAAATAAATCGACTTCAAACAAACTACAAGTATGATATAATGCTGTAGAGAATCATACCTATCGATGCTACGTATTGTAGTTATCTGATTGAATTGATAAAATCAATTGTATTGGACAGCGTAACAAGAATGTGACTCGCTTTGCCTTTTGTATTTATACGACGCAACCTATAAAAATTTTGCTAGTGGAATGTGTTGCATTGAAACCATAGACTTATTTTGAAGTAAAAAAAAAAAACGTAAAATACATAAAATACGTATTTTTTCTTCTTTCAAATGATTATCCTAAACGGTAAATAGTGTAGGATTTACCAGTACTAGAAGTAGAAGTAAATTTATTTGTCGGATTAGCATATTAGATAATTTCGAAGCCTCCAATGAACACTACTCTAACTCAAAATTTTGAAATTTTCGTTTTTCACGCAAATCGCTTCACTATTTTAAAAGTACTACAAATTCATTATTAATGGGGTTCGAAGCAAGAGTAAATCAGCTAGTTACACAAGAAAAAACCATAAAATCTTTATTATTGCAGATATATTTATCAACTTTTTTCGTTTAAACTCTCCTCTGTAAACCTACGAATTTGGAGTTAGAGTAGTGTTCATTGGAGGCATCGATTTATTATTAGTACTTATGAATGTTCTCAAAGACCAATCTAGATCGCGGTCGAATTCAGTAATTGTTTCAAAAATAATCCAGTTTTTTTGTTACAATACTATAGTAACAAAAAAAACTGGATTATTTTTATTAATCATGATTACCGAAACCAAAAATTAACTGAACATAAACTGTACCCGTCATAAAAAATTATCACGTAACGCGATAACGTTATTTCATATAGAAACCAACCCTATACTTGTGCATTGAGTATTGCATGTAGGCGTTTTTAAAAGATTTTGTAAATGTAAATGAATGGAGAGGCGATTCTTGCTGGTGGTCCACAGAGAACGTTTTGAAACCGAACGCGTCGGAACTATTTTTGAAGAAGTCGTGCATTCCAGTTCGTACGATAGCCGCTATTAAAATCAAATGAGACTTCGACCTGATACGTCATGATAGGCGAGCAGCAGTCACGATGTCGTGTTTAAGTGCATAGTGCGAATTTTTTAACGTTCCCGATAACGTAAAAGTTAACTCAAATTTGTAGGCAGTTAGAACATCGCCCTTGGCGACAAACGTTCTACACGAGCACACAGCAGAGCCGTGAGTTCCAGTGCCTAAACGCGCCTATAGAGAATAAAGCAGAAATTAAACAACACAACTAATATAAATGTTACGGTAAATGTACACTTACTGGCAATGGCGATTTTGTATTTTGTATGCCATGCTCACATTTACCAAAACGATATGGTCATTGTGATCATGGCAATTGTGCACATTTACCGGACAATGTGTACATTTGCCGCAATATGTACTTTTACCGTAACATATAAATCACGATTGTTCGTTAATGTTATTAGTGGAAATATTCTAAATTGTTGTTCTGATAATAGGAAGCGAGTAATCCGTCGGGCGGTAGGAGTGGCGTCCACAAGCCGACGCTGAACGACGCTCGCAAGCCGGTGACGTGGCTGTCGCGTTGCAGCGTGCTTTGACCCCGTCTGCACACTACGAACCCCGCCCCAGCCCTATTCTAACATTGTGGTACTTTGAACTGCCCACCTTGACTATATTTTTCTACCTACTTTACTTGACGGTGCGTTGACCTCCTGCGGGGATGAGACTTGCTTTTGTATTTTTATATCCAAGACTACGAATACATACTTAATTTCATCTTTGAAAATAAATAAACAGTATTGTTCATTAAATTATCTGTAATCGGTTTGTAATTTGATTTTGTATTTAAAAACTTAAAATTTCACGGTGTTATGTTCATATCAATTTTAATGGTAAAAGGATATTATTTCAATAGATTATTTTAGCTGTACTTTATCTTTTGCTACTTTTTAAATTAAGATTATATATTATATATATATATATATATATATATATATTTTAATGTAATATAAAATGTACACTATTTAATTTGAATAAAGAGCTTTTTTTACATAAATCTATTTTGTTTCAATAAAATTCCAATTTAAGTAACGAATTAGTAATTTTTATTTACCAACATTAAATGTATACAAAGATAATTTATTTCACTATATAAATGGAAGGAACATCACTAGCTTTGAAGAGAAACCGAATAATTATAATTGTAATAACTCATTTGGTTCTTTTCTGAACTAGACTTTATATGAATGTTTTTATTTCATGATGTTTGTACTTGTTTAGGTTTTGACCTGAATGGAATTAATATTAAATTCTTTGTTCCTATTAAAGCACTTTTGGTGGTAAATTTTAACAGTTGCAGTAACTTCTTGGCTGTCAATACAAATAACTCCAAAGTAAGCTGTGAACCTTTTCTCCAATAAACAATATATGCTGGAATTGGTGGGAGATTCTCAGACCAAATGCCGTTTCTGAGGCTTTTTGCTTGTGCTTCTGCTGATAATAGAGCAGGGGCAATTTGTGACTCAATGGTATTCTTTTTTAATTCTTTAGGAAAAGATGCTTTTGCAAATCCAAGCTCTACCAATTTTTTACCAATATCCAATGTTTGAACATCTTTACTCTGAAATGGAAAACATTTTTGTAGAGTAATTTTTAATAATTTAAGGTATTTTGTTGAATTTGTTTAAATTGAAATATACCTTAGGCTGACGTAAATGCAATAATACAGTAGAAACTAGATCATCATTATCTCTTCCGATTGGCTTTAATGTCACTTGCTGGCCCCTAGCAACACATTCCAGCCAATTCACTGCATTCCCACTAACTACTTCAATTCCCCACAGCTAAAACAAAACAAAAAGAATATATTTTTATTACTTTGTAGGAAAATTTTTGTACAAGTTATATTTTTATCACATTTACCTTAACTGGTAGTGGAGGTTTACTGGAATGCCATAGCGGTAAATATATTGGGGCTTTGTGATTGACCAGAACACGAACTGGTGAATGTTGCACTCCAGCATATAATCCTTTCAAAGGTTCATGATTTCTGATGAAATGATCTGGAACTTTACTGGCTTTCGAAAACTTGCTAACCTATCGAAGTAATTTTATTATTTATAGTTATGTAATTATTAATATAGGGTTTTTTAAACAAATACTTACAGGGCGAATCTTATGAACAGATATGGCGAGACCAGCGGTGGCTAGGGCATATACTGCTATCTGTAAACAACAATCAAATGATAGTGCTTCGTTTACAAAGTTATTATTATCAACATCAACTTGTAATTATCTACATACGTTAACCCCGCGATAATCTTGTTGTAATAAATATTGTATGTTGTAAAATATTCCTCCTTCTTTTTGAGACATTTTGATGTCTACAGATACGAAATTCTCATAATTTCATAAACTTTCGTAAATTAGCTCATCAATATTTTCAATCCAATTCTGAATTTAGATGAATGATAGAAAAAACAGCTTCAGACTTGTCAGAATTTTTGTTTGATTCTACTGAGCTCTTTATTATCTTTGGTTAACTACCAAATGTAACCTGACACAGTGTTTAATCTTTGGTTAATAGTTACATAAAGCATAGATTTTTAAATTTATTTGAGGGCTAGTCTTGATATCTCAATAAGAGTATCTTCATACAGTTTAGGTTTAGCTATAAATATAAATGCTTTAAACTTTTGGGAGATGCTTCATAAGTACGCGCAAAAAGTAATAAAGTAATAAATAACCTAACCAAAGATTGTGCTAACCTAAGGTTAACAAATAATACCAAAGAGGTAATTTATGACCTCTAATACACGAGCGGCATTCTGGCACTAAAATATTTGTGCTTTTTTGTAGACTGTGTTGGAGCTATGTGATCAATAATCTCGAATCATCAAGAAAATCTCTAGCTTCCATAACAAAATTGATAAAAAGAATAATTCAGTTGTAGCGTCGCGTATGTTGAAGCTGCAATTTAATTCTGCCACTTTTTATTATTATATTGTTAATCTTACCTAATAAGTTTAGAGGTGACGCACTGCGACTGTCTTTGCAATGTCGAAATAGTTCGTGTGGATGGATACAAAATATTTTACTGGTAGCACTGTTGAAATTCCACGTCAACTGATTTGACAGTTGATTGCCCATTTTCCGTTGTGTATTGTGTAGGTTAATAAAAATATATAATAATGATCACTGTTTTGAATACTATTGATACCGGCCATGAAGATATGATACACGACGCCGAACTGGATTATTACGGACTAAAACTAGCTACATGTTCTTCGGATAATTCAGTGAAAATATACGACATTAAGAATGGTACACAAACATTGGCTGCTGATTTGAAGGGTCATTTTGGCCCCGTGTGGCAGGTAGCTTGGGCTCATCCTAAGTATGGGAACCTATTAGCGTCATGCTCTTATGACAGGAAAGTTATCATATGGAAAGAGTCTGGAGAGTGGACTAAACTATACGAACACACTGGACACGAAAGCTCTGTGAACTCTGTTGCGTGGGCGCCGGCTGAGTACGGCTTAATCCTCGCTTGTTGTAGTTCAGATGGCTCAATCTCTATCATACAATATTCACAAGATACTGGTAATTGGGACGTAAAAAAGATAACGGGTGCACATGCCATTGGTGTTAATTCTATTAGTTGGTGCCCAGCTTTATCTGCAGATTTGAACTTAGATCCGCTTACCAATAAAGATGCTCCAAAGAGATTAGTTACTGGAGGATGTGATAATTTAATCAAGGTATGTTACAAGTTGTGTTTAATTGTTTACTGACTCTGTATTACAGTAGTTAGCACTCCTAACTGTTGCGCCACAGAGAATCCTGATTTGGGGCCAGTGTTTTTATTTTATTTTTTTATTGCCTTTTTTAGGCAGACGAGCGTACGGCCCACCTGATGGTAAGTGGTTACCGTCGCCCATGGACTTCAGCAATGCCAGGAGCAGAGCCAAGCCGCTGCCTACTGCAAAATGAATGTGTGTGATTTATTCCGGGTTATCTATTTATAACAGAAAAAAAGATGGCAGCAATTTTTCTTTTCACAATATCATATATTGCATGCATTAGTTAATTTTAAATGAAAATAGATATATTTCAACAATAATTAGTTGAATTTTTTTAATATATCTACCTAAAATTACCTTGTCCTTTATTATCGATATGTTCTTAATAAACCCTGTATTTAATGATTACTATTTAATGACATCATAATGCTTCTTAATTATTATTTTTTTAGTTAGTTATTCCGGTTGTTGTTTTCAGATTTGGAGAGAGCAAGGTGATCAATGGGTTGAAGAGAACAGATTAGAGTTGCACATTGATTGGGTCAGAGATGTAGCGTGGGCACCCTCTCTGGGATTACAACGTTCCATGATTGCCAGCTGCTCCCAAGACAAGAGGGTTGTCATATGGTCTAGTGATGATAATGTATCTTGGACCCCAACAATATTAAACACATTTGATGATGTAGTATGGAGTGTTAGCTGGTCACTCACTGGCAACATCTTGGCTGTATCAGGAGGAGATAACAAAGTCAGCCTTTGGCGTGAGAGCACTGACGGCCAGTGGTTATGTATTAGTGAAGTTGCCAAAGGTTTGGGCCAAACACCCAATGATGAAAGAAGCACACTTTGAATTTGCTTTTAATTTCATTTGTTAATTTTGTAATCTGCTAATAGTAATATAAAATATGTACATTAACACTGATTTTTTATAAACTTCATCAAAACCCAGATTTAATCTATATATTCAATTTGATAATCCAATAATTGGATTGAGACATATCTAACAGGTTTTAAATAAATTGCTATGATTATTATTACTGTATGTATTGAACATGGCCTGAGGAGATGAAGTCACTATTGTCAATGTACACAATCATTTTCAATTTGATAGTATATTTTTTAGAATTTCAAGAGATATTTTTATTTTAAAGAGAAAAGTTCACATGTATACTTGACATGGAAATAAAAATTAGAGTAATGTACTTTTCACCTTGGAAAGTATGATGCCAGAATAGCTAGAATAGGTAAAAATATTTGGGTTCTCTACTTAATTGTTTGTGACAATAGAAATAAAACAAAGGGACATATATAAAAAAAATTATACTTAAAATACAAACTATCACATGTTTTTAAGATTAAAGTCAATTTGTTCTAACAATAATGGCATCTGATAATATTCGGCTATTGTCTTAAAAGTCATTAGTTGGTCTTTGATCTCTGTTACGGGAACCATCAGCGAAAAATCTCCAGCACAATCACAGACCACAGACAAATTCTCACGTTTTACCTGGAAGAAATATACATAGATTCAAATTCCGCAAGTAACCAAACATTTTTTCCTAGTCTTTATATATGTATATGCAGTCTGCTCACAATCCCTTAAGTTATACATTCCTTTATTTCTTCCTTTAAAGAGCCACATCAACTTCTTACTCGGAGTGCTAAAGAATGTAATTTCTTACTTAAGGAGGTTTAATAGAAAGCTGTAATTGACTTTTACACACCATCATTAAAAATTAATTATTCTTTGAAAATAGTATTATTGTAGTAAAATATTAAAAATAATAAGCTTTTGAGATGGGCTTCCTCATTTAGTCATTTTGTGATGTGGCTATGAAGTATTTCGATTTAGCCTAGTCACAGAATAATTGAAATAATTAATACTCCATTGCAGTGTTTCCTATTGTGCTAACATACTTATTAGGCGCTGTTACGTCTGGGTGGCCTTAAAACTTACATCGATAATGGTGGGTGCCGGGTGTGCATACTCGAACAATGAATGTGTAATATTTAATTATTCATACCTGGTGACATCGGCTACATATAAGATCTTGCAGCGTATACGCCATCGTACGTTTGTTCATCGTCTCGATTAGTCGCCATTCTATTTCCTGATTATCATATGCTGTTCCACATGTTGGACATAAACACGCCGGACTGAAAATAAACAAATATTGTACACATGTTTTATAAGTACATACATAAGTACTGAAATATCAGCTCTCTCGTATTTCTACAAAACACATCTTTGGCCAGATGATTAGTCTAAAGGACCTAGCTCGCTTTGTCCTTTCTCTCTACGGTCGAGTGGTTCGCCAGACGCTATCTATTTTCTCAATCTCGCTCTTCCTAAAATCTGTATCTCTCTAGCCGTAACGAATCTGTCGCGAGTTAAATTTTACTCTCAACGGGCCTAAAGAAGTTTCACTTCAATAAATTAGTGTTCTCGATTCGATTCGAATCGATTTAAATTCATCATTCGCAGAATTTTTTTTTTATTGCCCTTGTAGGCAGACGAGCATACGAGCATAACCTCTTTCGAGTTATTACTAATACAGGTTATTTGAATGATCACTGAATCGTGGTTGGTAGGGTCGGGTCGGTTACCGTTCCGTCGACTATCGCCTCGACGACCCGTCGGTCGGGCGTCCTCGGGGTGGCGCCGCGTGTCTAATTGTAGTGTTGACCGCGGGAACCCTCCTACTCTGACCGGGTTCTGATCCCGGACGGAGATCGGACTTCGGGTGTAAGAGTGCAGGGGAGTCGTTTAGTGCGGTAGGGCCCTAAAATTCTTAGGGCCCGCGGTCTGCTCCCAACACTTTGCAGATCGTCAAGTCCCACATACCCTCGTAAGAGGTTCGGCCCCGGCCCGAAAAAAAAAAGGTTACCGTTCCGTGTCGTCTCGCGCGTCCCTGCACAGGTCGAGGTCGCGGCAGTGGTTGCACACGCGGCACGTGAGCTCGGTCAGCACGCACGCGGCGCACGGCTCGCGCCACTCCGCCGCGCTGCTGAACTCGCCCACGCCGATCAGACGGAGCAGGTTGCGCCGCACTAGCGTCATCTGTCAGATGTTTGTCACATCTATACAGGGTGTTAGGAGACCGCTTCCGAAAATGAAGACAAACTATGATAGTACTAATGACGCCTTTGATGATGGAGTTATTTAGACAAATGTTGTATATTATTGATGTAAATGATTGTAAATGTTGTATGATATTCACCTCTTCGTCTAAGGTCGGATCGAGAGAGAACACTTTACAGACGGCGTTGACGAAGAGCAGGGCGGGCGTGACGTCACTGAGCGCGTCCGCCTTGAGGCCGGGCTGCGGCCCGATGTCCGACAGCCGGAGCGTCGGCATCCGCGTGTTTATCTTCTCCGTTACTCTGTCGAAGTTCATCGATAAGTTTTATTAACTAAATCTATATAAAACTTTAGTACCTAATTTGTATGTCTCTGTAGTCAACGATTTATTTGAGTCGTTGTGTTGGTATTGATGACTGAATGACGCAGTCTGAGAATCCATATTGGGTTCTGATCAGTATCACTGGCGCACCCATAGACACAACCCGCTGAGTTTCTCGCCGGATTTGTGGATTCGCGTTTCCGATCCGGTGGTAGATTCTGCGAAGCACTGCTCTTGCTGGGGCCAGTGTTAGTAACGAAGTCAGGTTTCAAGCTCGTAAGTTCACCTACTAGTTCGGTGTATCTATCTCGAGGTTACTAGAATAGGTAGAAAAAAAACAGTGGCGCTAACAACATAGCCAAACATGTGAATATGAAAATTGTTCTTTTTTATTGTTAATTATAAATGAACGAACTCAAGAATATATTCTGTAGTTGTAGTTCACTAAACACATACTTTTCTTTATTTTTTTATTGCTTAGATGGGCGGACGAGCTCACAGCCCACCTTAAGTGGTTACAGGAGCCCATAGACATCTACAATGTAAATGCGCCACCCACCTTGAGATATAAGTTCTAAGGTCTCTGTAAAGTTACACTTATACTTTATATTATTATGTTATACTTTTCAATCTGATTGTCTATTTAAATGTTCTTGAGCACAGAACAACCTTTACTTAGAAATATTGGGTTGTTTTTATTATTCTAACATCCCAGATTTATACTTGACATTATACTGAGCATTTGTTAACACGCTTTCATAACCTATACTTGTATCTATACTGGGTGTTAGGAGACCGCTTCCGAAAACTAAGACAGACTAATAACACCTTTGATGATGGAGTTATTTAGACAAATGTCGTAAATAATTATTTGTGTGATCGCGCGAGTGTGCGCAGCGCTGCGCCCGGGCGTTCGTTGACCCGAGCACCAGCTGTTTTTGATTTTGTGTTTCATTGCTGTTTTTTTTAAAACAAAGTAATGTATCTTTTATGAAACTATCGTTTCATTTAGGGGTACTAACATGGTGAAACGTAAAGAATGCTGATAAAACGTTTTAAAATTACGATTTTTTTTTTTTAAATCAAGATGGTATTTTTTCCATACCATAATCAAAGGTGTAATTAGTATTATCGTTTGTCTTCGTTTTCGAAAGCGGTCGGTATCGGAATTTTTCAACTTCATTTTAATTAACTTCAAGACGTCTGTTTGACTTGAAATTTTGTCTAAATATCGAGGACCGAGGGTACTAGAATATAATGATATTGTAGTATAGCAGCGGGCGGGGCGGACGTACTGACCGGAACAGTTTCTGCGAGATCTCGCCGCGCAGCAGGGCGGGCAGGTCGGCGGGGCGCGTGCGGGCGGCGGCCAGGTACCCGGCCACGGCGGACACGAACTGCTCCCGGACGAAGCCCGGCAGGAACTTGGCCAGGTTCCAGTGCATCACTATCGAACTCTCCTGTTTAGGATTTCAATCGATTATTTTTTTAAAACGACAGCCTTTTTTTTTAACAAAACCCAGTCACCGTCCTTGCTTACGACTCACGACTCGGCGAGTAGATTAACCCATAGACACAGCCCACTGAGTTTCTAGCCGGATCTTTTCGGTGGGTCGCGTTCGCGCGATAAAGCTGCAATAGCCTCTCAAGGTTATCAGCAAAGAGAGAGAGAGAGAGAGAGAGAATACACTTTATTGCACACCAACACAATTTACTTTAAAAAAAACAGTCAAAAAGCACATATGTACAATAGGCGGTCTTATCGCTAAAAGCGATCTCTTCCAGACAACCGTTTAATTTACAGAAATTCTGTAAAATATAAAAATATAGCAGGTATGTTGCGGTGTAGCATAGACAATACATTATTATAGAAAATATATACATATAATAAACAGATATATACCGTTTACATATAATATATACCAATATACATACTTACATACAATACATACTAATATACTTACACACACATAATAAATCAACAGTATGGAAATTATAAATGATAATGATGCAACAAACAGCACTAAGCAGATAAGTAGTGTTCCTTCACCATTCTTTTAAAACAGTTTAAAGTTGGAGCACTTCTTCAAAGGAAGGATTTTTTTTTTTTTTACCTACCTAAGCTGATAGCCTTAGGGGCTATTTCAGCGTAACCCTAACGTTTGTAGGTGAGCTCACGGGGCTCAAACCTGGTGACGTTGCTAACACGAACCCTAGCAAGAGCCGTGCTTTGCAGAATCTCCCACCGGATCGGAAACGCGACCCACTGAGAAGATCCGGCGAGAAACTCAGTGGGCTGTGTCTGAGAGTTAATTTACTCGTCGAGCCCTTCGTCGCAAGCGACGGGTTCGACGAGAACGGTGACCGGTGCTTGAAGTACCTAAAAGCACCGTTAGTGGATCGGGAGGATCCGAGATGACGTGTTTTGGGCGACGTCGACTGCTTTCCATTCTGTCCGCAGGATCGGGAATGTAGTTACCGGCGGCCACGATGAGAGGGTTCTCGTGTCGTGCCGCTTTATCGAAGTGGCGCATCGACGCCGACTGAAGATACTTACTGATGGACTCTAAGTCCAGGTCGTCATGGAAGGTATGAATGAGCCCTCGAAAGAGACAGTGTAAATTAAACTCATGTATGTACTTCATCACACGGGTTAAGTTATCTTCGAGCAAACTTACTTTACTGGTCATGGGGCGGCTTGTGAGCCCGCACTGAATCGCTAATAATTCCATCAATATGTAAGTGACGTATATTCACAAGTATCCAATAAGAGTCAGATGACAGCTAGACGGGCCTATTGACATTATTATTGCCATCGACAATATAAAGCGTCAAGTGTAGATAGATAAAAATAGTTACCTCATCAGTGTCGCCATCCTCGTTGTTGCTCGGAGGAACTTGAGAAGATCCCACTTCAGTTAAGCCTTCCGGAAGTTTACCCTGTTCGAGTAAACGAAAATTAGACTTCATTTTGGAAACTTAGGAATGTTCTGGAAGCATTCTTCAAAATGTAGGATTTTGGAGGTTTTCCAGAAACATCGGTGCATCGCTCAACACGAATGCACCGGATGTCTTATCCTTTAGGCCACGACGACTTCTTACTTATTAAGCTATCATTGTACTCATATGAAATAAAAAATTTGAAAAAACGTTAAATGTCTCTTAAAAAGTCCCGAGTCAGTACTGTAATTAGGTGTGCATATTTTTTTTTTACTACAGAAGAAGCATAGAATAACCGACCTTATTATGTCGAGTCTTTAAGTTCAATTTATCATACCTGTATCCCCGCATAGTTGGCCTCGTCGAGCCACAGCAGATGCACCCAGCACTGCCGGTACCTAATATCGATGCCGTGGAACAGTTCCTTATTCCTTATGCTCTGCACCACGAATTCTACGTATCCTGGGAACAAGGTGGAGTAGGATGATTTACTTGACGCTCGTCAAGTGGTTCACGTGGAGTACTGCACGGAAAGGGACCTCTCAGGACCGCTACGTTGCTCTGCCATGGGAAACAGGAGCGATTCTCATTTATGGGAAACTTTTAATTTGAGCCTCCTTGCCTATTCCGTCGACGACCGAAGTCTTCTTAGTGCTGAGCAGGATCTTGTTGAAGTCGGCGTGCACGAGCACCGAGCCCAGCCGCCTGAACTCCGCCAGCAGCATCAGGAACAGCTTCTTCATCAGGTTGTACAGCGTGCGCCGAAGCGCCGGGTCGTACAGCAGAGACGTCGGCGTTTTTAACCACCTCAATTTATTATTAACATGATTAAAATGATAACATCGCAACATACCTATTGTACGATATGATAAAAGGGTTGTCTGGAAGAGATCGGTTGTAGCGATAAGACTTCATAATAATAAGCAAAGGATGTCTTAAAAACACTTGGATGGATCGTGTCTGAGGGTGATAGGCCTGAATGGAATATAAGATATGCTGCCTCGACCTCACATAGCTGGATGTAGTTTTACATATTATATATCGACGGGGTCAAAGGCTATTTGGTTTAAGCGACATTTTTACTTTTTTACTTATACACTTTACAGACTTTTTACTTATAAAAAAAATTCTTCAGGTATTTAAATTTAATTAAAGTTCAATTAAGAACATCGAATTATTGATGCTAACACTAAATAAAACGCACCTTTAATTACAAGATAAAAGTCGCGTATGAAGCGAAATGTCGCTTCAACCAAATAGCCTTTCAATTTCCCCCCTCGATATATATCTATATCCGGCTATTGTCGAATAACTCGAAGGAGATAGTTGATGTGTGCTCGTGGATAGATCTACGAGGTTACATACCTGTAGAAGTGCGTTATTTGGAAGTCTGCGAAGACGTTTTTGTATTGCGTGACGTCACGGAGCCAGGACGCGACCATCGTCCTCAGGATCTTGAAGGCGGCGCTGCACTGAGCCGCCTCGTCGTAGTTCAGGGACGCGTTCGGACCTACAGGGTGTTTTTATTTTTATTGCTTAGATGAGTGGACGAACTCAAGGTCCACCTGGTGTTAAGTGGTTACCGCAGGCCCATAGACAACGTAAATGCCGCCACCCACCTTGAGACGTGGGTGAGAGAGTGAGAGGTTTTGTGTACCTCTAATGTGGATTACTTCGAAATGTCGCAATATTATAGATGGAACAAGAGAAGTTTGGACCAATCATACGAGTTCCCAACATTAGGAAGGCCGCTCTAACGAAGCAATATTAGCCCTCGGATTTTTAATTGTGTAAGTGAGTGAAGGACCTCGTGACCAACCAGTACGCTTAGTGCGAGTTTTTTAACTTATAGTTCGCGTAAAAGTTAACTTAAATTCGTATGGAGTTGCAACAACTTCACTACGTGTGCCGCTAGGGGCGCTGTTCCAACTGCATATAAATTTGAGTTAACTTTAACGCGGTCGATAAGTTAAAAAACTCGCACTAAGAACACAGATGTTAAACGTTTTCTATATAATACTATGTGGCACGGTAGATAGTTATTTATTATTACGGTTTACAATTTTACACGGTGTTAGAGTGGTTATTGGACTAGTGCCCGAAGTTCTCAGTGGAGATGCGATCGTCTCGACCTTACTACTACACGACTAGCCATTTAACTTTTTATCTAGTTCGATCCACATCATAATTCGTCTTTCAAGACTCTTACCTCTCCGAAATTAAAAATTATGAAATTAATTCATTTCTACAATGTTCCTCTGACGTTATTCGAAGCAATTTCCTAGTTTGTCAGTAAGTGCTTGTCGTCTAAGCGGTAATAAGTGGTTTGTCCATTAAATTATTCTCTTTGACTTTTTTTTAAAGGGATTTAATGATCTGGTAACTAAGGCCTTTAAGTCATGTCTTATTTTAATTTATATTCTTATTTTTATGAAAAATTATATTATGGAGTGAAACGAAATGAAATAAAGATGATTAATTTGAGACATTAATCAACTGGGATGAAATGAAATGAGATGAAATATAATCTCAACAAAATGGTGGTCATTTACTGAGATTTTTTCAGTAGACATTTTGGGGGATCCCGAGAAGTTACGTCCAGCGGCTTTGTTTCATTTTCCCACATCCGAATAGACAAAATCAAAAACAAATCACACAATTTCACTCCTCGCGTTCCCGCCAAAAAGTCCCTTTCTCTATGACTGGCGTGATGAAGTGTTGCCAGTGTGTCAACATAGTTGTCGCCAAGGAGATTGGACGGTACCGGTGTTGTCGAGCAGGTGCTGTAGACTGGTGGGCGCGTGCCCGAAGGCGGTGGCTGCGCTGGTGCCCTCCGCCTGCAGCACGAGGTGCGCCTGCAGCAGCGCGCACACGCTGAGCGCGTCCAGCCCCAGCTCCACGCACACGCCGCCGTGCGCGCCGCCCGCGCCGCCGCTCCACGCCCCGCCCTCCTCCGCCTCGCTCGCCAGTCTGCGCGCAAACGTAGAGGGTCTTACACTAACAGTAAACACATTTAGAGTGGCTTTGTATAATGACTTTGAAAGGCGTGTATAGGCAGGATTTTAGTAATACTAGTATAAATTCACTTATCTTTTTTTTTTATTGCTTAGATGGGTGGACCAGCTCACAGCCCACTTGGTGGTTACTGGAGCCTATAGACATCTACAACGTAAATACGCCACCCACCTTGAGATATAAGTTTTAAGGTCTCGGAATAGTTACACCGGTTGCCCCGCCCTTCAAACCGAACCGCATTACTGCTTCACGGCAGAAATAGGCAGGGTGGTGGTACCTACCCGCGCGGACTCACAGAGGTAGTAAGTAAGTAAGTAAACTTGATATGAATGTCAAGTTCTACAGCCGTGAAGGTTAATAAAGCGACGATCACCTGTTATCGTCGATCTCTCTCCCTCCGAGGTCCGGACGTTCGAGGTTGGAGCACCAGAGCACGAAGTTGTGCTTGACGAGGTGGCGGGCGTAGAACAGGTCCGCGCCGAACAGCGTCGGGTCCGCCGGCATGTTGCCCAGCGGCACGTGGAAATATCTGACCAAATACATTAATATCGTAATGTTCGCTTGTTAATCTAAAATCGACCCTAATCGCTGACACTTTAAGTCTTAAATTCATTACGTTATTATATATAAACTAGCCGTACTCGCCCGCTTCGCTGGGCATTTAAAATCACCATTATTATTTATTGTCATTATTATTAGGTAGTCCCACACTCATATAAATATTAGCCTATCCATTAAGCCCATGTATTTTCTAAATGGATATAAAGTTTCAAGTCAATCGGATGCATGGTTCAGTAGTTAAAACGGAACATCCGTAAAAACCACTGTAGGTTTATATATTAGTATAGAAGTATAGATTACACATTATTTTCCCTTTTATTTCGCTAAGGACAATTTTAAAAAAACAAATCACTATAGTCATTTCTTTAATTGATGATACTAAAACTCATCATGCTCGATATTATTATGAAAATACAGAATAAAAGATTAAGAAAGTGCGAATATATAATGCATTTTTATCTTATTATTTAAATATCTAAATGTTTATGAGAAAATGTAAGACACGTTGCAATGGGTATACGAACTTACAGCCTCAGGAGGGTTGAGCGCTAAGGAGGGGAGGAGGTATTGGAGCATGATAAGAGGACTCGCTGAACGTACATAATATTGGCCAAGAACAAGAAGAAAACACTAAAACTCGGGGACGAGCAGCGGAGAAAATTATTAATACCATACGTAATTTTAATAAGATAAATGATTTTGTGGAGCTTTTACAATGTCACAAAATTGTTCACAGATTTTGAGCTTTTGAGTTCTTCTGGAGCGAGATTTCCATTTAATTTACACAGGGAGAGGGTAGTCTGCCTGCAGCTGTTTCATTGCGCACCCACCTGCACTGCTCGATGGTGAGCGCCAGCACCGACTCCAAGTTGAGGTAGTGCCTGACGATGGCCCTCGCGCCTATCCTCTGCCACTCCAACGTGTTGAACAGGGTCTCCACGTCGCGGACGTGCAGCGGCACTATCGGGTAGTCAACCAGACCTGTCGGAACCATGAGACTGTTAAACATTCATCATCTATGTGGTTCATTTGATTATGCTTGTTTCGAATATCGTTTTTTTTATTAAAAGTTTAATAATCCGATGAGACCAGCTGCTTTAAGATATGAGGTGGAAGTTAATAGCGTTGTACAATGTGAGCAGACTGTCGGACCGGAGCTGACTGATGTTGGCAAGCAGACTAGTAAGGATACCTACCGGTCTAATCTGTGTTACATCTAATCACCAGTAAAGTAAGAAGGAGATTAAAAGCGGAAAGTACTTTGAAATAAGATCATTAGGCTTCGGGTCCACCGGAGCGGAGCAACGGAGTAAGGCGGAGCGGAATTGTGTACTGTGTCTGTCCACCGGAGCGGAACGAGGCTACGGAGCGAAGCGAGAAAGTAATGCGGAGCGGAGTTTTGTACCTACGCGACGAGTAAGTTCACACTGCGGGCGCGCCCGCATTCTGTTCCCCGCTCCGCTGCCTCGCTCCGCTATCCCGCTCCGCTTACCGGTTTTGTATGAATTTTTAAACTATGTAATTCGCAGCTCCTTGTGTACTAAAGAGGAGCGGAGATTTTGTGCAATCTTATTGGTTAATATTTCTCAGTTTTTCCGCTCCACTGTGTCGTTTCGCCCCGGTGGACAGGCAGCCTTAGGGTGTGTACACGTCAATTCATATCCTTCCAAACCACTAACGGTGCTTTTAGGTACCCCAAGCACTGGTCATCGTTCTCGTCGAACCTGTCGTTTGCGACGAAGGGCTCGATGAGTAAATTAATCCACAGACACAGCTCACTGAGTTTCTCGCCAGATCTTCTTAGTGGGTCGCGTTTCCGATATGATGGTAGATACTGCTAAGCACTGCTCTTGCTGGGGTTCGTGTTTGTAACAACGTCAGGTTTGAGCCCCTTGAGCTCAACTACTCGCCCGGTCATGCTGAAATGATTTCTTAAGACCATCAGCTTTCCGGAGAAAATAAAAATGTGTATAATGGAACACCTTATTTTTATTTGGTTTATTGAGAAAGAATCAAGACCCATGTAAGTGGTTACCAAATCCTCCTGGATATCACGACGTGAATGTCGTCACTTTCCTTGAGCCCCTTACAGACATGGCGAGGCCTGCGGCATACCTGAGGCATACAACGGTGCTGGCGTCCCGAACGATATATGCTCTGTTGAATGCTCACGTCCACACAGCCCGAGGTATGCGAGACGAACTGTTCGCGACGCACGCCTCACGACGTCTGTATGCGACTTTGAGACATTACTGAGAGTATAATTAATATATTGTAATATTGTTTAGATAGAATTAGAAATTTAGGTCATATTAATTGAAATTGAAAAGGTATTTTTATTGTGGAGTAAATAAATGTAATTATTATTATTATTATTATGTCGAGGTCTCAATTTAATTGTGCAAACTTTTATTTATTTATTCCTACCCATGCTGATAGCCTTGAGAGGCTATATCAGCTTTGCCCTAACGTGTAGGTGAGCTCACGGGGCTCAAACTAGAGTGTTGCTAACACTGACCCTAGCAAGAGCCGTGCTTCGCAGAATCTACCACCGGATCGGAAACGCGACCCACTGAGAAGATCCGACGAGAACCTGAGTAGGCTGTGTCTGTGGGAGGGCGGTGACCGGGGTGCAACCAATGGTTACGTTAAAGTATAGTGGGTAGTTCGTACCGGGCATGAGCGCGGTGAGGGCGGGCAGCGAGAGTGTGGCCTGCACGGCCAGCAGCGCCGGCCCCGCGCGCTCCGTGCGGCCCCGGCCCAGCGCCGCCTGCAGCCCGCGGCACAGCGCGCGCGTCGAGCTCTCCACCACCACCTCCCACGACAGCTCGGGGCCCGGCAGCGTGCTCTCATCTGTCCCTTGATTTATTCTGGGGAATTTATTAGAAACTCTTTAACACGTTGACTGCAATGTAGGTCACCGGTGCCCTACATGGCGTACTGAAGTAATTATGCCGATTTCTCTCTTCGGTCTTCTTACTAAGGCGCCAGAAAATTTAGTAGATTTTAGGGAAGACGAATCCGAAGATACTGAGAATAAATCTATTTCTGAGAGACCTTTAAAACTAAAACATACATTAACAAACAAAAGAACGCAAAGTAAGGCAATCTAGAAGCTTAGTAACAGAAATCGAGATAATAACTTCATTGCGCCGATTAGGGCACCGCTGACCTACATGGCAGTCAATGGCAGATATGAGATTGAAGGTGCACTAGAACAATAATTATCTTATACAATTTGCTGGTAGTAGGACCTCGCGTGAGTCCGCACGGGTAGGTACCACCACCCTGCCTATTTCTGCCGTGAAGCAGTAATGCGTTTCGGTTTAAAGGTTGGGACAGTCGTTCTAACTATACTGAGGCTTAGAGCTCATATGTTAAGGTGAGTGGCGGCATTTACGTTGAAGTTATCTATAGGTTTCAGCAACCACTTAACACTAGTGGGCTGATCTCGTCCATCCATTAAAGTAATATTTTTTTTATCTAAACTGCCATATATGATTATTATGCGGTAGCTATGTGCAGAAAAATGAATCTGACCCGTTTAGACTCTGGAAATATAATACATAATTTATATGTTTATCATACGATTCAATGGCAGCTGTAAAGAATAGTTCATGCATAGTGGGAGCATTTCGTTATCTCTGTTCTTCAATAGCAGTGACGTCATAAGAAACTACATGCATCCTTTTCATTAAATGTTGTCTATAAGGCTCACTTAGCTGTCCTTTCAGCTGCGTAAAGGGTGCTCATGTTGGGTACTTGATTAGTCTTGACCGTGTCCTGTACGAAAATATATCCTTTTTTCAGAGGACCCAGTATCAATGCCCACATACTGCGACTGGAATTCGCAGACGAATGCTGGTACAGGAATATGTGTTTTATCGGAAACTGTCCATCCTAGAACAAAGTATATAATATTATATTAAAGACTAACGGCCCGTTCCGGCTCCGCTCGGGTCTTTAACAAAACTTTCAACGATATTTGACGCTGTTTTATTTTTTTAAATAAAATAACACTTATTGTGGCATAACTATAGTAGTTAGACATATGCTGTCGCGACACTTTTTGTAAATAATAATGTGTTCTACAAAGTCGTAGTACATTATTTTATTCTATCAATAGTTTTCGCAGGGCACGCGATCTAAAGAATACTTTAGGTAATTTTTTTACACCTTGGGTTACCATTATTAGTTTTAGTAAGGAACCCCTTATTTTTTATATAAAAATATTATCGCCTATGTCACTCGGGAATAGTGTAGCTTCCAAACTGTGAAAGAATTTTTCAAATCGGTTCAGTAGTTTCGGAGTCTATTCAATACAAACAAACAAACAAATCTTTCCTCTTTATAATATTAACTAGCGACCCGCCCTCGCTTCGCTTCGGAAACATTAAAACACACATGAAACCAAAAAATAAAATAAAAAAAGTAGCCCATATTCATCAGGGACAATGTCGGCTTCTAATAGAAAAAGAATTTTTCAAATCGGTCCAGAAGTTTCGGAGCCTATTCGAAACAAACAAACAAACAAATCTTTCCTCTTTATAATATTAGTATAGATAATAATAATATAGATATTGACTTTTTTATTGCACTAGAGAGGTTACCTCATCTGTTAGTTTATCGATTAGGTTGCATACATTCAATACAATAAATCGAAATTCCAACCTCATATTTCAGCTTATCGCGCTTATCTGCGTTTTCGTCAAACTTGGACCAGCTTCCATAAAAGTTTTACCACTGTTTGGAAATATTTTGAAGTCATCCTATTTGTTCGATTTGGGGGCTTACATTTTGAAATCTCCCGCCAACTTGCTCGGTACCCGCGCTACACTAGCGCCACGCGTTGCCGCAGTGTTTGCAACGTTTGGAAAAGTCAGTCGTGAAATTATTAGCAGTTGAAGGTAAGTCCGTATTTCTTAAAATCTTTAGAATTTAATAAAACTGAGCTATTGTACAGTATTAACCACAGAGTATAATTTTATTACATATTGGTAGAAACTATTTACCTGTTTCGGTAAGTAAGGTTGATGTGCGACACTCTTGAACTGTAGTTGATTCAACGTAAACGAATCCATATTGTTTGAACCGAACTGTATCATTCTGGAAATTAAATTTATAATATGTCAGAATGGTTGTGTCTGGTGGAAGGGGAATACCCGAGGTAGGGTGTATTATGACATAGATGTCACTACCGCCACACAGGCGCTCTATGCTGCCGACAGGCTACCTTCTAGTATGGAGGCATTAGACATTAGGCATTAGATGTCACACATAACAGAGCCTTCGAAAATGATAACGGCACATTTAGGAGTCTATTGAACTCGGTCAGGACTTAACAACATATGCCAGAGACTTAAATACATTCAAATATATAGATAATAAACAGCCAGACAAAGAGCAAACAAACACGTTCATCACACGAATGTTTGCTCAATGTGGGAATCGAACCCACGACCCTGGGCGCGACAGTCAAGCGCGCTTACTACTGCACCGCCGAGTCAGTGTAAATGCAGAAATTTCACAAAACTACTTGTGCGCGATCTGTCGTACTTTGATGGTACTATCCCAAAAACCAGAAAGTCTAAAGCATCAATAACTATGTTACGGGTTTAGTTTAATCTGTGTCGAGTCCATAGATAATAACACTTCATATTTAAGGTCGAGTTGTCGCAAAATAAGCAGGTTGCAAACTATCGTGTCTTTTATCATTATCATCCTACCACGCTCTATATATAAGCACAGACTCAATAACTATAAAAAGTTTCCACTCAAAACTTAGGGTATCCTTTAATTTTTATAGATCGAGGGGTGAAAGGTTATTTAGCTTAAGTGACATACTTGAGACTTTACAGGAGAGCCATTTAAAGTTTAAAATTTAGAAAAAATAAAAATAAAATATGACAAAAAACTTCTTCAGCTATTTGAATGTGATAAACATAATTGAAGTTCAATTAAAAACATCAAATTGTTGATGCTAAGACCAAATAAAACCGACCTTGAATTACAAAGATAAATGTCGCGTATTAAGAGAAATGTCGCTTAAACCTAATAGCCTTTCACCCCGCGATATAAATATATTACGATATAATCACTACATAGAAAACAAAGTTGCTTTTTATGTCCCTATATCCCTATGAATGCTTAAATCTTTAAAACTACGCAACGGATTTTGATGCGGTTTTTTTTTTAATAGATAGAGTGATTGAAGAGAAAAGTTTATATAAATATAACATCCATTAAATAGTGGAGAAATCAATAATAAATTACAGTTTCTGAAGCGAAACGAGGGCGGGTCGCTAGTATTTTATTAAACTATAGTGATATGCGAAATGTGGTTACCGTCTCGCCTCCTGCGGCTCCACAGCGCAGATGCATCCGAGTTGTACCAGGATCCTGAACTCTAAGCTCATCTGTGTCTCGTAAATACCTTCTATTTCCGGGGCCGATAATTCACCCATGAGCTCTCTGAAATTATTTTATACAATTTAGTACATATTCATTCATTTTGTACGCTTTATTATAAGTCCGCTGAACGAGCTCACGGTCCACCTGGTTTTAAGTGGATATTGGAGATCATAGTCTCAATGTAAATGTCACCATTCACCATAAGACTTCAGGTCTATACAGGTATCTTAATTGTATAGTACCTAATTACACAAACAAAAATTTTTGCGGGTCAAATTTTTATTACACGATGTTATTATACCTTCATCTTGAAATTCATTTGTGAACATGAGTTAAGTGTTATTTTTAGATTACACTAAAAAAAATTATACCTGCCTACGGGATTCGAACACCGGCACAGTCGCATCGCTAATCATGATAGTTACACAGTGGCCACGACGACTCTTTACTTTGCCTATTCCGGAAGCAGTCACGTGTTACTATATGATAGGGGCGATACAGCCGTTATTCTCTAGAGTTAAGACTTAGTCCTGACATAAAGGGGGACCAGGGAGACCAGGGGAACAGCGTCACCCAAGCGAACTGTGATCTCGTTCATCATTTTGTGGCAGGGTGGTGGTACCTACCCGTGCGAACTCACAAGAGGTCCTACCACCAGTAAATTGGGGGAGATGATGGATCTCGGCCTTCTCTTCTCCCCTTCTTCCTCTAAGGAGGCCCCGGAATACATAACTCGGTCCGTTACCCCTCTCGACCGGGTACCCGTAAATGAATTCCCCAGCGTTAAAAAAAAAGGGTTCGTGTTAGCAACGTCGTCAGGTTTGAGCCCCGCGAGCTCACCTACTAGTTAAGGTTACGCTGAAATAGCCTCTCAAGGCTCTCAGCTTAGGTAGGAAAAAAAGTCTAGCATTTAAAGTAGAAAGTCGCTAACTCCTGATGTTCCCTGTAGAGCTGTTCGGGCACGGAGTACTGGTAGAGGTGCAGCACGGGGTGCGCGCGGGGCAGCAGGCGGCTGCAGCGGCGCCAGTAGCGGCCGCTGTCGGCGCCGCGGCACACGCGCTGGTTCACGTAGAACACGCGCGGCACCGACACCTTCACCTGGTGCAGCTCGGCGCCCACCAGCGCCCACACCTTGAACAGACCCGGCTCGGCTGTTTCCGCTACCTGTTCAAAAAAAATACGCAGATACACTTTACGAAGTCGTCGTGGCCTAAAGTACCTACATTGGTTCCATTTCATGAAACTGTATGTTTTCTTGCACGTATCTAATTAATTATTTTTAATATAAGTATTTAATATGTAAGTTAAACTATCCAAAATTAGATGGTACGAAATATGAGAAATTAAAGAATACTTTTGGACCATTTTGAAGTCGTCGTGGCCTAAAGAATAAGACGTCCGATGCATTCGTATCTAGCGATGCAACGGTATTTGAATCCCGCTGGCGGGTACCAATTTTTCTAATGAAATATGTACTTAACGAATGTTCATTATTGACTTCCACGGTGAAGGAATAACATCGTGTAATGAAAATGAAACCAGCAAAATTATAATTTGCGTAATTACTGTGGGCTCCGGTAACCAGTTAACATCAAGTGGGCCGTGAGCTCGTTCACCCATCTAGCCAATAAAAAAAAAACAGGTAATTTGTCACAGATAAGTAAAACTAAATTAACGTAACTCAGTGATCACGTAATTTTTTTTTATTGCTTTGATGGATGGACGAGCTCACTCACGGCCTAGTGTTAAGTAATTACCAGAGTATATAGACATCGATTACATTAAAGACGCCCAAGCACTCTGAGAGATGAGTCATAAGTCTCAGTTTTACAGTACAACGGCTGCCCCACTCTTCAAACTGAAACACATTACCTACTGCTTCACAGCAGAAGTGGAGAAGGTGGTGGTACCTGCATGTGCAGGTCTACATGACGCTTTACCATCAGTAAGCATTTGCATGCACAATAATGTTAATTAATAGATATAAATCATAAATTATAGGTAAATAGCCTAAGGTGTTTAAAACAAAAACGGCCGCGAGGAGGTGGTCAGCGGTCTCACAACGGCGGTCATTGACCCTAGATTTTGAATGCCTTACATTGCGGCTTCACCAGATGCAGAAATTTTAAAGTATATTATATTTGTGTGTAAGTGAATCTTTCCAACCTGTATAATTTGCCATGGTGTATTCAACAAGGTGCGCTGTGCTCTCCTGATGAAACTACCTAACGTGGCGGCCGGCCCGGAACTCCTCGGCGGCGGCATTATGTCACTGTCAATTTTACCTGTTCATCCACAACATTCAACTATAATAACTAATAATATCACAAAAAGCATCCAACAGTTAATAACTAAAATAAATTAATAATAAAGTTAATAAAAATTTGGAGGCAGCGGCTTGGCTCTGCCCCTGGCATTGCTGAAGTCCATGGGCGACGGTAATCACTCACCATCAGGTGGGCCGTATGCTTGTCTGCCTACAAGGGCAATAAAAAAAAACTATAAATAACAATTATCAGGTTTTTTTTTTAAATATATTATTGTTTCTCTACCTCGTTTGTTTCGATTTCTTAAGCCACGTTGCTCCATTTGCCACAGCCATTTTCTTTTTTGAAACAAAATCCAATTTCTTCGTTCTTCCTGTAATAATTAATTCAAACATTGCTGCCCTCCTAAGTCCCATCGCTTCTGAAGTACTCACATAGAATTATGGAGGGTAGAAGTAAGGAGCACCACCTCCGTGTATTAAAAAGTCTTTGCTGAAAGAGAACCAAACAAGGTGGCACCACAGTCGCAAGTGGAAAGATTTAAAAAAACAGGCCATAAACTACCACATTTCGCTCCGTTTAAAACTGCTATATTCATATCATTCCCATTTCCTACACTGACGCTATTTCGGCGAGTCTTCAAAATAACTTTCAGTTTACAGATGGACACCTTTCAATTTGTCCCCTAAACAAGATGGTGCTCCTTGCCTCTACCCTGCTGCATTGTCATAAAAACGTTTTGACACAGTTCGTTGAAAATTTCTTACCTATTACTATTGCTAAGTAATAGGTGAGATCGATGAGATTGGAAAAGCTATTATGGTTAATAATAAAAATAATACCTTCTCGTCTATACCTTAGAGTTTCCGAAAGGCGGCGGAGGTCCCAGCGCCTCTCTCCACGTGGCGGCGGCGTCTTGAGGCGGAGATTCAGTCCGCTTCCTCTTCATGGTGTGCACTACCGGACGAATTATTGTAGCCCTCCCTGTCTTGTCATTGCCAATGTCTTCCATGTCCACTTCCGTGTTCTTTTGAAATTTAAATTTTTATTCACTTTTTAATTTAGTTTGTAATATTCAATTGCAAAATTGAAGAAGGTATGCGGCTATTTGATGACATAACATCATTGCCCACGAGTTAGTACCGAACCGATCGATATTCTGTGAACTACTTTTTAGTTTCGTTATCTGTGATTTCTGCGTATTTGCCTCAACCTGTTTAGTTATCTTGTACCTTACCTGGTAATTCGTCATTGAAATAGTTTTTTTAATTGTTTTGATTTTATTCTAAAATAACCGTTTAAAAAAAACGATATTTGCACAATGCATGCCTTGTGCTTTGATAGATAGCTCCAGCCACGTAACTAATAGATTTTTAATTCTTTATTATTTGCTTGAATAATTAATAAATCACAACTTAGATTAATTTTCTACATTCTTAGATTACAGAACATAAAAGATAATTTTCTATGTTTACCATTACTGCCATTCACTACGTGCTAAGCTCGTTAACGAATGTTAGTATTGGCCTCCATGTGTACAACTCCTCACCGAGGTATCAGCACCAGCGGATTCCTCCGCGTCTTCCTCCACAGCGCGTAGTTCCCTGGGCTGCGCGCTGAACATATCCGTGATCTTCCTCGTTTTGTATTTATCCGTTTTGGCGAGCATCTTCTTGTGCAACCAATCCGGGTACTGTACCCGGGGCACTGGATTGTCCAACTGGAGAATAACAACAAGAGAGTTTGGCAACAACTGTTTTTACTGGTGGTAGGTACCACCACCCCGCCTATTTCTGCCGTGAAGCAGTAATGCGTTTCGGTTTGAAGAGCGGGCCAGCCGTTGTAACTATACTGAGACATTAGAACTTATATCTCAAGGTGGGTGGCACATTTACGTTGTAGATGTCTATGGGCTCCAATAACCACTTAACACCAGGGGGGCTGTGAGGTCGTCCGCCCATGTAAGCAAGTCTCATCTACCCTGTCTGCTGTTGAATTATAAGAACTTTTCGATAAAACTTCATACATTTGACAATAATTATTGTACTGTTTATCAGGATGTTGAGTGTGGAACTCACGCCTTGCATGGCGGCCGGTATGGTGATGATCTTCTGTATGGCCCCGCTGAGCCTCTCGATGTAGTAGGCCCAGTCCAGCACGTCGCGGATGTCGATGTGCTCGGAGACGCTGGAGTCCTTGAGCCAGCGCCGCAGGTGGTGCCGCTTCACGGCGGCCGGCGACTGGAAGATGGCGAGCGGAATCGCTCGTTCCGTCACCGGAGCACCCTCGGGCTTCTTAGATATTATAAATCTGTGACACAACAATTCTTTTTCATTATTTTTTCCTACCCATTCTAGTAACCTCGAGGGTTTATTCTAAATTCATCGAACTAGTAGGCGAGTTCACGGGGCTCAAGCCTGACGTCATGACGTCAGGTCTGTAGTAATGACTAACCCTAGCAAGAGCAGTGCTTCGCAGAATCTACAACCGACCCACTGAGAAGATCCGGCGAGAAACTCAGTGGGCTGTTTCTGTGGGTTAATTTACTCGTCGAACCCTTGAACCGTCGAACCGTCGAACGATCACCAGTGCTTAAGGTACCTAAAAGCACCGTTAGTGGATCGGGAAGATCCGAAATGACGTGTTTTGGGCGACGTCGATTGCTTTCAATTCGGACCGCAGGATTGGGAATGATTACACTATGCGAATGGTTCATGAATATGAATATTATAATTATCAGTTGGATATTTTTATAAATGAATATGGATGAAGTTCGCTCACCTGCAAGCCAAGCCGGCGTCCTTGACCATCTGATCACCGAGGAACTCGGCCAGTCTCTTGGCGGTCGATATCGACGTAGACTTCTGTCCGCCGTAATCCTCCAGCTTCTTGGACATGGAACGGTTCTCCGATATCAACTCGAAGAGTTCGGCGTCGGGCATGTTGGAGCCCCGGCTGTACAGCACGTCCAGCCAGTAGTCCGCGACCCGGGCCACGGCGCCGTAGCACGACTTCAGATCGTTCCCTTTAAGGAAGGCCTCGAATACAGACGACTGAAATATTTTGATGAGTTGCAGTTCGCCGCGACGTTTTACTTCGAAACCTGAAATTTTAATTAACTGTCATTCGTGGTGCACTATGGTTTAGTAACGTCTTTTGTAGGCAGCGGCTTGGCTCTGCCCCTGGCATTGTTGAAGTCAATGGGCGACGGTAATCACTCACCATCAGGTGGGCCGTATGCTCGTCGGCCTACAAGGGCAATAAAAAAAAAAGTCTTTGGATTTCGCGAGTCGATACTAATGTGGTACCAACTGTAGTTTTGTTGCAGTTAAATGATACCACCAATTACAATTTTATTTTTAATTAAAGAGCGAACAAATGCATATGTTAATAGCGGAGCACCCAGCGTATGTTTGTCTCGAACTCAACCGAATGAAAACATTTTGCGAGTACCGTCGAATATTATATATAGTGCGATGTTCCAGCGCAAGGCCGTACTCAGCGCAGGGCTGCACTCAGGCTCGCTATACTAATATATAAATCTACAGTGGTTTTTACGAATGTTTCGTTATAACTACCGAACCAAAGCCCTCACCTTTTAATTCAGCTAATGACCCGTCAAAATTGAAGACGGCATAACGCTTCTTCAACCTTTTGCCTTCTTCTTTCGAAGCCGGCAACACCATGGCCAAGTAAGGGCCGTCCACTTCAAAGAATATCGAGTTTTCCGAGCGCTGCTCGTATCTCTTCTGTTCCGGATCCACGAGTTCGAAGTACTGGTCGTTTGTAAAATGATCCTAATGAAAAAAAGTTTTTTTAACAGAAAATTGATTGAATAGCTCATACTCGTATTCTGACTCAAAATAAAATGCGAATAATATGAACATTCTTGCAGCACCGAGATGACAGAATCACAGGTTTATTTTGCTTAATAATCATTATTAAGCTCATACTACTAAATCATACTACATCTTATATATAAAATTCTCGTGACACAATGTTAGTTACCATACTCCTCTGAAACGGTATGACCGATTTTTATGAAATTTTATATGCATGTTCAGTAGGTCTGAGAATCGGCTACTATCTATTTTTCATACCCCTAAGTGATAAGGCTTGCCCACCCTAACATTTATTTTTTATTTGGACATTTTTTTTTTGTTATTATATAATGAGGCGTTGAATGAGGTTTTGTTATTTTTATATTCCGTCATCGTTCACAGTGCTACACGCCTTTTTCACTCATTTACCACATCCAGGCACACATACAATAAGTTAGTTTTTTTTTCTACACTAGAAATTCCCTAGAAATCTTATATATGACAAAACAACGTTTGCTGGGTCAGCTAGTACCAATATAACATATATTTAATCACCACTACCACCAATACTCATTGGACTCCTCTCCCTCTGGCTGGTAGGAAAGTGTGTGTGCTCCACTGACCTTAACCATGGCATTGAGTACAGCGTTAGGGAAGGAAACATTAATCTTCTTTTTCTTCGGATGATTCGTGTGGATGGTCACGTTTTCTGGAAACGATGACGGTAATATGCACCAGATACCTGAAAGATACAACAAAATTTCAATAATATATTTGTTTCTTTCCTTAAATATTAACGGGCTGCGTCTTTCTACATTTTTTTCATATTAGTAAGAAAGTTGATCATGGTCTACACTGAAATTTCGCCTGACCACCAGAGTTAGCGGAAAAATTAAGCCGGTAGAACCGCAACGGCATAACCGTTGTCGAGGACATTGTAGACATGTTGATCGTGAGCGTTCGTGAATACACTTCAGGTTATAATATGTAGAAGTATTTTAGGTCAGAGGAGCTTAGTGATAATTCGACTATCAACTTCAAGTTACGAAGCGAACCAAAGCTACGAATTCGTACTTCCCTATCGACCAGTATTAGCAGTTTTTGTACCAATTCTCGTTCATAGCTGTTTCGTTCTGTTATACCCTTTCGTAATACTGTTAATGTGCTGAACAAGCAGCACGTGTAATACTTGTTCATCTCTCCACTAATTAGCTTAGACAAGCAGTATAGAATATTATAGAAACAGAGGAGGCCTCGTGGGCATCGGACAATCGTGGGACAATCATCGGGCCAGCCAGTCATCGTGCAAGACTCAATCATCGTGCCAGTCTCAGCCTCACAGTCTCTTTCTTGGTCCTAGTCAGTCAGTCAGTCAGACAGTCACAGTGCAGTAAAAGCCAGTTCAGTCCGTAAAGTTCAGTCGTTTCACGCAGTGTCAGAATATATTAAAAGAACTGAAACAGAGGTGTTATACAAACATTTGTTGTGAGCGTTTTCTGAATAAAACAGCGGTGAAGAAAAGGACTTCCCCAGCCGCTACCTAACAGTTCGTAACCCATAGTTGCCGAAGGTAAGGTTTATGGGTCATTTTGCGAGCCGCACAGACGACTCTCCAATGATATGAGGTTGAATGGTAAGCCTAATGAGCTATAAAACGGCTAAGTAGTTATCATTTGCTCACTAAAAAAATAGAGCGCCTTAATCTCGAAATTCCTATCTATTCATTGTATTAGAGACAGTGTAGACGTTAGTGACGTACCGTCAGTATCCAACTCGAGCGGTCTGCCAACTTGTTCGATGATCTCCCGAGCTCGCATGATGATGTTGGCGCCCGTGTAGCACACGATGCCCGCCATCTCCATACTGTGCCATCGAGCACTGCAAAACGTTTAGTATTTTATCTCAAATGCATTACATATAAACTATAATGTGATTCTTACTTCTAGTTAATTAATTCTAATCTTAAGATGAAATATACACATTTTAAAGACTCGTAATCTGACGAAGCATGTTGCGGATAATAACATGTACTTTTAGGTTAGGAATATTATGTTCTTTGTTTTTAATAATAAATAAATTTTAGTTATTTAAAACAAAAAAAAAATTATTATAATTTTAAAGACTTACATCGAACATCTGATCTAATAATTGATCTCTGATTCATAAAGAACATATTCAGAATCCAGCATGATCGTTTTGACCTAAATTGTATTCGGATTTTTTTGTTAAAATTTTATTTTTCTATATTGACGCATTATTATTCGGTTTTAAGCGACTCCAATGTGGGTAGATTAAAAAAATTAAAAAAGATATATAATTACCCACTCCTCGTGAATTTTTTTGTTAGAATTTTATTTTTCAATATTGACGTATTGTAATTCGATTTTAAGTGACTCGAATATGCATAGTTCAAAATAATTATTATAAAAAGATATATAATTACCCTCTCCTCATGACGTAGCCATAGAAAGAATTGAGAATACATTTATGTGCCAATTGCAGTGAATCGTACAAAACTTCTCTGCTTTTGGCGGATTTGATCTCCGCCGCGTCTCCGCTAGCAACCGCCTCGGAGACCTTCGCTTTCGCTTGCTTGTTCAGAGCTTTGTACTCGTAACGACGATCTCTATAAAAAACAGCAATTGCATAAAAAATGCATTCCAGCCAAAATTATAAACAATATGAACGAATGAATGAATGAAATACGCATACGAGCGAATGAAAGTAACGTACATTTATGAAGTTATCTCTTCATTTTTATCAAATTTACAAGGTTTTTTTTTCCAGTTACTTGAGATAGTATAATATATTATACAAAAAGAAACATATTTATAAACTACCGTCAAATCATCAATCATGTTTTGTGCTGTCCATCTTCTTATTAAACAAATTTAATCGAAAATGTCAAAATTAAGCCAGTACTTGAAACTGAACTGGGAATTTAAATTAAATAAAAAAAAACCACACCTTCAAAATTAATTCCACGTCCCCACACATATATATTATTATGATATATTATTTTCAACTTTACACCAAGACCGGTGAGAGGACCCAAACCTTTTATATAGAAATTAGACAAATCTCATAGTACTCTAGTTAGAGTATTCAAAGTCGATCTCACCTGAACGCACGTACAGTATCCACATAGAAAGAGTTTTCCTTCTGGCATATTGTAGTTGTTCTTATTTCACTTCTAGTAACTTTGGTTTTCTTATACGCGACCTTGCAGTAATCCGCTAATCGTTTCTTCTCGTAGGCAGCCTAAGGACCAATTTAAATACTAAAGCATAGAGCATTATGATAGACGAACTGCTGCCGGACATTCGGTATTAGACGGTTTTGTACGTCGTAATTTTTTTTATTTTTATTGCTTAGGTGGATGGACGAGCTCACAGCCCACCTGGTGTTAAGTGGTTACTGGAGCTCATAGACATATATAAGGTAAATGCGCCACCCACCTTGAGATATAAGTTCTAAGGCCTCAAGTATAGTAACGACGGCTGCCCCACCCTTCAAACCGAAACGCATTGTGGCGGTAGTCATCACAAAACACAAGATAATTGACAGATGCCTGAATCTCGCTTACGAAATTTTCAAGGTAAGCTTCATATATACAAGTTCCGAACAACAGCATTCGGACCGTCGGTCTACCGAGCAATATCACCCCCTCGGTGGAAGATCTTCCCTTTGTCGTATATTCCTACAACTGGTGACCCTGAGGTGATTACAGAATCGTCGGGGTCACCAGTTGTATATTCCTACAGCATTACTGCTTCACGGCAGAAATAGACGGGGCGGTGGTACCTACCCGTACGGACTCACAAGAGGTTCGACCACCAGTAAAATTACCGGCTCAACAAATAAATGTCATTTCAACTGTTCAACATCTCACCTGTTCCTCTTTCGGCAGTGCGTGGAAGGGCCTGGGTGGGCCCCCAGGATGTAGAGGTGGAAACTTTTCAGTTTCCAGCTGCTGTTGTATACGTTGGTACTCGCTCCTCGTAGCCGGTACTGTTTGATATAAAAGAGTATTAGTTTGCCGCATGAGGCCATGTAAAAATTTGTGGTTTTTACTTTCTAATGCAGAGGGAACACGAGATGCCGTGCCATTAGGGCTTATCATATCTGAAGATGTGAGGTCTAAGTGAATAGTATGGCACGGTGGTAATATGACTAATAATCTCACCCTTCAAATCGGAAGGCATTCGGTTTCGCAACAGAATGGCAGTACCTACCTAATTAAGCATTTTTACGTTTTTCATTTTTATTGCACGATTCTACACCTTAATGGAAATAATTCGTGAATATGAGTTAAGTACGTATTTCATTAAGTTAATTGGTACCTGCTTGCAAAATTTCAAGACAGATCCTAACCCTTAATACTTATCCCTTACTGATAAATATGTCTTACAGTAATCTCCGCGCCACATCCACTCCATGTGTCTCTGGCAAGTGGCCCCGGGCTTGTTGTAATCACAGACTGCGCATGTACTGGCATTCACCATCGCAGAGGGCTGCAATCTGTGTAGGAACAACAAATTGATCAAAGTCAATATTATAGCACATGGTTTGGACTCTATATAGCTATAAATTACAGCTACAAGGTTCTGGGCTATTGTTTTGGTCTTAAGAACATCTCAATGATTTTTTAATATATTTCTCCACTTAGAGCTTTAATTATTTTTATTTAATAATTATATTCGTGAAGATCTGACTTCTGTGTTTCACTTACATACAATATGCAGGAGGCAATGCTTATCTAATTTTAAAAAAAAATCTAGACGAGACTACTTTTCATATTCTCCTTCTTCTTTCTTTCCTATTACCCTCTGCTGGGGTGTAGGGCTCGAATCAAATCCTTCCATTTACATCGGTTTTAGGCAGTCTGTTTTATTATACATATACTTCTCATATTAGCAATAATATCTTGAGCTTGTGTCAAGAGTGGGTACAGCTATTTATTAACAATCGAAAAGAAATAAATGTAGTGAAAATTTGGCACTCATTGCGATTCTGTTACTTGTTTGTTCATCGCTAATAGCATGTCCCAGTAATGATAAAAAAAAATTTTTAAGCTATTGCATAGCTTTTATCGCGGGCCTTGAGCGCGATGATCGAATCATGAAATTCCGTAACGAAAAAGACCTGACACCACTCACTCCGCCTACCATGTAGCTCGCGTTCAACACATTCACACGTTGCGCTTGTGTAGTGTTTGTGAATAAGCGCGCGGCGTGACGTCACACTGCATGCGCATCATGAAAAGTCTGCCCATCTCTCTCTCGCACGGTCTAGCTTATGAGTGTGAAGGGAACAGTTAATGTTTTGCTTTTGTTAATGTTTAATATAGCGTGGTCTTGTTTTATTATTGTTTTAATATTAAATTATCATTGTGTAATTATAATTGCATAAGTTGACAAAAAATGCTATGCAATAGCTTTACCGCGGCAGTTCCCGAGTGCCACACGTTTTTTTTTCTTTTACTTCTGATTTTGCATCCATATTACATTCATTAACATTTCATATAGCATACCAAAAAGAATGAATTACCTATTCGTCAATATGATGTTAGGGTACATAGCGCCGACGTCCAAATGATAAATCAAAGGGTTCTCGTCCCTTCGCGGGTGCTCTTTCATGTGTTGTAGTTTCGCTTTAATCTCTCCGCAGACCTCGTCGAAATTCGTGACCATATCCAGCGGTATACCTTCCTCCACCTCTATGGCGTGCCTCATGGTCTTCTCGGTGTTCTCCAGCAGCTTGTCCACGGCCGTTGGGGCGATACGGAACTTGCATTTAATGTCCGCTCTGAATACACCTACAATCATTTTTAAGACTGTTCAAGTAAATTTAATGAAAATTCGATTAATAATAAACCATTTCGACCAAAACCATTCGATTAATAATAAACAACCATAACTTTAACCATTAAAAAAATCATCAGACCACCTTGGGAGTATTTTGTGGTATTGTGGAATAGCTGGAACATTATATTACATTTAAATATGTACATTTTATTTAGTTAGTAGTTATTTAGAAGAAATAGATTCAAAAAATAAGTCCTCCCATTGTAACTTTGTAGAAAGTACTATATTCTCTAAAATACAATCAAGTATATATAGTCTAGTATAATTTAGAGCATTCATGGTCGTTTATTTTACTAATTGACTGATACACGTGATGTCTATGGACACAGTGATCCTTTAATCGAGCACCTAGAGCCAAGCTCAGCCAAGCTCAGATGTACGCTCTACTCGCGTGGTGGCGCTAGTATCGTGGTGTACGCACCGGACTCCAGAGCCTCGACGTGTCCCCCGACGTAAGTCTCCGTCTCCAGCACGTGGCCGTCGCTCGTCAGCTTGTTCAGCTCCTCCACCTGCTTGTTCGGGAACACGATGTTCGCGTGGAACGCCTCGACCATCAGTAACGACTCGCACAGCGTACCGGAACCCTTTCGGAGTACCTGGCCGTGGACACGAACATTACCTCGTGGACTGACTTGGGATACACTTGGCAATAGAAATAGAGCGTTGGAAGGAGAGTAGTAACTAGAGGAAATCAGGGTACAAAACATAACTATCGTCGAAAAGTGAAAAATTCACTTTCTCTCTCCGTCCCTTTATTTACTGATTGTAGGACTCATTGGAAAGCTGCGCTCGCCGGTACTATCGTCTTGCATAGTTCTGCACACAGCAATATGATATTTTAAAGCGGATTACATACCAACTTTGATTAGTTTTTGAAGTGAAAACTTCTTTAGAATCGTTGTGATTTCAAACCGGATGCAACGGGAAAAACGACAGGTAAGAGATACAAATACAAAAGAATGAGACAGAAATATACATACTATTTAATACAGCGCCATCTGTGAGATTTTTTTAATACTAACGTGTGTATGAAAGCTCTTGTAGTGAATTTTAATTTAGGATTATACGTGAAATTAAAATATCAATTCACAGAGGGCTCTACCTTACAATTATTTACTAATGACAAAATTTTAAAACGTTTAGGATAATTGTATTTTAATTTTGGAAGGTTTCACTTCTACCACGTGTGAATTGCACACATGTATTTGTTTTTTTTTAAATTAAATTATTTAATGAAATTCTAACCAAAACCATGACACAGGCATTTGAAAACTTAAGTATCAATAAAAAATATACCCATGTCTTAGTATATAATAGAATAGAAGAAATTTACACGATAGATTTACATTTAAACACATTTCGAACAAAGATCAGTGTGCTTAGTGCGAGTTTTTTAACATTATTGATATCAAAAAGTGAACTAAAATTTGTATGGAGTTGGAACAGCGCCCCTAGCGGCCAACGTTCCAACTCTATACAAATTTGAGTTAACTTTTTCGATATCGAGAACGTTAAAAAACTCGCACTAAGCACACTGAACTAAGGGTGTATCGGGCAAATACACTCCGCTCAGTGACAGATTTCTCGTGCAAGCCATATAATATACACTTAAACATTTTATTTCTAAATGTGAATTTATGAGATTTATTATAAAGGCTTTTCTTCTATATCGACAAAAACTATCAAAACGTATTGCTACATATAGTCTATAATATATAATAGTGTATACATAATACAATATTATATATTGGGGGGTGAAAAGCTTATTTGGTTTAAGCGACATTTATGTTTATAATTAAAGGTCCATTTATTATTTTGTATCAGCATCAAAAATTCGATGTTTTTAATTTAACATCAATTAAGTAATCCGTACAAATATCTGAATTTTTTTTTGGAATTTTTCCAAATTTCAAACTTTAAATGGCACTCCTGTGAAATTGCAAAAATGTCGGTTAAACCAAATAAATAACCTTTCACCCCCCGATACAATATAGGCTAATAAGGATCGTTTCTCACCTCGTCGGGCTCCAGCGGGATAATAGTGCAGAGGGCAAAAATGAACGGATGCACGTACTTCATGTACAAGTAGTACGTGGCGACCGCGTCCGACACCGAGTAGTTCGACAGCACCTATAAACCATTACACAGAATCCGTTTTTTATTTATTTATTGCTTAGATGGGTGGACGAGCTCACAGTCCACCTGGTGTTAAGTGGTTACCGGAGCCCATAAACACCTACAACGTAAATGCCGCCATCTACTTGGAGATATGAGTTCTAAGGTCTCAGTATAGTTACAACGGCTGCCCCGCCTTTCAAACCTAAACGCATTACTGCTTCACGGCAAAAATAGGCTGGGCTGGTGGTACCTACCCGTGCGAACTCATAAGACGTCCTGCCACCAGTTATACCCGACCAGATGTCCGAACAACAAATTATCACCGTCCCCCTTAAAGACTTCATTGCGGAGACTCCCAATTCAGTCTGGGTGCTTTTAGGCATTTACGTTGTAGATGTCTATGGGCTCCAGTAACCACTTAACACAGGCGGGCTGTGAGCTCGTCCACCCATGTGAGCAATATAAAAAAAATGTAATTTATATAAAACAATTAATGCCACTGCTCACCGCCAAACGCTTATGTCCTTTGCTGGACACAGGCTCCATGTTGGCAATGAGTCCTGTGACATTCATCAGGTCTGTTGTCACTTAAGTACACCTAGTATAGTACTCCAGTAGATTTTCGAATTACGAATTAATAAAAGTCCAATCGGCCAAGGATTGCATTACTTAGTACAATTTTATCAGCATCAATGCCTCAGGGTTTGAGATAGTGGGCAATTCCAGGACCACATAAACGTTGCAGTGGGAATGTGACCTCCGTGAGACATGAGATCGATGTGCCCCATAATGAGTGTGACGTCATATTGCAGAGCGGATGATGCAGTATAATTACACGAGACGCGGATGATAAGACTTCATCCGCATCTCGTGATTTTTATTTTATTTTTTTATTGCTTAGATGGGTGGACGAGCTCACAGCCCACCTGGTGTTAAGTGGTTACTGGAGCCTATAGACATCTACGACGTAAATGCGCCACCCACCTTGAGATATAAGTTCTAAGTTCTCAAGTGTAGTTACAACGGCTGCCCCACCCTTCAAACCGACACGCATTACTGCTTTACGGCAGAAATAGGCGGGGTGGTGGTACCTACCCGTGCGGACTCACAAGAGGTCCTACCACCGGTTGCGTTGGTGTTACCTGAGGCTGTTCGGACGCCATCCTGCACATATCTTCAGGGTCCAGCTCGACGGGGTCGTACCTCAGCTTGGCTTTAGCGACCGCCTTCAGGCCCTGCGAGCCGACCGGCAGATACGAGTCTCTTTTCACCCAACTACGGAGAAGGACAATGTTTCAATTTTTACTAAAAAAAAGATTTGAATAGTGAAAGGTTTATACGACTGGTGAGTGAGTATGAGGTTTTTTTTTTAAATTAAATTTACTTTAAGTTTTTATCTTACGCTTACTAATTTAGCTTTAATAATACAGATAGATGATGGCTTATAATTTTGGGAGGTCATTAAAGCATTATTCGTTGACATTTAAATATTGTGATAACTACCGTCTATTTTTCTATAAAAAACAATTCTCGACTTTTATAAAAGGTAACAACGTAAAGAAAGTGCCGATGTTATGAAACCAATAATCAGTTATTGTAAGTTCGAATTGACTATAACTTAAATCGTAAAGTGTTGTATAGTTCAAACCATTAGGAAATAGTCCGGAAAAGCGACTTTATGTTTCTGATTTCTAGACTTTATCTTTGAAAGCAGGCACTTCTTGTATTCAGTCTCTTTGTTACGCACCATAAGCAGTCCATGTGCATCGCAGGTCTGCAGACGTACGTGTTGTCGCGTGACGTCACCTTACTGAACCCTATCTCCTGCTTCATGTCCAGCCCTAGTATCGCGGCACGAGCTTCCACAAAAGGCCAATCGAAGAAATCACCTAAAGCAGAAATTAGAATTACTAACATAAATAACTCTCGGAATAAGTCTTCTTATCCTTCGGCATCCTTCGGCAAAAAAACCGGTCATAAAGTACGTCTGATTAGTTGAAGGGGTACGAGTGACCTTTTAAAGTCTTGACTATAAATAACCCAATTAATACACAACGAACAAGGGCAATACCATTATCGTCGCCAGATCAGACCTTAGTTGCAATCAAGATTCGTTTTTCTTTTTTTTCCTACCTAAGCTGATAGCCTTGGGAGGCTATATCAGCGGAACCTTAACTATTAGGTGAGCTCACGGGGCTCAAACCTGACGAAGTTGCTAACACTAACCCTAGCAAGAGCCGTGCTTCGCAGGATCTACCACCGGATCGGAAACGCGACCCACTGAGAAGATCCGGCGAGAAACTCAGTGGGCTGTGTCTGAGGGTTAATTTACTCGTCGAGCCCTTCGTCGCAAGCGACGGGTTCGACGAGAAGGGTGACCGGTGCTTGAGGTACTTAAAAGCACCGTTAGTGGATCGGGAGGATCCGAAATGACGTGTTTTGGGCGACGTCGACTGCTTTCCATTCTGTCCGCAGGATCGGGAATGTAGTTATCGGCGGCCACGATGAGAGAGGGTTCTCGTGTCGTGCCGCTTTATCGAAGTGAAGATTAGTATATGCGTCCAGATCTTTTTATTGCATAGTTCTCAAGGCCACAACAAAAACATAATTTAAAAGCTTTAAAACTTTTTTTACATGCCACTTAAGACTATATTCTTGATGGGACGCAAAGATGAAGACAAAATTAACAAAACAAAAATAACTAAACCGAAATCGTTTAAATCATATATTAGTAGGCAACTGTTATGAAAGTTGTGAAAATTCAGCAATACGAGCTTAGATTTTAAAATTCAACTATTAAATTATCCTTACCGTTATATGTGACAAAGATGTGTGGTTTCACATCCATGATATGATCGAAAAACTTCTGTATAAGTGCCAGCTCATTTGGTTCATTAAATACAATGAATTGGCTGTAAAAGTTATTAAATATTAACCTTCTGTATTCGAATAAGAAAAATGTAAAAAGGCACCAGTTTAAAAGTGGAACTAAAGTTAATCAGATTGCTTGAGATAAAGCACCCAATTCGCAACCCATTTGCGCCACTAGGCCAGTTTGCGGCTCTGTTCATCTCCACCTGGTGGGCTAGCATCTTTCGTGCTTTTGCCGGTTTATGGTCTAACCCTCAAACCCATTGCAGGGGTCGTTAGTTCTAAGACAATCCATCGCCACTAGCTTGCCGATTCTGTCGGCTATGACGGTTCGATTTTAGTTCCCTCAAATAACCTTAGTTATTTTTTATTTTTTTATTGCCTTTGTAGGCAGACGAGCATACGGCCCACCTGATGGTGAGTGGTTACCGTCGCCCATGGACTTCAGCAATGCCAGGGGCAGAGCCAAGCCGCTGCCTACCTAGAAATTCCAAGCACAGCTTTTCACATAGCTGGCTGAGCAAGCCTTGAGTTCATGGACTATATAGTTATATTTTCAGTTTCCACATCTCAGAGGTACCGTAAGTTATAAACAATAGAATGCACTTGTTGACACTTGTTAAATGACAATCAAGAATATTTTTTCTTGCACTCTATTTGAACAAATTTAAGACATGCTATACTTTTCTATAAAATTTTATGGGACAAAGAAGCTGAAAAATAGAACTATGAAATATTGAATCTCTCGAAACATACCCTTCAAATTCCGGTTTAGGAGTATATTCAAAGTCTTCAACGTCGACCGATATAATTTCTCTGTTTGTTATTAAGTATCCCTGTGCATCGATCATGTAAGAGATCATCATTATTTGATCTGTTTGCGAGTCTGGAAACTTCAATGGTAATTTTGTAGTTTCTATATCAAAGGCCAGTACTATAGGATCTGGTCTCTCTATGATGTCATCTCGTTTTGTGAAAATAGGAGGGTCAGTACCTCTGCATTTCACAGTGTACCATGTGCCACAGAATATTCTCATGTCTATAGAGACTCTTACATGATATGGCACATCGTGTTCCCTGTCGAAAATGAGTTCATTTTATTGATTTGTTTGTTAAACTTAAAATTCAGAATTATATAGAAATAATAGAAAATTCGAATTATAAGTAGACTTACTGAACTATACTTTTTTTTTTTATTAAGCTACAAATGGAATTCAGCTACGGCATTCAAGAAGCATCATTATGAATGTAGAGTAATGATTGTTTCTGCAACTTACCGGATGTCCAAAATATTTTCCATGTGGTCAGTAGTTTTCTTAGCGTGTTCGATAGCCGCTGCACTGGTTAATGCATTAGTTAACATTTCAGCATAAATGACATCTTTCTTTTCCCGCTCTTTATTTTTATTAACTGCCGTCAAGATCTCCCGTCGGACTTTCATCATATCATTTTGAGACATAAATGATAATTTTATGTAACGCTGTTTCAGACCTGATAAGTGGTTCATCTGAAAATACAGTTGCATTCTATTTTTAATGGACAGTCGAAAATTTCTCATTTTAAATTACAGTTGGAGTTTGTAACATTACCACAGCTGACCATTTCTACCATAGAGCAGATGCTTTACACCCTATTGTTGATCGAAGTTTACACCAGTACCCTTTTAATACCTAGTAGACCATGAGTCTTTTCACCAAACAAGTGCAATTAGTGAAATAGAAACAAACTAACTCTAATTCCTAAGCTCCACCACACTGACTAACACTGTGGAATAGAATTAAAGTATAGTGTTCCAGACAGACATTTGCATTAATTTTATTGTTTATGAGCTTCACTCAGTACTCAACATTATTTAGTTGTGAACTCCTCATCTGCGTGGATCAGCAAAAAAGAAAAACATTACCCTATTATGGCAGTTAGGTAATAATTTTAAGAAATGAATAATATTCAGCAATTCAATTTACAAATTAACAATAGCTTATATAAATTGAATAGTACAATTGAGTCGACTAGTATCAAAGCCGGCAATGTGACTTTTGGACAATTACTGGTAAATCAGAAAAACGAATTATTGACTTTGTATTCCATTGGCAGTCACAAAACTCTTCTGAACGACATCTTAGATAAATAACAGGTTAAGTATTAACCTTTATTTAATGCAGGTTTTGAACCGTATTCTTTGAAGGAGACGATTATATTCAAATCAATCTGTATTGACATATCAATAACATTTTTTTGTCCAAATGCACAGATTGCCACCTTTGATAATAGACGACTCAATTAATAGAAATAACTTATCACAAAATACCAAGTCCAAATCTTCCTTCTCCAATACTTCAATCTTTTGCACTGAACTAGCAAACTTCTTAGAGATGTATTGTATAACTTCCTGTTCACATTCTCTTCTGGCCATTATTAGAAAATATGGTTGAAACATTAATGAAATTTTGAATCTGGTACCGTCCATCTCTATGAAATAGTAATCCATGGCAGCAACTAATCGTTTGTCTTCATCGAGTACCTCAGCCTAGTTGGAATGTTTTACTACTTATTATACTGATAAATGAATTTTAATGCAAAAACTAAAATTTGTGTTTTCTTAACTTACCAAGGTGAAAAGGTAATATGACGAAATTTACTACACAAGTGTTGTAGTTTTAAATGTAGGAGTCTTCTACAATATTGAAATTACAAAAAGTAATTACAAAATTGAAACTTTACGCATACTCGTTCTCATGGTTGAGGAGATGTGAATTTAAATATTTACAAATCATAATTACCGTGTGCATATTGATCAAGTAGCCAGTCCTTTCTTTTAAATCTCTCACTCGATCGAAACCATACTTTGAGTCAATTCTGTCATTCTCCAGAGCGGCACGAATTCTAGTTTCCGATGACTCTTCCCTTATAACATTAAGTTTAACGTTAAATTAATATCACAAATGCATTAACTTTATAAATGTTCTTTCTACACTTACTTGAGCCCACCTGAAGAAGTTCCTTCTCTTCTAACAGAATCATCTTTATCGGGTCGGTATTTTCCAGTATTTTGAAGCACCATGATTAAAAAAGTACCTCGCAATATTAAACTAATCACGTACCATTATTATCCAAGATAATTTAATAATATTAAACCCTCCTTGTAAATTCCTCAAAATTATTTTGTATCAACAAATAGATTCAAACAGCTGACCAATAACAATTCAGAGCTTCTGCAGTGACACTTAAGCGCTGTCAAATTTCCCGCGAAATTGATTTTACTTTTCGAACTGAACAGGCAGACAAAAACAGACGACCAGAGACAATTTTTTTCGTGCAATTTTTCCTTATTAGGAAAAGAAAGGGATCTAAGCCCATACAGGCTTGTCTGTTCTATATACGACCAGAGACAAATATTTTAAATAGAATTTTTTTTGATGAGAATTCCATTGTTTTTCATTCACTTTAGTACGACTATACGTAATTATGTTTTGATTGGCGTTTTTTATGAAAAAACAGACATAAATTATTATATTTTTACTTAATTTTGAAAAGAAAAATATTATTTATAAGCTTTAATAAAATATTATCGTCTTAAAGTATAGGTTCTTCTACAACCAAGGTGGTAATAATAGGCATTCGTAACATCCCTTTATAATATGCCAACCACTTTTTTAGTTTTTATTCTAAACCCAAAAATGTACAACACAAGAGTTCAACGTGCAATCTAGCCCATAGATACAGCTCGCTGAGTTTCTCTTTGGATTATAGCTGGGAAAGTCCACTGAAAAAGTCTCAGTAAATGACCACCATTTTACTGAACATTTGTAAATTTAATTCGTTTTTAATCATTTATGTTAAGTCCTGATTAGTTTCCGTCCTTTTTCATAATTTATAAACTGTAAATAATTAAAACGGCGAATTTTAAAAATCTTTTTACTTGACGCTGGCTTATGCACAAACCGTGCCGGAGCCAAAAAATAAAGAACAAGAAGTTTATGGTCTGGTAAAATGGTTGTACAATGCAGGTGCAGTTGTTTATGTAGTAATATGTACATTTACAAGTATTTTTAAGGGATACACATGAATAGTACAAAGAATTCATCTTACGACAGCTACAATGATAGACTTGGAGAAATTCTCAATAGAAGCATTACTTCGAAAATGAGAGATTCTAGTATTGACGAAACTTTAGCGGGGTTTGGCAAATTAAGAATATCAGCCCTTACTAAAGCCGTTGAATTAAGTCCTTTAGTAAAAGAAGCAACCATAGGACCTAACAGTCCTGCAAAGAAAGAATTAATTTATGAAGAAAAACAAATCCCCGCCAAAATTGAACCGTTGCCAGAGGACCTTGTTGAAGATAAGCTCCGAGGGGATCTCGGTTATAATCTCATAATGAAAGAATGTGAAGCACAGTTGCATCAATTATCAGTGGAATTTTTCCGAAAATCCTTTGAACAGATGATTTGTAAAAGGGCGGAAATAATGAACAAATGCTTTCAGAAGTATAGCGAACAACGTGAGCGCAGAGACATGAAATACCATAAACGGAAACTACAGCTACAGAAGGATTTTCACGAAAATGACAATTTAAATGTATTAAAAATAGCCAAATTAGATGAACAGAACAACAGTGCAATGATCAACAGGCAGACAATTGACAATATGAATAGAATCTTAGAAGAACAAAACAAAGCCACAGCTCGATTTGCGGCAATAACTGACAGTCATACTAAAATATGCATCTGTTATAATGAAATCACAAACGTAATAGCTTCGGAGCCTCTGTCCCAACAGGTTTGTGACAAATACATACCGACTATCAAAACAGTCATTTCTAATATTAGTGCTATCATGGAACTTTGTAAAAATGCATCTGTTACCGACAAAGAGGTAAAACAAGCAGAAATATTATCTTTGAACTTAGAAAATGTACTAAAAAAGATTTTAAATGAAATTAATGAAATTAAAGAAAAGGAAAGGATTTTGAAAGATAATGAAAGGGAATTATTAAAATTGAAAGAAATAGAAGAAAAGAAAGCTAGAGAGTTGGCTGAAAAGGAAGCGCAAGAAACAAAGATTCCTGAGGTGACAAAAACTGTTAAAATAGTTCGTCCTGATAAAACAAAGGTCAAACCCATGTTCTACTCCAGTAAAAACTACAACTATTTTAAAGAGTTAAGCAACTTTATGATAAGTTATGAAGCACAATACAGTGATTTATTAGAGAATGTAAACATGAAAAAGTTTAGATTTGACTGCCAAAAAGCTGTGAACACTCCAGTGAATGCATTGTCTTCAGTTAGTAGTACACACATGAAGGACAAATATGAAAAGCTGTACAAACTACTCAAAGGAGAGAGTGTACAAGTGTTAGACATATATTTTACTGTAACTCAGCATCCACATGGAGTGGCATACTGTACAGCACTCTTAGCCAAGAAAATAGTGAGGCAAGGGGAGTTATTGGTTTCAAGTCATCCTGAAGCTGCATTCCCATTAGCAGCTGTAGTTATAGCACTTTGGGCTTCTTTCCCAGATTTTGGAAAATTATTGCTAGCCAATTTTCACAAGCAGTGCCCTTATTTAGTTCCCATGCTTATGCCCCAAAAAGAAGGTCAAACAGATAAGGAATTCTACTTGTCTAGAGGGTATACATATAATGATGAAGGTGTAGTTGAAAAACAAGATAAATTCTTGAAAAGAATGTCAGGTATCTTTAGACTCATCTGTGCTATTTGGATAATGAGCACCCCCAAATTTATAAACATACCTAACCCCCATGGATTACAATATGGATGGCAGTGGCTTGCATCTTTCATCAACTTGAAACCAGAACCTGATATATCTGCCACTCTTCTTTATGATTTCTTTACAGTGTGTGGGTCTAAATTTCTCTTACATTATAAGATACAGTTTATTAAGTTAATAAAATTAATTAGCACAGATTATTTGGAAGTTTTACAAAACATTGATGAAGGAGGGCCAAAAACGAGACTGGAAGTACTCTTACAAAACATACTGAAGACCGGACACATTGATCCTCCCAGTGGTTTGTTACAATCAGATATATGGTGAACATCTCTCAATTATTTGTAAATTTATCCAATCCAATTATGAAATATTGACAATAATATCAATGATAGTGCATGTTTAAAAGTGTTATTATGTCGAACGAGTAAAATAAAGTGAATTGATTTGAATGTATTTCATTAATTATTTAAGCTGTGTACTCATTGTGAACAATCATAAACTTAAATTTGACTGTAAATCATAATAATAAAATTTCTGCCTTCTTATGTTTTAAACTTTTTCAACAATGCACTAAAAATATTCAATTAATGTAAATTAAATGTTATCCAAGATCCTCTCTTTAATAATCCCCATCATTTTGACACAATTTGACTGATGACTGATCTCTATTGATCTTTCTCAATATCATAATTTTATAAACAAAAAAATGTATGAATATTCATTACTTTGGTTTCATTTTCTTCCCAGGATCAAGAGGAATATAAATATTATTTTGTTTGGCTCGATGTTAACACTTTTCGTTAAACTTTTCGCTAACCTTACAGTTTTTAAACTATTTAGGGTGATTGATTTAAAACAATATGTGGTCTACTTCATCATGCGTTTGTCATTGTAAAACTCCTTATCAATATGACTGCTTTGATTTCTTACTATATAACGTAGCAACCTCTTTTTTTCCTATCTATTCACTTGTAGCCTAAGCCTATTCAGGCAGAGCCCATATATAAGACAATAGTATTACTTGATTCAACAGTATATGGCTTGCTATATTGCAAACCGAAACAAATACATATCTAGGCAGGTAGATCATCATAATCCCAAATGCATAATTAAACATGTTTTCCATATTGGTAAGATTTACTGCTTACGACCTCATACATATTTGAATTTATTAAATATGATCTTTGCTGTTTTTTTTTTAACTCCCAAAACCCAAATCATTTAGCGAAATATTAAGGATTTCATCAATTTCCTAGCACCTAAATTAACTACAGCACAATGTTTGTCGGCACACCGACAATTTTCAAAATAATTTGGTGGTAACGCGAAAAGGGAAGATTGTGAATTTGTATATTATTATATCGTAATTTAGTGTATTACCATTTATAATGCTGCAAAATCTAAGTATTAGTTACTTCTCACATTGTTTCTTAGATTTTTTAACTCATTTTATTCTACTTCATTTTACTTTTCAGATATTAGATTAATTAGAAATGATTTTGGCATAAAACAATAAAACAAATTAGTTGGTACCAGAAAAGAGGATACCTTTGCTTTTATTGGATATGAAAAAAAAACACACTTAAAAGCTGTCAAAAAGACAAGTGTCTTCTGCATAAAAATCGGATTTTATAAATAAAGATGTGATACAAAAATATAAATTAACATTCCATATATTTTACTCAGAGTAGTACTTAACACAGTATAATTGAATCCGTCTTAATAGTGGCATTTAACAAAATGGGTAATCGAGATATTTTCAATTCAAGAAATTCTGCATTCAGCCCTCACAGGCTACGCGATTGGGAGATGGGATTTCAGAAGCCCATAGGGGCGGACGATGCGATGGCAAAGAGTCTGTACTGTGGTATGAAACCCATAGCTTCATGGGAATCTGACAATACAAGAACTCCTCCCACTGGAGGAGTTTTTAACCTTGAATTTTCACCTGACGGGTAAGTACCAACCAGGAACTCAAGAGATTAACCTTGGTTCTGTAAATTCCACCAAAGCTTAGTACTCTGCTGTTACACCTGCAACAATATCCACAGCCTTTGTTGGAATTTACATTTATTTTTCTAATAATACATTTAAACATTCAAAAACAGTCTAAAGTAGGTAACTATTCCATAGTGAAATTTTGGAAAAAATATATGTCTAAATAATAGGAATATGGATTCCACACTTATAAAAATATAATAAATACAAAACTATACTAGATACTAATATTATTCTTGAAGAAGGAAGTTCGGTAAAAATAAACTTGTAAAACTTGATTCCTTTCTCTGGCGTATTCTTATCTTGATCTATTTTTTTATGTATAATTATATTATTTAAATTGACCGAATTTAATAAATTGATAATCAACAAAAATATATTTTAAATTGACATTTATGAGTTATCTGTCAGCAAAACAAAAGGAGTATAAGAAGATTAGGGGGTAATTTTAGATTTTTTGAAGTCAAAAATGTGCTTTCATGGTATAATATCACATTCTGTCACATCTCCATTAAATGGTTAATGGAATTAAAAAATGTCACGGCTATTATCAGAAATGATGTAACACTTGTATATATGTATTAAAATGTGGTCATAAATACATAAATTCACTACAGACTTATATTCTGGTTATCCTGTATGACAACTAAGAAATAACAAATAAAACACGCTATTTTATTTAACATCAACTATTTTGTTGTTAAAATAATAATATGTTTTCTTTTAGATCACTGTTAGTGGCTGCTTGTGAAAAGAAATCCTTACAAATCTTTGATCCTTTAACACACCAAAGGACACATTGTGTGACCGAAGCACATTCGGATTGTGTAAATTGTGTTAAGTAAGTACTTTCTTTACCAAGTTTTATGTTAAGGTTATGAAAGGTGTTATCAGTATACTTGTAAAATGAATTAAACAATTGATCTCAACATTTATGTCAAGTAGGGGAGGAGGGGTTAATGGTTCAGATTCATTGTATGAGAACTACAATTTGTCCTTAATATAAGGTGAAGTGTGAAAATTGATAATATACTCTGGTTAATTATAAGCCTTTATTTTTTTTTAAATCGGCTATGTAAGAAATATGTATAGGTTGACATCTTCCTTATGACAAGTGGTTACTGTAATCCATAGAAGTTGCAAGGTGAATGCTCTCAGCTATATTTAGACATGTTCTCAAAGCCTCAGTAATGTGGTTTAACATGTGACATACTTTGCAATGCATCACAACTTTGAGGTATAGATAGCCAGAGTGATGGTACCTATCCTTACAAACTCACAATGACTCATTGGGGTTTGAGTTTATATAACATAAAAGAAAATTTTCAACTAAAAATTTTTATTAAGAAATTATTGAATCATCGTTTCATGTTATTAAAATCAAGTGATAAATAATTTGTAATTAATTTTAATAGTAAAAGCCCAAACTTAATTCAGATTCACTCATGAATAACAGAGCTGCATGGTATTATCCTACTGCTTGAGAACTACAGTACATATAGTAAAACTATCTATTGATAGATAACTTTTATATGGTTTTTAATCAGAAGTATACAAATAAAAAAATACAATTCAAATATATATCTTTAGCTGGGACAAGCAGTGACAATTTGATGACAGTGTCAATTTTGAGTTGTTAAATTTGCATGCCAAAAAATCGAGCATGGAAATTGTGACCAAAATAGACTAATTTATTACAATACTGCATTCTAATATATTCAATATGAATAATGTTTAAGTAATTACATCTGTAAATAGTATAATGTTATGCAAATTATAGCTCATGAATAAGAGATTCTTTTGTTGCTCGTTAATGTTATTTAATTGGATTGTAGATTTGTAGGTCATAGATCACGAAACAGTATCAACTGTAAGAACAGTACGATGCTATATTACACGCGTATTTTCTTATTTAATTTTCAGATTCTTAGACGCTAGGATGTTTGCCACATGCTCCGATGACACAACAGTAGCACTATGGGATGTACGTAACATGAAGAAGAAGATACGTTCCCTCTTAGGTCATCTGAGATGGGTCAAAAGTATAGAATTCTCGGTTAAAGATAAATTATTAGTTACGTCTGGTTTGGATGGCAGCATATACACATGGGATATAAATTCATATACAGAATGTAATCTTGTATACCAAAGAGTATTTCATACGTCTAGTTTGATGAGGTGTCGCCTTTCGCCCGACGCAAGGAAAATGGTGCTGTGCACAACTGGAGGTTTAATAATTATTATACACGACCTTAATTTATCAACTTTAGCTCAAGATTTACATGGGTTCAAGGTAAGATTAACAGCCTAATAATTGCATAGGATGAATTACTTATGTTAAATTATTATTGACTAGCGGCCCGCTCTGGCTCCGCTCGGGTCTTTAACAACACTTTCAACTATATTTGACGTTTTTTGATTTTTCATAAAAGAACACCTATTGCGGCATAACTATAATAGTTAGACATATGCTGTCGCGACACTTTTTGTACATAATAATGTGTTCTACAAAGTCGTACATTATTTTATTCTATCATCAATAGTTTTCGCAGGGCACGCGATGTAAAGAATATTTTAGGTAATTTTTTATTGGTGTTTTAGTAAGGATCCTTTTTTTTTTCGAAAAAGATTGTCGCCTATGTCACTCGGGAATAGTGTAGCTTCCAAACTGTGAAAGAATTTTTCAAATCGGTTCAGTAGTTTCGGAGCCTATTCAATACAAACAAACAAACAAATCATTCCTCTTTATAATATTAGTATAGAGTATAGATTAGTATAGACAAACATTTGACTAATCACCAAAAGGTTATTACAAGTGATAATCGTGTCAAGTAGTTCACAAAGTTTATGCCGCCACCCACTTTGATATGTGAGGTCTTAGTTTTATTCGTATTGTCCAATGAGACAAACGAGGAATGCCTCAAACCAGAACGCACAAGTGAATTCCTCGTGGCGTAAAGGATAAGACGCTCTTGGCGTAACTGACTATGGCCAGTATTCAAATCCTGCAGATGTTTGATTTATTGCAAGATGGTTTCATCTACACTAATATTATAAAGCTGAAGAGTGTTTTTTTGTTTGTTTGAACGTGCCAATCTCAGGGANAGATGGGTCAAAAGTATAGAATTCTCGGTTAAAGATAAATTATTAGTTACGTCTGGTTTGGATGGCAGCATATACACATGGGATATAAATTCATATACAGAATGTAATCTTGTATACCAAAGAGTATTTCATACGTCTAGTTTGATGAGGTGTCGCCTTTCGCCCGACGCAAGGAAAATGGTGCTGTGCACAACTGGAGGTTTAATAATTATTATACACGACCTTAATTTATCAACTTTAGCTCAAGATTTACATGGGTTCAAGGTAAGATTAACAGCCTAATAATTGCATAGGATGAATTACTTATGTTAAATTATTATTGACTAGCGGCCCGCTCTGGCTCCGCTCGGGTCTTTAACAACACTTTCAACTATATTTGACGTTTTTTGATTTTTCATAAAAGAACACCTATTGCGGCATAACTATAATAGTTAGACATATGCTGTCGCGACACTTTTTGTACATAATAATGTGTTCTACAAAGTCGTACATTATTTTATTCTATCATCAATAGTTTTCGCAGGGCACGCGATGTAAAGAATATTTTAGGTAATTTTTTATTGGTGTTTTAGTAAGGATCCTTTTTTTTTTCGAAAAAGATTGTCGCCTATGTCACTCGGGAATAGTGTAGCTTCCAAACTGTGAAAGAATTTTTCAAATCGGTTCAGTAGTTTCGGAGCCTATTCAATACAAACAAACAAACAAATCATTCCTCTTTATAATATTAGTATAGAGTATAGATTAGTATAGACAAACATTTGACTAATCACCAAAAGGTTATTACAAGTGATAATCGTGTCAAGTAGTTCACAAAGTTTATGCCGCCACCCACTTTGATATGTGAGGTCTTAGTTTTATTCGTATTGTCCAATGAGACAAACGAGGAATGCCTCAAACCAGAACGCACAAGTGAATTCCTCGTGGCGTAAAGGATAAGACGCTCTTGGCGTAACTGACTATGGCCAGTATTCAAATCCTGCAGATGTTTGATTTATTGCAAGATGGTTTCATCTACACTAATATTATAAAGCTGAAGAGTGTTTTTTTGTTTGTTTGAACGTGCCAATCTCAGGGACTACTGGTCCGATTTGAAAAAATCTTCCAGCTCATTTATTGAGCAACGCTATAGGCTATATAACATCACGCTAAGACCAATACAAGGGCGCCAATAAGGAATGTTTCAAAATCGGGGTATTTTCCCTTTTGAGAGCTTCTGCTGTGTGCGCTGCGGAAAAGCATAACGGAATAATAATAATAATAATAAAATAAAATTCGGCATGTACGATTGCTTTGAAGCAGACACTGGTAGTATTCCAATTACAGCACAAGAGCGCATTATGCGGCATAATGCTCAACGTTGAATGTTCCAAATACAGCCACGCTTCGAACAATCGAGCACTCTCAAAAGTACTGCTCTCGCGTGATACTCGCAATCGATACCGACTCAGTGATAGAAAATTGACAAGTGTTTTTTCTTTAAGTTGGCATTGATCGAAATTTTGTTTATATTATCGTTAGTAATATTATTTAATATTGAAAAAAATTGTAAGGCTTTCGTATCGTCGTAGTTTCTTAGAAATAATCAATGTTAATTAAAACTGTGCTAACTTAGCGCACTCTGCTGATGCATTTGAAAACTAATTCACGTTCAAATTAAGCTTCAGCATAATTCGGCATTGTGCGTCACTGAGTCGCATTATGCTCTGTAATTGGAAAACTATCTATAATACAATGTTAATTGATTATTCTCAGCTTTAAAATCATTGCATTCAACAGCCGAACCTGTACAAACTGATGCAAATGAGCAAACAGCTGATACCGATAGCAGCAATGTACGATCATCTCTTTGATAGTACACGGAAGGAGAACAGAATTGAGTTTGTCTCGGACTTCCCCGACGGTAATGATGCGGAGGTCATCAGTGCATTGCAGGTCAGTAATGCAGCAAACAGATAAAGCAGTAGACATAATCACATAATAGGTAAAGCAGTATGTACATGAATAAAAACTCGTATTTAATTAGGATAAAAGTGTTAAACCACAGATAAGTTTGGACGCAACTGTTTACTGGGCATTTTAATTTGTATACAATAAAATTATGCAACTATTTTGTTTAAAGAAGTCTAGGCTTGGTCGCAAACGCCATATTGAAATAAGCCAATACAACAATTATAATGAATCGATTGAAACAGATCGTACATACTTTTCTAACGCCCGATTTAGTAAATAAAAAAAAATTAAGCCCCTTGTGACAGTATTTTTGTAAAATTGATAAAGATTTGGATCGACGTCGTTCGAGTTATGGAGGGTAGAAGTAAGATGCACCATCCTAGTGTATTCAAAAGTGTCCGCTGAAAGAGCAAATTAAGTGGCAGCATAGTATAGTAATCGGCACGATTCGTGAGCTCTGACCTTGACATGAGCAGAAGTACAATTCGTCGTGGCCTAAATGATAAAGACATCCGGTGCATTCGTGTTGAGCGATGCACCGGTGTTCGAATCCCGCAGGCGGGTACCAATTTTCCTAATGAAATACGTACTCAACAAATGCTCACGATTAACTTCCACGGTGAAGGAGTAACATCGTGTAATAAAAAACAAACCCGCAAAATTATAAGTTGCGTAATTACTGGTGGTAGGACCTCTTGTGAGTCTGCGTGGGTAGTTACCACCACCCGGCCTATTTCTGCCGTGAGGCAGTAATGCGTTTCGGTTTGAAGGCAAAAAAACTGCATTTTTGGGTCTGTTTGGGGAAAGAGGCAAGAACGGGGGTGGCGCCGGCCATATCGATTGCATGATTGGATCTTCCCGCGTCGCGTCACCGTCTGTTGTGATTGGTTTCCAGTGTTCTCCACGCGCATCACTGCAGCAAACTAACTACACTTTCGTGCAATTTTATTAAGCGTATTATTATCTATGTTTATAAACCACAAATTTTTTATCAACCTCGTTTAATTCTTCCCGGCATCAACTATACCAAGTGGAAAGATTTAAAAAACAGCGCCATAAACTATTATAACATTACAGTAGGATACTAAATTAAGAAACACTTTCTACGTAAATAAGTAATCTATATATTAATACGTGAAGCAAAAACTTTGTATCCCTTTTTACGAAAATTGCGCGGACGGAGGAGTACGACATTTTACACACTTATAGAGAATATAGAGAAGAAGTGCACAATGCTAATATTTTTTTTAAATAATGCATAAAAGATACATTAAATCAATAAAGAAAACATTACACACACTACATACCATGTATTTGACGCACACACGCATGCATACTATTTATTGTCAAACTTTTGTTCTTGACGTCTGTTGTCAAATTGAGAATAGATTATTTATTTTTGTCTTTGTTAATATTTTGTATAGTGTAGTCTTGGCGAAATTTGTTATTATAGAAGTATAAAATACAATCATAATAGTGTACAAACTTAGGGACCTCTAGTAACAATAAATAGTTGAAGTTTTAAATACTGAATAGTTTTTAACTACACAAATTGCGACAAAATTTTAAAATTTTCAACGCAGAACACTTCACTCTGTTCAAAATTGCTTTAATCATATCATTTCCATTTTCTACACTATTGCTATTTCAGTGAGTCTTCCAACAATAACTTGCTATTTACAGATGGACATTTTTTTAACTTGTCCCTTAAACAAGATGATGCTCATTACTTCTACACTCCATAGTTCGAGTACCAAAAAAGAAAACCACAGATAATATAAGATTCTTTGTACTGGAAATTAACAAAGGCGCGTTTTGTTACAGATACACCCGCAAGGATGGAGTGCGTTAAGTCGGAATCTAAGTCACGAGGATAGGTCCGAGGTAATTAATATGTATTTTGTCGTGAATCATAAACTAAGGCAGTATACTAAGACACCAAACTTTTTTACTTTCGTCCATAGTGCGTTACGAAATATTATTTTTATAACGCCTAGTGTCCTGATATGAATTCCTCTCCACTGTGTTGCCGAGGGTTCTTCTACAAATGTCTTCAGCTGCAGACTGCGGTTTGGCTGTGCCCCCATTTTTTTTATTGCTAAGATGGGTGGACGTGCTAACAGCCCACCTGGTGTGAAGTGATTACTGGAGCCCATAGACATTTACGACGTAAATGCGCCACCCACCTTGAGATGTAACTTCTAAGATTTCAGTATAGTTACAACGGCTACCCGACCCGTCAAACCGAAATGCATTACTGCTTCACGGCAGAAATAGGCGGCCTGCGGACTCACAAGAGGTCCTACCACCAATAATTACGCATATTATAATTTTGCGGGTTTTGTTTTTATTACACGATGCTATTCCTTCACCGTGGAAGTCAATCGTGAACATTTGTCAAGTACGTATTTCATTAGAAAAATGGGTACCCGCCTGCGGGATTCGAACACGGTTGCATTAAATACGAATGCACCGGACGTCTTACCCTTTAGGCCACGACGACTTAAAATAGACTCGCGCTACATTCTCTGGGCCCGCGCCCCGTTACTTAGCATTTATAGTACGTATGTATACAGTGGTGGATTTACACTAGGGGCAGTCGGGGCAAGTGCCCAGGGCGGCAAAATTTTGAAAGTAACAAGTTTTTTTTAGTCGTGTCAAGATTGCGCAATATAATTAATTACTAATTTTCTTTTTAATTGATAATTCGAGAAATTCAATTCATGCATTATTTGTGAATTATAATTTTGACACTTTTGGTAAAAATTAATAATCAAAATGATTTAATCAATTTATTTTCTTGGAGATTTAAAATAATAATCGATTTTTCTATTTTCGGTAATTAAAGTTTTTTTTTTTTTTTTGTAATATAAGTCACCCTTAGTGCAAAATTTATAATTGTTAGAAAAAAAAAACAAATATTTATTTATGGTTTTGGAATATAAATATGACATATGATAAAGTTCCTGCGAAAATTAGTTCTTTTAATTTTGAACAATAAAATCTAATATAAACTATAAGTTTAGTTAAAATTTCCAGTATTGGGGCGGATTTTTTTCCGGTGCCCAGGGGCGGCATTAAGTTTAAGTCCGGCCCTGTACGTATAATGTGTTACGCAGTGGACGTGCATTCACGACATCCAGCCGGAGGACGCGTGCCCGACGAAGCCGACGCGCGACACGAGCGCCCCCCCGCCGCGCCGCAACATGCGTCGCTTCCGTCTGCACCTGCGACTGCGACCGTACGTGCCCACCCCCCGCTCCAACCTCAGTGTGCTTAGTGCGAGTTTTTTAACGTTCTCGATATCGTAAAAGTTAGCTCATATTTGTATGGAATGGGATCGTTTGCCTACGTTTGCCGCTAGGGGCGCTGTTCCAACTGGATACAAAATGGGTTTAACTTTTACGCTATCGAGTACGTTAAGAAACTCGCACTAAGCACAAAGGCCTTAAGCAATTGTTAATAAGAGCTGATTTGCGCAAGCAGAGTCGCGTTTTAATAGATGGCAGTGTGTATTGTAAAACAGCAAAAGTAGATGCCAATTTCTGTCACGAAGTAGACATTCGCTAATGTTTGAATTGAATATCATTGTTATAAGAAAATTCAATCCTACACAGGTTTTACCGTATCAATTTTATAAACACACTTCATAATAACTTGACACGCACTCACACACAGACGCAAGCACCCACGCACGCACGCAACTTAATTTTTATTGTACGAACAGTTCTCGGACGGAGACTGCAGCAGCTCCGAGTGAGGCGGATCCGGAGCCCGAGCCGGGCCCGTCCGGCGCCGCCGCCTCCGCCACCTCCAGGCTCTCGCCGGTAACATTCAAATATCTATACTAATATTATAAAGAGGAAAGATTTGTTTGTTTGTTTGTTTCGAATAGGCTCCGAAACTACTGGACCGATTTGAAAAATTCTTTTTCCATTAGAAGCCGACATTGTCCCTGATGAACATAGGCTACTTTTTTATTTTTTTTTTATTTTTTTTGTTTCATGTGTGTTTTAATGTTTCCGAAGCGAAGCGAGGGCAGGTCGCTAGTACACAAATATAATAATACTAGTGTAGGAATATACGACAAAGGGAAGATCTTCCACCGAGCCGATGATATTGCTCGGCAGACCGACGGTCCGAATGTTGTTGTTCGGAACTTCTATATATGCAAGCTTATCTTGAAAATGTCGTAAGCGAGATTCAGGCATCTGTCAATTGTCTTGCGTTGTATGTAAGGATGTGGTAAATGAGTGAAGGAGGCATGTAGCGCTGTGAAACGATGAGGGAATATAAAAATAACCAAACCACATTCAACCACATAATGCCTCATTATAACAACGACAAAAAAATGTCCAAAAAATTAAAAATAAATGTTAGGGGTGGACAACCCTTATCAATTAGAGGTATGAAAAATAGACAGTAGCCGATTCTCAGACCTATTGAACATGCATATTTTTATTTCATAAAAATCGGTCAAACCGTTTCAGAGGAGTATGTTAACTAACATTGTGACACGAGAATTTTATTTATAAGATATACATAGACATCAACAATAACAATGCCTGAGATTCGCATCACACAGCGTGCGGTCAGACAGGAGCTTCGGCTTCTTGATGTCCATAAGTCGAGTGGGCCAGATTGCATCCCCGCAGTGGTTCTAAAAACATGCGCCCCTGAATTGACACCCGCGCTAACGCGTCTATATCGCCTCTCGTACAATACCAACAGGGTTCCGTCTTCATGGAAGACTGCTCATGTCCACCCTATCCCCAAGAAGGGTGACCGGTCGGACCCCTCGAATTACAGACCTATCGCGATAACTTCCTTGCTTTCCAAGGTGATGGAGCGAATCATAAACATCCAACTTCTTAAGTATCTTGAGGATCGCCAGCTGATCAGTGACCGGCAGTACGGTTTCCGTCATGGTCGCTCAGCTGGCGATCTTCTTGTATACCTCACACATAAATGGGCTGAAGCCTTGGAAAGCAAGGGCGAGGCTCTCGCTGTGAGCCTTGACATCGCGAAGGCCTTCGACAGGGTCTGGCATAGGGCACTTCTATCGAAGCTTCCAGCATACGGGATCCCTGAGGGACTCTGCAAGTGGATCGCTAGCTTTTTGGATGGACGGAGCATCGCAGTTGTCGTCGACGGCTGCTGCTCCGATACCATGACCATCAACGCTGGTGTTCCACAAGGTTCGGTGCTCTCCCCCACGCTTTTCATACTGCATATCAATGACATGCTATCTATTGATGGCATGCATTGCTATGCGGATGACAGCACGGGGGATGCGCGATATATCGGCCATCAGAGTCTCTCTCGAAGCGTTGTACACGAGAGGCGATTAAAACTTGTGTCTGAAGTGGAGAACTCTCTGGGGCGGGTCTCCAAGTGGGGTGAACTGAATTCAGTTCATTTCAACCCATTGAAGACACAGGTTTGCGCGTTCACTGCGAAGAAGGACCCTTTTGTCATGGCGCCGGAATTTCAAGGAGTATCCCTGCAGCTTTCCGCGAGTATCGGGATTCTGGGGGTCGATATTTCGAGCGATGTCCAGTTTCGGAGTCATTTGGAAGGTAAAGCCAAATTGGCCTCTAAAATGTTGGAAGTTCTCAACAGAGCGAAGCGGTATTTCACGCCTGGCCAGAGACTTGCGCTTTATAAAGCGCAGGTCCGACCTCGCGTGGAGTACTGCTCTCACCTCTGGGCCGGGGCTCCCAAATACCAGCTACTTCCATTTGACTCCATACAGAAACGGGCTGTTCGGATGGTCGATAGTCCTGCTCTCGCGGATCGCTTGGAACCTCTGGGTCTACGGAGGGACTTCGCATGGGATACCGCATGGTCCATGGGGAATGCTCTGAGGAATTATTCGAGATGATTCCCTCATCTCCTTTTTATCATCGAACCTCCCGCCATCGGAGCAGAGTTCATCCATATTATCTGGAACCGCTGCGTTCATCGACAGTGCGTTTCCAAAGATCTTTTTTGCCACGTACCATCCGGCTTTGGTATGAGCTCCCCTCCACGCTGTTTTCCGAGCGCTATGACATGTCCTTCTTCAAAAGAGGCTTGCGGAGAGTACTTTATGGTAGGCAGCGGCTTGGCTCTGCCCCTGGCATTGCTGACGTCCATGAGCGACGGTGACCACTTACCATCAGGTGGGCCGTATGCTCGTCTGCCTACAAAGGCAATAACTACAGTAACTTGACTATGGCACCGGCATTGACGATGTTCATCCACACCACCAGATGCCGTATTGGCGTGGTCACAGCTCCATTCATTATTCGACTTGATTAGAGCCGCTTGTCAATATTAACCGTTCGTTATGTGAATGAATAATAATTTTAATTCTTGCATTCCGCTGCGTCACAGCAAGGCCTGTCGAGTATACAAAACGACCTGTGGGAGGCGTCGATAACGGTTAAACAAAACAGAATGCTTCAAGACATTTATAGCAGGTAAGTTTCGTTTATTTTATTAATTAATTACTTAATTTACGGGGTCCTAAGAAACAATTGTGAAATATTCGTAGACTATGGCACTAGTAAGGCCTGATCCCCACCCTGTAGACCGAATGGTAAACCGTCGACGTCGCCCAAAGCACGTCATTACGGATCCTCCTGATCCATTAACGGTGCTTTTAGGCACCACAAGCACCGGTCACNCAGGTAAGTTTCGTTTATTTTATTAATTAATTACTTAATTTACGGGGTCCTAAGAAACAATTGTGAAATATTCGTAGACTATGGCACTAGTAAGGCCTGATCCCCACCCTGTAGACCGAATGGTAAACCGTCGACGTCGCCCAAAGCACGTCATTACGGATCCTCCTGATCCATTAACGGTGCTTTTAGGCACCACAAGCACCGGTCAGCGAATTAACCCATAGACAGAGCCCACTGAGTTTCTCGCCGGATCTTCTCAGTGGGTCGCGTTTCCGATCCGGTGGTAGATTCTGCGAAGCACGGCTCTTGCTAGGGTCAGTGTTAGCATCTCTCCGGTTTGAGCCCCGTGAGCTCACCTACAAACGTTAGGGTGAATCTGAAATAGTCTCTCAAGGCTATCAGCATAGGTAGGAAAAAAAAAGGCCTGACGTCACTAGCTACTATTGTGCTCTCTGTTTAACGTGAAATTTAGACGTGTGTATGTGTGTTATTTTTTATCTTTTTATGATTACCTTTCTTGAAACAATACTTTACCTATCTATAAATATTGGGTAATTAAATATGTGGACACACTGGTCATACGCGACTAAGATGTGTATAGCAGATATGCATAGGCTCTTATTCCCATACACTATTTAAAGTAATGCGCTGTGAACTTTCCTTCGCTATGTCTGTTCTATAAAGCTTATAAATATTTGTTCAAAGTGGTTTGGGTTTTTCACTATTTCATCTTTTGTACATATATTGTAACAATTTATTTCATTTTGAATATCAGCAACATACAGTGCACTGTGACGTCACAAGACAGTAAATCAAACAGAGGCATGACAAAAAAGCTTGACATTAAAAATGTGTGTTTTTAGTGATTTGTAAGAAATTACAATACATTATGATTATTAATCTCTAATGATGACTGCATATCGAAACATTTTAACATAGTCAATAATTTATGTAATACTTAAAGATATATATTATAGTAGTAGGGTACATTTTAAGTTTTTTTTTATTGCCCTTGTAGGCGGCCCACCTTATGGTGAGTGGTTACCGTCGCCCATGGACTTCAGCAATGCCAAGGGCAGAGCCAAGTCGCTGCCTACCGAAAAGCTATAAAAAATTTTTTTCGGATACAACATTTTGATTCAATATTAACTTTTTTTTTCCATACCTTAAACTCATGACGAACAAAATTCCCGATTCGCTCTGATTGCGAGAATAAACATTAAAATTCCATAAACTTTATATTCATGTGGTGATGAAATAAAAGAATAAGCAATGTTAAGTGATTATACCACTAATCAACATTTTTTATTCCGCTTTCGTCAAAAGGGCTAGCAGGTATGTGTTTTTATATTTTTTCCAAAAATAAAGAGCGTTCATTTCGGAAAACAAATACAAGTTTTAAGTCATGACTTTACCACCGATTCGGGAATTTAGTTTAGCAAAACTAAAAAGAGTGCGTAAAACTCAGATGTTTATGTTCTTTTTCAAATATAATAAAATGTACATCACACACAAAATTTACCTAATCTTATTTTACGTAACAAAAAAAACCTACGTAAATAAACCTAATGATTTCACATAATGCATTTCTTTATTCATAGAAACACTGAATTTGCACACATTACTAACATTTTCATCTGTTACACGCTTTTCGCGTAAGAAGGAAGTAAATTTGAGATGTTAGAAATGAAGACGTAGCGTGGGTAGGCCTCCCACTATATGAACCGACCTATTGAGGTTCGCGGGGATCCGCTGGATGCAAGCAGCGCAGAACCGGTCATTGTGGCGAGGCTTGGGGGAGCCTTATGTTCAGCAGTGGACGTGCTGATAGAATAGAATAAAAATAAAACTTTTGTCAGTGGGTAATTACATCGAATAAAAATGCAATATAACAACTCAGGGGCCAGGTACGTCGTAACTTCAACATGCAGCGGATAACCGGGATTAATACAGGGATCACTCCGCCCTCGACGCTTCGAGCGAGGCACCCAAGAGATTCCACATTGTACGACAGGTTTTTTTTAAATGATAGTGAAATTAGCAATAATTTTGACAGATTTGTCATTTTGACAGATTTGTTTTTTGACCATCAATTAGGTTTGACATCATTGAAATTTTGGGTCTTTGATTCGTGACTAATTGTCGACTGAAGTCAATTTGGTCATTCCAGAAAACTTCGAGGAACCTCTATATTCTGCAGTGAAACTAGCCATTCAGTCGATGAACATTGAAAAATTATATTTTCTTAAATCCCATTATCATTCCGTAATAACAGCCTGCTGTATATAATACAATATTATTGTGTTAAAATTAGAGGGCGTCCATAAATTACGTGAAGCATTCTTGTCAAATTTTCGACAAACACTATTGTTTCAGATCCGGCAATATTTTATTCTAGATATAAAATTTCACGCAATTTTACATCGATTTCTACAAGATTTTTTTAAACCTGAAACTGACAGATCAGACATTCCCCTCTCCTCCCCCTAGAACACCTCACGTAATTAATGGACACCCCCTTAGAGACTTACAAGGTTTGGTTAAAGCTGCTAACTTTTATTTTCTTGTAAATTTCCGAATAAAGGTATTCATTATTAATCTTCTCATAAAAAGCGTTTATTCATTAATAACTTACAAATGTTTTTACACAGAATCATTATATTTATATTTTATTTTATAATTTTAATACTAATTCTCTAAAAAATTTTTCCAATTGGTTAACTAATTAAATTCATACTCAGCACGTGATCCACACTTGAAAGACCAGTTTGATTCACTCGCGATTTTAGATGAAAAAAAAACTTATAAAAAAGAAACCCAAATACGAATTAGATGTTTCCCTAAATTGAAGGCTTCTAGCAATAGACATTGATCGGTTTAAATTATAAGTGGTTTTTCATTAAAACTAACAAAACGATTTATCTTTAGTACGACGCCTTCGACATCCGGCCACTACCCACGCGAAGTCATCATAGATAAATGCGTTTCATCGAAACCCTTCATCAGACAGAACAAGGATAGACTGCTTTACTACATTGAAGAAACGAATGAAGGCAGAGGATTCATAAAGGTGAACAATTTGATGTGCTCTTTTTTTGTCCTACCTATGCTGATAGCCTTGAGAGGCTATATCAGCGTTATCTTAGCGTGTAGATGAGCTCTCGAGACTCAAACCGTAGGCATTCCTAACACTGACCCTAGCAAGAGCAGTGCTTTGCAGAATCAACCATCGGATCGGAAACGCGACCCACTGAGAAGATCCGGCGAGAAACTCAGTCAGCTCTGTGGGTTTACCACTTAGCACCAGCAGGAATGTGAACTCTTGTACCCATTTAGAGAAAAAAAAGTACTTCAGTGTGCGCCCCTACGCTGTTCCAACTGCATATATATTTGAGTTAACTTTTACGCTATCGAGAACGTTAAAAAACTCGCACTAAGCACACAGTAGCACTAATCGACCACATAGATAGATACACCAATACCAAAATTTCAACTCGTGTCTATTGAAACACAGAAAGCACAGGAAAGTTGTCGAGTATATAAATTACATTATTTTTTGTGAATATTTATGTCATCATTATTAACAGCTTATTTAGTAACACTCTTGGACATAGGCCTCTTTCAAGGCACGCCACTGTATTTATGTGTATTTAATGACATGTCCTTCTTCAAACGAGGCTTGTGGAGATTATTAAACGGTAGGCAGCGGCTTGGTCTGGCTCTGACTCTCGCATTGCTGGCGTCTATGAGCGGTGGTAACCACTCAATGTTAAGTGTAATATAAATAATTTCGGTGGCAGGGCGCCCTTATTGTCTTGGCGCCTGTGTGCACCGTACACTCCGCACACGGGGATGGCGCGGCCCTGGCTGCATGCTCGTCTGCCTATAAAAGCAATAAAAAAAATCGATTGTTTTTCAAAATAGGAATTGTGTTACTCTGCGGACGGTCGCATCGTGTGTTCGCCATTCGGGTGCGGCATGCGGCTCCTGGCGCTCAACCAGCAGTGCAGCGAGCTCCCCCACCTCGTCCAGGACTCGTCGGGGCCCAGGGTCATGACCGAAGTTGGCCAGAGTTTGGGCATTCACCAAGATCTCGTAGTTAGTTCGCGGTTCAGTCCTCGATATCACATGCTCGTCACGGGCTGTCTAGACGGCAAGATAGTCTGGTACCAGCCGTACAGCGGAGAAGATTTGTATTAAAATAGATACTTAAATACAATTTCGGAAATCATACTGTTTCTATTTTTAATCCAGTAGCTTTAATGATTTTTTCTTTTGTTTAGAAAATATAAAGTGCCAGTGAGAAGTTTAGACAGACACTTTTACAGAACTTTCGACTTTAAAATATGCAAGCTTCTTCTTCCTCCTCCCCCAATCGAGACTTGTGAGCATAATTAAGCCTATTTACGAAAGTAAACGTCGAAGGATAAATAATTGATATAATATGGAGGGTAAAGGTACGGAAAACCGTCTCATATGGGAAAGCTTGAAAAAGTGTCCCACTTTCAGCACTAAATAACAGTTAAAAAACCCTCCAGAATGGCGCTAGCATAGGCACAGGGTATGATATGAATTAAGCAGTTGTTAACTGAAGTATGCTGAGTTAGGAAATTTAATGTATTTAATGACTAGAGTAGTTAATGACAGTGTAATATACAAGACCTCACATGTTTGCGTAGTCCAAACTAATTTCGTCAATATAACCTAAAATTATTGCTGTGGTAAAACGTGGAGACATCGATTGCATTTTCTTATCAGCTTTAAATAAAATACTTTTTGTGATTTTGTAGTGCTTACAGTTCTTTCGTCCTTTTTATTTCTCTATCTTATTCTAATAACTTTCAGCGCCTTTTTTAAAATTTACCCGGTTGCTACAGTAGCGCCACCATTATTTAGCAGATTTTAACGGACACTTTTCACACACAGAGACGGTTCTCCTTACCTCTACCCTCCATATGATTTAGGTAAGTTTCTATTCTTTACCAATACATTTAGTAACGCCATCTAGTTATGATATTGGGAAAGATTACCTGTTAACTTTTAACTCATTTGAGACCGCCTAATAATAATATTATACTTATTTGTGGAATTATTAAAATTATCGCCAAAGACAAAGTGAAAAAAATTGTAATCGTATAAAATAAACCAAAAAAATTTATAGTATCGCATGTTTGTAAACGAACTACCTACATAATCGCAATTCAAATTGCGGTTCGCAATCACCTCCGTTGCTGAAAATTTTCGAGAGAAGAGTGCTGCTGCCCACATGCACAAGTAGTGTAAATAGTACAAGTTAGTGTATGCTGTCCTTTTGGGCATCATCTCGCAATTTTTATAAATTAATTACTACAATATACAATCCACTTCATAGGTGGATTCGCAAACCCAATATTATGCATGGTTGAAACTTTTTTATTTATTTATTGCTTAGATAGGTGGAAGAGTTCACGGCCCACCAAGTGAGAAGTGGTTACCGGGGCCCTACAATCTACAATGTAAATGCCGCTATCTATTTTGAGATAGGAGTTCTAAGGTCTCAGTATAGTTACAACGGCTGCCCCGCTCTTCAAACTGAAACGCCTTAGTGCTTCATGGCAGAAATAGGCAGGGTGTTGGTACCTACCCGTGCGGACTTACAAGAGGTCCTACCACCAGTAAATGGTAAGTTTCGTTAGATTAATACAAATGTGAAAGATTTAATTCTCTATTTCTTAACGTTGAAATGGGAGTTTTTAATTAAAAGACAAAAAAGTAAACAATGTCAATAATTACATTAACAATATACATAAAACATGATTCTATAAACATTTAATATAAAAATGTTCCCTATGATTTTTCACTATTGATAAATTAAAAGTTCGATTTACGATTACACATGTCCGCCTTCCTTAAGCTTAGCTACGAGAGTGTCGACATCAGGTATGATGGAGCCAGCCTGTCTGACTGGAGGATCTTCCACAGAGACCACCTTGATACGAGGTGCCAGATCCACGCCAAGGTCTTTGGCACTTACTTTTTTGAGAGGCTTCTTCTTTGCTTTCTAAAACAAATATAAATTACGGTAGATGAGGATCCTTCCCAACTAAAATAGAGACTGTATATATTCCATGTATTCAAAAAATTTATCATGAATCAATTATATTGATAACAACCATGTTACAATTAATAAATTAAATTTTTTATGTGATAAAAATGGTGTGCTGAGAACTAAATGAAAATATTATGATTTTAAATGTTCATACTTTTGGAATTTTACTATTATCCTATTTTGTTTTTGTTTTACGTATCAACCTAAATGCACTTTAATGTTAGATTGAAGGACCATTAAGTATATTGAAAACTGTAAACATTAAATTATATGTGACGTTGTTCAACTTATCAAGAATAGTTAGCAATAGTTGTATTAAAAGTTTAAATTGTATGAGGCATTAATAAACTTATCAAGAATAGTTCATCCTTATCAAATTCTCAAAGGAAATCTATACATCCAAAACAACAACAATTTATCAGGCACAGCTTAATATGGAACTTGGGGTTCTTTATCTGCAGTGTATCAGTGTATGTTCTTCTAATTTCCATATTAGTATATCACTTTAGAGTTGTATTTACCATGATGTTAGGCAGTGTAGCATATCGTGGTTCATTCAGTCGCAGATCAGCACTCAGTACAGCTGGGATTTTTGTCTTGATAACCTCTAAACCTCCATCAATTTCACGGGTTATAGTTAGAGCACCATCAGTCTTTTCTATCTACAATAAAGATGAATTTGTTACTGTTTATTTTAATTGAAGGTTTAGCCAGGTTAAGCGTATGTCATTAAAATTGTCAATAAATTGCTTACAGACGGCCAACCCAGCACACAGGTGGCACTGTTGTATGTATTTATGTTAATTTATATTGAAGATGTTAGATAATTCAGTAATCCCAATGTTGAACTTATGACTTCTTGCATAAAAGAAGAAAAGAGCATAATTTCAAACAAAATTTAATGTTTTTTTTAAATCACTGAATTAAAACTCGTAATAGTTGATTATTATTGAAAACTAATTATAACTTAATTCATTATTGTTATTTACAAATTATAAAAATTACCTTTGATGCAAATGTGCCTTGTGGCCAATCTAATAAAGCAGCAGTCATCTGTGCTGTCTGGTTGGAGTCATCATCTATGGCCTTAAAAATGAAAAAGAAAGTTTTAGGTATTTATGACACAATGATATTTAAAAAATATATGCATTTTGAATTGTTGTTACCTGTTTGCCAACAATAACTAAGTCTGCCTTCTCATCTTGTGACAGTTTTGCTAAGATTTTTGCAACATGAATGGGCTGTAATGTGTCATATTCAGCCCCAGCCACTTCAACATGAATAGCTCGATCTGCACCCATCGCAAGAGCAGTTCTGAGAGTTTCCTTTATAATAAAATAAACAAGCTTTAGCCTCAAAAAGTATGTAAAAAAAAATAATGAGACTATAAACAATTCTTTTACTACTAATAGATGAAATTTATTCTTATATTAATTTATTATTTTTATAAGAAATTGAAGTCATTAGTGTTAAAAAGACCGATTAGAATAAATTGTTCTTTTTAAATGAAATTTTATTTCAAATGGATTTTAATTTTATTAGTTTAACATGAACATTTAACCAATCTGCATTTTTTTTAATGGCTACCTGTGCTTGTGATGGTCCACAAGAGACTGCAATGACTTCGCTTGCTAACTTTTTTTCTTTCATTCGAACAGCCTCCTCTACTGCTATCTCATCAAAAGGATTCATTGAGTGCTTCACCCCATCTGTGACTACACCAGACTTGTCTGGCTTCACACGAATCTGAATATAAAATTCATATTAATCCTCTTTGTGATACTAAATTTCATATTACATTGCACACACTGGCCAAAAAACTTATTAATATAATTATACTAACTTAAAGTAAGCAATCAACTTTACTATTGAATAAAAAAAAATCTGTTAGGATCTAAGTAAGTGCGTCATTTTAAACGCACCAACCAACTTTAGTATAGTATAGTATAGTTCGGAGTTAAAGGATTTTATCAGTAATGTAATCTTAATTTAAGTGGTCGAAAAGATTGCCAAGTGGCAAAGGGTCATCAAGGCTATTATGAAAGATTATAGATAAGAATAGCTTAGCAACGCAAAGGTACTATATTCCAAATACAATTGGACAGTTACAGTCTTTATTGGTTATTTAAGTATGTATATACACGTATTCAAAACTATTAATTATTTATTATTCTTTTATTAATAAAAAGCGGTGCATAAAAAATAACCTTTGCACTTTCATATAACTTACTTTTACAGCATAGTCGATAACTCTCTTAACGCCAACAAGAACACGAGACATTTTTCTTTTAATTAGTATCTAAAAGGCGTAATAATTAAAGGACTAAATATTAACGAAAACAAACTAACAGGTAGGTACGAAGTCCAAATTTAAAATATCCACAGATTACTAACAAAGAGAGCAAAACCATAGATTATACACTTAATATATTAGAGCAAAACTTTAAAACGTTAATAACATATATAATAATCTGTGGAACTTCGCTGGGTCACAGTGTTTCCACTTTTAGAGAATTCTCCTTTTTTTAGGGAAAAACAGTTGATATTTTGGATGGTTAAAGACAATTTGAAAAATACAAGGATTTAGGGAATTTCGGGGTAAAACGCAAAGCCTATACTAGGAACCTTGTAGTAAAGTAAATCATAGACTAAACCAATGCTTTTTTCTTAGGAATTCCCCAGAATCCTAATAAGTGTAATCCGCCAAAATTTTATTTACCTATGTCACCAGAACCTACTCGTATTGTAATATATAAGTACTTCATGAACCATGAAAGATTATCGTGGTAATTTCATTTACGAAAACCTTGAAGTTGCCGTTTCACTTTTACTAGCAGTTCCTTCTTAAAAGACTGAAGTGGAAAGATTATTCAGTGTTCTTAAAAATGTAAAAACTGACAAAAGAAACAGGCTTTTAATGACACCCCGAAAGGCTTGCTTCATACAAAGCTGAGAACGCTAGCAAACAATTGCTCAATCTTAGAACCGAACAGCGTTATGTTGCGTGCAGCAAAAGAATATAAAAGCAATGCGTCGACTTCCCAAAAATTCTAATCCTATAGATCTACGATCTTCTGTGGGCGTTTTGTTATTATATATATCTACATTAAATAATATACTGTGGTTTATTTTCTGTATTTTATTTATGCTCCCTAAATAAAGGATTTGAGTCGACTATTATCAAAGCCGGCAATGTGACTTTTGGACAATTATTGGTAAATCAGAAAAACGAATTATTGACTTTGTATTCCATTGGCAGTCACAAAACGACACTGACACATTCTGAACGACATCTTAGATAAATAATTTATGAAAATTATTTGGGGAATTTTAGGGATAAATTCATAAGAAACTAGGGTAAAATGAGAAACGTAAGTGGAACCACTGCTGGGTCATAGAAGTAATAGTGTTCTGTGATAGAATATATCCATTGTTCGAAAGGGAGTTTGAATTAGATTGTAGTTTGTACTAATTTCACAAGTATTTATAAAACGAACATTAAGGAAGTGTGTGCAATTGCAATAGCTAATTGAAGAATATTTCAACCTTTTGAAACTTAACGAGGTCCACTACAAAGTATATGCACGGAATGTCATCCGGAATTCGGACTTGGTCCTGCTAGTTTTCTTTTTTTTTTTTCAGTACGGTGATCAGCTATTCTCTAATGAGCTTTACTGGTAACTGATTATTATCGATTGTCAAACGAGAGAAAACTTAGGAAAATCATTGGTGATAACTTTTCATTGTCATGTAATTGATTCAAAAATTAATGTATCACATTATGGCCAGAAGTGCCGTATCCTCGTTGAACTTGTCGATTACGACGAAGAGCTCGATGAGCGAACTAACCCTTAGACACAGCCTATTGAGTTTATCGCTGGATCTTCTCGGATCTGGGATCCTCCCGATTCACTAACGGTGCTTTTAGGTACCCCAAACACCGGTCATCGTTCTCGTCGAACCTTCGATTGCGACGAAGGGCTCCACGAGTAAATTAACCCACTGAGTTTCTCGCCGGATCTTTTCAGTGCGTCGCGTTTCCGATCCGGTGTTAGATGCTGTGGAGCACGGCTCTTGCTAGGATTCGTGTTAGCAACGATGTCAGTGAGCTCACCTACTAATTCGGCGAATCTAGAATAACCCCTAGTTATTACCCCTGGTTACTAGAATAGGTAAGAAAAAAAACTGCTCTTGCTGGGGCTAGTGTTAGCAAATTCTCTCAGGCTAAGCCCGTCAGGTTACCTACCGGTCTGTGCGTAGCTGGAATAGCCTCTTAGGCTGCCAGCGAATAGGTAGGGGAAAAAAAGTGGCATAACAAGTTGCGATTTTACTTCTTCTTCATCATTTTTCATTCATTCATTTTCATTCTTTGATAACACATTCACCGTGCAGGCGGTTCGATTGTGGAATGCTCTGCCGGATGCAGTGAGAAGTGCTCCAACTTTAAACTGCTTTAAAAGAATGACGAAGGAACATTACCTATCCGCCTAGTGTTGTTTGCTTGTTTATGCTTTATCCTTACTGTTAATTTATTATTGTATGTAAGTGTATTGGAGTATAAATCATATGGTGATTTCATATTGTGTTTAACGGTATATATATATTTATCGTATGTGTTGTTAATAGTACACCACAACATACCTGCTATATCTTTATCTGTCCAGAATTCCGGATAATTAATTAAACGGTTGTCTGGAAGAGACCGCTTTTAGCGATACGTCCGCCTATTGTACAAACGTATCTGCTTGTTGACTGTTTTCTGATGTTAATTGTGTTTTGGTGTGTAATAAAGTATGTTCTCCCTTCTTCTATTCCTTCTGTTAGTAGGCAGTTAGTATGCGGGCCGTAATATGGGAATGGTCGGAGGGCGGTACCTGGTACCTACAGCTTAAATTTTACATTTCAATTTAAATATGTTTTTGTTGTCATCCCGATTTTAAGAACAAGGTCGAAAGGCACAAAAGTTGCTGGCACTGACATGCATTTCCTACCTTTTTTGTTAAATGGTACTAAACGTCCTGCAATTTTCGAGAGAGGAACTTCGTTTTTCTTCACTTTCAGGATCATTTTTAAATCTTGCCGTATACAGAAACTAGGTTGGGAGTCCACACGGGTAGGTACCACCACCCCGCCTATTTCCGCCGTGAAGCAGTAATGCGTTTCGGTTCGAAGGGTGGGGTAGCCGTTGTAACTATACTGAGACCTTACAACTTATATATCGAGGTGGGTGGCGCATTTACGTTGTAGATGTCTATGGGTTCCAGTAACCACTTAACATCAGGTAGGCTGTGAGCTCGTCCATGCTTCTAAGCAAAAAAAAAACCTCAAACGTAACCGTTTTTTTTTAATAATAATAATAATAATCGTTATATCGATTACTACAACTTGTATATTATGTGATAAATAATATATATAAGTAAATGAAATAAAATAGCTACTTATTATTTATATTTCATATATTTTCATCATATATTATCCGAAATTCAACATGGAATCAAGTCACAAATCAATTTAACTAATGCTTGCAAACAATATATAAAATATTAATTATGTACGATGCGATTCAAATAAGATGATCGTCATTTTGAGCAGTCATTTTAAACAACATTTCGTACCTAGGCATAATCCAATCCAGATGNTCGGCAGTCACAAAACTCTTCGGAACGACATCTTAGATAAATAACAGGTTAACTATTAACCTTTATTTAATGCAGGTTTTGAACCGTATTCTTTGAAGGAGACGATTATATTCAAATAAATCTGTATTGACATATCAATAAAATTTTGTTGTCCAAATGCACAGATTGCCGCCTTTGATAATAGACGACTCAAATATTAATTATGTACGATGCGATTCAAATAAGATGACCGTCATTTTGAGCAGTCATTTTAAACAACATTTCGTACCTAGGCATAATCCAATCCAGATGTTGTAACAGAGACAATAGTTTTGCTTGACAAAATCATATGCTTGGCGGTTTATAATTTTATATAATATATTTATGATATAAATTATATGAAGTGAATATAGTTTGTCATAATCTTGTTAACAAAATAAATTTGACAGCCTATATCGGTTCAAAAGCGATAATATGAAATAAAAGTCATTGAGCTATAGTAAAATAATTGTTCTAGTTATCTTAATTGTGTAGTGTTCTACGTGAGGCACAAGTTTAAATGAAAAGATTATCCAGCTGTAAACAACAAATTATAACTCAACAACTGATCACGGTAGCGCTAACGTAGCAAGTGGTATAATCTTTATATATATATTTCTTCTGTGCGTGTGTTTGTCACTGAGCTCCTCCTAAACGGCTGGATCGATTTGAATGATTTTTTTGTATGCGTTTGGATGGTACCCTGGATGGTTTAGATTCACAAATCAGCCCGGCAGATGGAGCTACAGTCGGTTCTAGGTTATTTATCAATACTACAAATAAACGGCTGATCCGCTTGAATGAATTTTTGTAGAACAACATCTGTTGGGTCCGCTAATAAATAATAATACATATATACATAGCGGCTCTAAACAGAGTGAAGTGTGTGCAGAGTTAAAATTCCTTAAATAAGAATTCTGGGTGCTATCTTTGAAATTAGACTACTAGCTGGTTACCTGTGCCTTGCACACTTCACTGTTCTTCGTATTAGCACAGTCAGTCAATCATTTTTCGTGACCCATTCGTGATATAAATCTATGTTTCTGTAGATCGCTGTATTCCATTTTAGACGGACAGTTTTTCCTAGTGGTAGGACTTGTTGCGAGTCTGCACAGGTAGGTACCACCACCCCGCCTATTTCTGCCGAAAAGCAGTAATGCGTTTCGGTTTGAAGGGCGGGGCAGCTGTTGTAACTATATTGAGACCTTAGAACTCATATATCAAGGTGGGTGGCGGCATTTACATTGTAGATGTTTATGGACTCCGGTAACCCACTTCACACCAGGTGGGCCGCGAACTCGTCCACCCATCCAAGCAATTAAAAGTAAATAAAATTTTTGTGGAAATTAAGACCAATTTAGGTTTTAAGGCATCACCTTTCGCTTCTATTGTCTGCACATCGATAGTGTATACATAGTCCATTGAAATGTTACAGGAGCTTTGCATTTTTTAGAGGACGCAATTTTATTTTTGGGACATGTGTGGGGGTCAATAGAAGCTTAACCTCAAGTTTGTGGGGTCGCCACCCTTGTCCCCCGGCCGCCCGCCATCTTGGAAAAAGGGGTGATAAACTTTTTTCGCGATATCTCGGAAACTATGCGTCTTACAAAATATTGTAGTCATAATTTGTAGCAAATTGTTTTGCCTACACATATGTTTATATAACTTTTTGCCCTAAATTAAAAATTAAAGAAGTTATAAGCAAAAAAGTGAGAACACATCCTCGAAAAATAAAATTACGTCCTCTAAAAAATGCAATATTCGTTCCTTAAATTGTAACATTTCAATGGACTAACAGTACACTAATTGACACATATAAAATACAATTGAATATTTAAGCGGCACGTCATTCGACCAACAGTGTTCCGCTGAGATCATGTCAATCATAATAAATACTCTTCAAGATAATCTTCAAGTTTAGATTCACAAATCACATCACTTACGATCAGAGCCTTTCTAAAATTATCGATTTAGAAATAATGAATGAAATATTTAAATACTTAATGTAAAAAATATTTTTTTTCTATTTTCGGTTGATTTGTCAAAATCTGTATTTAAAGAAAGAGAGCAAAACCCAAAATTCGTTTGTCACTTTGACATATTATTTGAAACGCATAGTACACATCCCTTTATTCACAATAATACTTAATACTAAATGTAATGATAAGTCTGGAATCACTAGAACTTGAACTCCTTGTATTTCTTCGCATGTTTTGAGTCCGTGTTCTGTTGACGTTTCCTTTTGTTCTGTAAAAAAAAAAAAATGTTTATTTTCCATCAGCGAGTTCTCGTAAACTTTATGAGACGGGTAAATTATTATTATAATACGTTTTAATGATCCATCCCAACGTGTTTGATTACAACTCGAATCAAGGTGATAGTTATCATGAGAATTCAAATCTAACTATAAGACTGCGCGTTGCGGTATCAGCGATAGGGAGTAGGGTTGCCACCTTTTTTTTGCAGATAAAGTACATTGATTATTATAGGTAGGAAAAAAGAATATAGTATTAAAATAAAGTACAATGTATTTTTAATTATGTATTATTATTTTTAAATACGTATTTTTTATTACAATTGAACAAACTAAGAAAACGAGTGCGTAGGTGATGTACCGTTGGCGAGTGACGACATCGATTGAGCAATCGATGTATTTCGGTTACAAAAAAAAATACATATGACTAAACTTTTCAAAATCCCTAAGAAACCAAATCATGCCAAATAGAGTACATATTTTCGTGTACCTTATTGTTGACATAAAGTATAGAGTAAAAATACCTAAAATAAAGTACGGGTGGCAACCCTAATAGGGAGCGACTCAGCTGTGTCTCTGGCATTGCTCACCTTCTGCCTGGCCACGTGGTCCGCGAGCATGTCGGAGAGGTCCTCGTGGGTGTTGGGTCGCTGGTCGCGCAGATGGCGCTCGTAGCGCGCCGCCACCGCCTCGGGCTCCAGCTCCAGCTCGGAGGGGTCCAGCGTGACCTCCACGCCGCCCGCCGGGCCGTGACCCGTCGAGGTCGCGCCCGCTCGCTTCACTATGCACCACATAATATTATCACACCCTATTCTTATCCCTATAGTTCGTTCGCGTTAAGAATGCAGTGAGTCACCAGTGCAACTGCGAGTAAAGATGTATTCACAGTGGTGTAAAATTCATACAAATTATATTTTCAAAGATTAAGTTTAATGAATTTAAAAAATACACTTAAAAGTTAAAAATCAAAATGAAATCATTAATATATTAATTATGACAAAAAAAATGTGATAATTTTATTTAATGTTGGGTTATTTAAATATATAAATTAAATAAATATATTATTTAAATATATCGAGTGTAGTTTTCTTCTTATAGCACAACTGTCTAATTCATCGAATTTATTTATCATAGACAATTCATAAATTTATCAACTTGTCACTGTGAACTTGACCTTGTAATTTAAAAAGATTTGCGAATAATGATGACTCACTGGATTCTTAACGCGAACGAACTATAGCTTCAGATTAACTTAAAAATGACCTTACACAAATACAAAACATTATATCCTAAAAATGCACTTGTTTAAAGTAAAATTAAAATTGCCGAAACCCCAACTTCAAAATACACGCGGGACGGGATTCGTTATACATATAAGTTATGATTTGAAGATATGATATGAAAGGCGGGTTTAAGCAACTAATTCAAGATAATTTTTTTTAAATTTACATGTACTGACTGATTCAATCAGAAAGTATACCTGATATTTTATCTTCAATTTATATTCCTACATAGTATAGTTTTATAACATTGTTCGCTTATGAAATCTCATTAACTCTATTTAAACCCATCCTAAAATAATAAATACGAAGATGAGTTTGTATGTTTTCTCGTAACAAATACTCAATAGATTATCATGAAATTGTGCAACAGACGTTGACAGGGATGTAGAGCATAACATGATGTATCTTTTTACTAGAAAAATAATGTCTCTGAGAGTTATAATCTCTATCACATTAACGCGAACAAAATCCTGTTTAAAATATAATTATCAATAGCTAGCTGTACCCGTCCGCTTCGCTGGGCATTTTAATTAACATTATTATTTATGGTGGTCATTATTATTAGGGAGTCCAACACTCATATATATATTAGCCTATCCATTAAGTACATGTATTTTCTACATGGATACCAAGTTTCAAGTCAATCGGATGAATGGTTCAGTAGTTATAACGGAACATCCGTAAAAACCACTGTAGACTTATATATTAGTATAGAAGTATAGATATAGATGAGTGCACTGACCGGGGTTCGTTGCGTTTATGTCGTACACGTGCGTGGACGCCATCATCCCTGACGTCACCCCCACGCGGCGCTCCGGCAGTACTTGGTACAGAGCCGGAGTCTCTCCTCTGGAAAAATATTAAAAAAAAATATTTAAAACAAATCCAAGATTTTTTTTATTGTTTCACATCTGCAACGTAAATGCGCCGCCCACCTTGAGATATAAGTTCTAAGGTTTCTGTATAGTTACAACGGCTGCCCCGCCCTTCAAACCGAAACGCATTACTGTTTCACGACAGAAATAGGCAGGGTGGTGGTGCCTACCCGCGCGGACTCACTAGAGGTCCTGCCACCACTATTTTTCACGAACCGACTCTATTGTTTGTGGTGTTGATGGATTCCCAAATCTATTCGTGGCGTTCAGATTGGCATTTAGGTTTAATGCTGACGTAGTACCAATGACGTACGACAGGTGGTGCGCGGGTCGGTTCAACAGATTTATTTTAGACATGTGGGCAGTCTAGCAGTAATATTTAAACATGTCCCAACAGTTGTAACACCCCTTTAAAATTTCGAATTTACTTCTTCTTCTTCAGTTTTCGGCTCCGGTACGGTCTGTGCATTAGCCAGCGTCAAGTAATAAGATTTTTATAATTCGTCGTTTTCATTATTTACAGTTTATGAATAATAAAAAACGAAGGAAACTTAATCAATTGAAATTAAATGAAATGAGATGGGATGAAATATAATCTCAGTAAAATGGTGGTCGTTTACTGAGACTTTTTCAGTGGACTTTTTGGAGGATCCCGAGATACGTTTAGCAGCTTTGTTTCATTTTCCCAGATTAGTGCACTTTTACAGATACTAAACGGTTAATAAACCACCGTTATTACACGTTTAAACCCGAAGAAATACTAAATAGACAAAATAAAGCAAATCACACAACTTCACTCCTCCCGTTCCCGCCAAAATTGCGATTTTACTCAAAACGAATTACCCGTCAAGATCGGAGTCCAGTTTCTTTTTCCTGAGTTCAATGCTGTCGGGAGTCTCGAGTCCGGGCGGCACGGAGCTGAGTCCGAGCGGCGTGGCGAGTCCCTCCGCGGGAGTGCCGACCCCGCCCATCTCTGCCTCGCCCTCCTCGCCCGATTCCTCTGTATACAGCATACAATCAAGGCGAAATCATTTCACCATTTTCATTGCAATGTTATTCGATTTTGAGAGATTATTCGCCATGCGGAATTATTTGCAAATGTCGCACTAACAATGAATTAATGACTTTATGACTTAAAGGTTTTAGTTAACAGGTCATAAAATCACTTAAAAAAATATATTAATGATTTCGGTTCAAAGTTGTAGTACTCCGGATCGGGAAGAAACAAGTAGATTTACATTAATTGTATGAAGTTTTCTTCTTATTATTTACATATCGAAGGCTTTTTTCCACAGGAGAAAATCGCCGGATCCCCATCCGCGCAGCGGGTGGGTTATGTGGGAGTTGAACCTCACTAAAAACTCCTGCCGCTCACAGCCGGCGCCCTACCCCGGACCAGGCCGGAGCCCAGTCGGAGTTATTGAGACGGCGGGACAGGGTTTACGCAGAGCATATTACATCCATCCCGCCGTACCCCAGACGCCGGACCGGCGGTCGTGTCGCCGGCGAGATGGATGTGATATGCTATGGATTCCCACGGTCGACGGGCCGGGAGCCCACCTTGAAGGGTGAAAGGCTTGGTGTAAGCGACATTTATCTTTGCAATTAAAGATGCGTTTTATTTGATATTAGCATCAACAGTTCGATGTTTTTATTTGGACTTCAATTAAGTTTACTCCATTCAAATAGCTGAAAAAGTTTGTTTTTTATGATATCTTTTCCCAGTTTAAAACTTTAAATGGCTCTCCTGTAAATTTGCGAAATGTCGCTTCAACCAAATAACCTTTAGCCCCTCGATAAGGGTTGTCAGGGTTGAATATTAATTTATTATTAGTGCGATATTTGCAAATCATTCCGAGGGTTCCGCATACGTGCAACCAAAGAAAAAAAAAGCAACCAAATACTGACCCTCCTCCGACTCTTCTTCTGATTCAGACTCCAGTTCGCCCCACATTGTCCTGTCGATGTCCACGTCTTCGCCGTCCTAGAGAATGAAGGTTAAACAATAAATTAGGTACATTAACATTATGTACTTATTATGAGATAATTCATTTGTGCATTTCAATTTGCAATATGAGGTATCACATGATTGAGACTTTAGTCTTGTATGTACCCAAAGGGGGTAGGAGCAGTCTCGTTATGATATCTACAGGTTCTGGTAACCATTTAATATGAGATAGACGGTCAATTAATTATTATGTGATGTTGACAATTATGAGATTAATTCAGAAAATTATTCAGAGATTTGCATAGAACATTTAATATGAGTTTATTGTAATATTTAATAGGGGAAAGAAATGAAAAAAAAAGGAATCATCTTTGAAAAAGTCAAAGTTTCTACGGATATGTTGACAGAGTTTGAGCCTTTTTATCATTGCCACACGACATTAATATTTAATCCGCAACGTAGTATAACAAAATTCATCAGGTTTGAGCCCCGTGAGCTCACTTACTAGTTAAGGCGACGCTGATATAGCCTCTCAAGGCTATCAGCTAAGGTAGGTATAAAAAAAAAAGTATAACAAAGTCCAACTTACATCTTGTCCACTCGTCTGATGTCCGAAGACATCTCCGTAGAGCGGTTTTCCCATTTCGTCGACGGGCGGTTTGCCCCACCCCCCGGCGTGGTAGCCGAAGGCGCACCCCTCGGGTATGGGCGCGTTGAGGCCGGGAATCTTGAGGTTCGGGTACGAGGGCGGCGGCCCGTACCGCTGCTGCGCGATCAACCACGGCGGTGGTACCTATAAAAATACATTTAATGTCCTTCGTTAGCAAATATTGTATTTAATAATCTATACTAATATATAAATCTACAGTGGTTTTTACGGATGTTCCGTTATAACTACAGAACCATACATCCGATTGACTTGAAACTTGATATCCATGTAGACAATACATGTACTTAATGGATAGGCTAATATTTATATGAGTGTTGGACTCCCTACACCAGTTGCGGGGGCGCTAATGATGAGAATCTTTGTGGGGGTGAGAAATAGTAATGTTAATTTTAAATGCCCAGCGTAGCGGACGGGTACACCTAGTTAAATATAAAAATGTTTTGAAATTAACATATTTATTACATAGCTATGTAATGTTTTCACTTCAGAAATATTAAATTTGTTCCTGGGAAATTTATTGTACTATTTCAATTAACTTAGTACCATTTAGATTCGAATAAATCAACCAGGGGAATTATTAATTACATATGAATAAAAAAATCTGTTTTATATACTATATTTCGCGTAACTGTGTCAATAAACTTAGAACAACTTTCCGAGAATTTTAACCTTTCACAGACTGGTACCATCACCCTGTCTATTTCTGCTACGAAGCGATCATAGGTTCCAATTGGTACTGCCCAGACGTTGCAGCCAGCTAATATGTTGAATTTGGTCTCCACAATCGCGGGCATTATGAAATAAGATGTTATCCACAACAATCGAGACTTTTTGGCGGGAACGCGAGGAGTGAAGTTGTGTATTTTGTTTTATTTTGTCTATTTTGTATTTCTTCAGGTTTAAATGTGTAATAACAGTAGTTTATTAACTGTTTAATATATGTGAAAGTGCACAAATGTAGGAAAATGAAACAAAGCCGTTGCGGGTTTCATTTTTATTACACTACGTTATTCCTTCACCGTGGAAGTCAATCGTGAACATTTGTTGAGTACGTATTTCATTAGAAAAATTGGTACTCGCCTGAGATTCGAACATCGGTTCATCGCTCAACACGAATGCACCGAACGTCTTATCCGTTAGGCCACGACGACTTCAAAAGAGAGATTATATTTCACCACATATAATCTCATCTCATTTAATTTTATTTCATCCCAGTTTTTTTAATGTCTCAAATCAATCATCTTTATTTCATTTCACTCGATATTATCATTTTTCATAAAAATAAGAATATAAATTAAAATAAGACATAACCTAAAGGTCTTAGTACCCAGGTCATAAAATACTTTAAAAAAAAATCCACAACAATCGGACATCATTGACATGTTCACGTTAACGATACCTTCTGTGAGCCGGGCCCGACGGGCATGCCGAGAGCAGTTCTCAGTTCTTCGGACAGATCTCCGGGCTTCTTCTCGCGCAGACGAGTCTCGAACTCCTTGCCTTCGTAGTACAGATCTCCGTGGATTGTCATACGCGGTTTTGTTTGCCATCTATAAATACAAAAATATGAGAATCAAATATGATCTGAGTGTATTATATTATTCTGAGCCCGCGCGGGTTGGTACCACCACAAAAATATGAGAATTAAATATGATCTGAGTGTATTATATCATTCTGAGCCCGCGCGGGTAGGTACCACCACAAAAATATGAGAATCAAATATGATCTGAGTGTATTATATTATTCTGAGCCCGCGCGGGTAGGTACCACCACAAAAATATGAGAATTAAATATGATCTGAGTGTATTATATCATTCTGAGCCCGCGCGGGTAGGTACCACCACAAAAATATGAGAATTAAATATGATCTGGGTGTATTATATCATTCTGAGCCCGCGCGGGTAGGTACCACCACAAAAATATGAGAATTAAATATGATCTGAGTGTATTATATCATTCTGAGCCCGCGCGGGTAGGTACCACCACAAAAATATGAGAATCAAATATGATCTGAGTATATTATATTATTCTGAGTCCGCGCGGATAGGTACCACCGCCCTGCCTATTTCTGCCGTGAAGCAGTAATGCGTTTCGGTTTGAAGGGGGGGGCAGCCGTTGTAACTATACTGAGATCTTAGAACTCATATCTCAAGGTAGGTGGCACATTTACGTTGTAGATGCCTATCGGCTGCGGTCACCACTTAACACCAGGTGGGCTGTGAGCTCGTCCACCCATCTAAGCAATAAAAAATAAAATAAAATATAGTAATATCAACTAGCAACCCGTGTTCTCTAGAGCAGTGTGTATTAATTATGGTTGCAGTAGACTATAAAAAACAAAAGATTCATAACTTACCATTTCTCATGTAGAATTCATGTTTCACTTATGAGCCTGTTCTGAGGTAAAACGGACCAGTTCTTACACTGGTGTATATGAGACCAGAATGTTTTTCTGATCTAATACGAAAGAATTTAAGATATGCAATGAGAAGCTACTCTAATGTTTTAAAGTGTATTTAGCTTTATTATCCGAATTCTAGGTAGACCGGTGTGGATAGCTAGTCGGCTTACCATGTCAGTGTTTATCCAGAGATAAATACTAACCAGGTGTGATATTTTAAGCTAGAAATTAATTATAAATTGCTAACTTCACACTTTCAAATTGTTGAAACTGACAAAGACAAAAGTACTATTCAAATTATTCTCAGATAATTTAACTCACTTGAAAAAGGCATCATGCAATTTCTGGTAGTCAATATCGATCTTGCCCAATTTCGGTCTAGAACGTTCCCTCATCTTCGCTTTAAGGGTTTTAGTCTCTTCTTTGTCCTGCAGCGATGCTCTCATTTCCATGATTCCTGTCTTCTTTATAAAGTCCGGTAGATCGAAGGGAGGTTTTTCTATACCGCGTTTTCCTTGCAAGTACTGCAATATAAGAACATATTGTTTTTTTTTGTTATTCCCCAACAATATTACTATAAGGTGGATCTATTTTTAGTACTATGAATAAAAACTTATTACTCTTGACTCTATAAATACATTCTAATTTTAATATTTAATTTTTTGTTTCTGTGTCTGTAACAATTAAATGCAAATCAGAAATTTGTTTACCTATTCAAGCTGTGGCAACATGAAAATCTTTCTACCTGTTTTCTGGAGTCTATTTAGTTTAGTTAAATTAATTTTGTTAGTGTTTCTTTTATCCGACTAACCTTCCTCTTGTAACACCAATGTCTGGGTACTTGGACAGTGTTCCTGTGTGCCTTTAGCTGGACAAGTAGTTTGGGATCCCGCGCGGTCACGTCGTACATTTCCACGACGTCGGGTCGAGCCACTAGCTGCTTCAGTTCGGCCACTGACAAACGCGACAATTTTTTTAATTTGCGTTTTGATAGGCGCTCCTTTTCGTCGGCTGCGTTTTTCTGAGAACATTTATACAATACAGTCGTTTGATAGCAGTTATATAAAATTTTCGTGAAAATTTTAATTAAATTTAATATGTTTATTGAATCGTCAATTAAAATTTTTATATATGTATTAGCATTTCAAAGTTGCTGTCAAAGGTAGTGTTAGTACAGTAATTGCAGTGTAGTGTAAAATGTTGTTAAATCCAAAAGTGGAACAAATTTATTAGAAAGTTTTTATGTTTTTATGACTTAATTTATCGTTATGTATGTAGAGTTGGTAATATTAAGATGAATTTGGATAACCAAATTTGGGTAATACATACCTCAGCTGCCTCATCATCCGCTGCGAACTGGTCCTGCACTTTATCCTGATGTTTTGTTGGTTTTGGAGCATCCATACCCTCATCTTTGATCGTCTCTTCCTTTTTCTCCGAAATTTTAAATGCTTCCAGTATCCGATGGAACTGGCGGTACATTGGTTCCATTTCATGAAACTGTATGTTTTCTTGCACGTATCTGGTTAATTATGTTTAATATAAGTATTTAATATGTAAGTTAAACTATCCAAAATTGGATGGTACGCAATTTGCGATATTGAAGGATACTTTTGGACCATTCCCAACTATAACTTAAGCAAGCTTTTATTTATTTATTGCTTAGGTGTGTGGACGAGCTCACAGATCACCTGGTGTTAAGTGGTTACTGGAGCCCATAGACATCTACGACGTAAATGCGCCCCCCACCTTGAGATATAAGTTCTAAGGCCTCAAGTATAGTTACAGCGGCTGCCCCATCCTTCAAACCGAAACGCATTACTGCTTCACGGCAGAAATAAACAGGGTGGTGGTATCTAACCGCGCGGACTCACAAGAGGTCCTACTACCATTAATTACGCAAATTATAATTTTGTGGGTTTGATTTTTATTACACGATGTTATTCCTTCACCGTGGAAGTCAATCGTGAACATTTGTTGAGTACGTATCACCGGGCGGTCACCAGACGTCTTATCCTTTAGGTCACGACGACTTCAGCTACTAATTCCTATACGCGCTTGTCAAATGAAACAATATTCTAATGCAATTACTGTATTATTATTTACCAAAAAAGTTTAACGTTAAGCAGAGAGCAAGTCGCAGTCAGAATAATTGAAACGACACAAGTGAAAAACAAAGTGGTTTTCAGTAAACGGTAACAGAAAATAAAATCTTATAGTGCAATTTAAAACATAAAACCTTTTTTACACTCACTCAATATCTGCTTCTTTTTCATTTTCTTTGTCACTGGATCTCTTTTCTTCTTGTGCGTTGTTCTTTGTCTTAGACTCTTCATTGCGTTTCTGTTTAGCCAGCTTCTTTTTCTTTTTCTTTCTTTTGTTTTTATTGGATTTGCTAGCTTGGGACTGAGGAAGTAAAATGAGAATTAAATAAAATCTTTAATTCTTAATCTTGTAACGCAAGTAACATGTTTTTTAAAAATACTTAAATCAATATTATGGATACGATGATGAATTTTCATATACACAATAGTATTTACGATCATTGAGTTTATGGTTTTTGGATTATAAAGTCTGGGTCTTTTTGCTTATACTTACAAAAGATTTTAAGAGAGTTAGAGATTAAATGTATATCTTTTATTTTGTTTTTTTTCTACACAATATTTTTAGTCAGACTGTACATAAACAGTATCTATAAAAGAATAGGAAATGTATGAAATATCCTTCCGGTTTTCAAAGTAAACTTGCTTGTATGCAACAATATTCAGATCATAAGCTTAGAGAGTAATATGTTTGATATCATATGGATAATATGATATCTAGTGTTTATTGTTCACACTTGAAAAATAAGGGCATTTCAATATTTCTAATTCAATGAAATATATATCCTATTTTTTTTTTAAGGTTATTTTGCTTGGTGATAACTAATATATACTTTAATAAAAAGTACCTCTTGTTTGGAAATTACTGGTGGCATCGGTGGATCAGGAATGTTTTCATCGTCTGACTGTTCATCCTCTTCCACGTCATACTCCGTACTGATCACTGGAGCTGGCGGTGCTTCCATGTCTTTTTGCACATCTGTATAGGGGCAAAACATCATTATAAGGTACTGTTTAATGTGCTATTTTTTTATTGCTTAGATGGGTGCACGATCTCACAGCCGACCTAGGCCTATGTAGTTACCTCAATTTTTTTCAGAATGTCTATAGGATTGTTGAAAGAAATATGTAGGGAACATTTTGGATCTTAAAAGAGCAACATATACTGGTAGTAAAGTGTGCTGTGAGCATGCACGAGTGTGTACCATCACCTTGCGTATTTCTGCCATGAAGCAGTAATGTGTTTCGGTTTGAAGGGTGGGGCAGCTGTTCTACTATGAAATTTAGACTTACAATTCATGTCTGATGTTGGGTAGTGGCTTTTATGTGTTGATGTCTATGGGCTAGTATTTTCTGCAGATGTTGCATGATATAGGTATAGTTAAAGCTACAGCTACAGTTTTACAGTTTACATCAGTGACCAGAAAAACTGTAGTTGTTCAAAACATTGGAAGCAATAAAATCACAATGAAAATTTGAAATTAAACCATAAAAATTTTCAGTGTGATAAAAAAAAATTATATTAAATATGGAAGTAATTTAGATTGCCGTGATAGATATATAGAGATACTGGATAAAAGAATAAAGGCTGGGCTATTTTCATTTAGGCTAAGAAACATAAATTTAGTTAAGATGGATGTTTAAGTTTACAATCATCATAATTAGTAATAATGTGCTCAGACTTTTAGAAATTCCAAATAGTTATGAATTTGTAGTCATCTCCTAGTAAAAATGAAACTTAAAATCGATTACAGACATTGATTTGGCTATTGACAATGATTAACTATAAAAATAACATAGAAATGATTAAGAAGAGAGTATCGGTATGTTTTGTATTTCATTTTATTATTCGTTTTTTGTTTCATTATCAATAATAAGTCCATTGAAAAAGAATAAATTTTTAAGAAAAATTCTGAAACACCTAAGTGAATTTAAATCGGGATGGCAGTTCTAAAATACAATTGAGTCTTCAACCATATATAATGGTGGTGGCTTTCATGTTGTGATGCCAACGGGCTCCATTGATAGTTTAATAATGTGTGGGCCATGGCTTGTTCACCAATCTATAAAATAAAAAAGTTACCTGTTTCTTTATCTTCTTCACTACCAAGAGCTGCTTGTCTTTGGTCTTTGTAAGCAAGAGCTTCTTCCAGAGCCTTTGGGANATACAATTGAGTCTTCAACCATATATAATGGTGGTGGCTTTCATGTTGTGATGCCAACGGGCTCCATTGATAGTTTAATAATGTGTGGGCCATGGCTTGTTCACCAATCTATAAAATAAAAAAGTTACCTGTTTCTTTATCTTCTTCACTACCAAGAGCTGCTTGTCTTTGGTCTTTGTAAGCAAGAGCTTCTTCCAGAGCCTTTGGGAGTACTACACCTCCAGCATTTCCCTGTTTATTTTTAAATTCTTCTGGTGTTTCAATCTTCATGGTCAAGAGTGATGGCAGAGAAGAATGTTGGTCAGAGGATAAATCTTCTTCCCCATCTTCTTCTTCTTCTTCTTCATCATCATCATCTTGATCATTCCATCCTGGCGGACCATCACTTTGCATTCCCCACCCAGGCCCAGGGGGGCCAGGTGGACCAGGTGGGCCTGGTGGTCCATCCCATGGTCCCATAGGTGGTCTCATCCCAGGTGGTCCCATGTCCATATTTTGATTATTATAATTATTCTTATTACGCATCATATTTGGTGGCATTCGGGGTGGACCCATTCCTGGAGGTCCCATTCCGGGAGGACCCATTCCGGGAGGTCCCATACCGGGTGGACCCATACCAGGAGGTCCCATACCCGGGGGGCCCATTGGAGGTGGACCCATTCCAGGCGGCCCCATTGGCGGTGGTCCCATACCCGGAGGCATCATTCCTGGTGGAGGTGGACCTATTCCCGGCGGCATGTTTGGAGGTCCACCAGACGAGCTAACAGGTGGTGGTCCAGGCGGACCCATTGGTGGAGGCCCCATGGATCCCGGTGGCGGTCCCATAGCTCCTGGTGGCGGTCCCATAGCTCCTGGTGGCGGTCCCATAGTTCCTGGTGGCGCTCCCATAGTTCCTGGTGGCGGTCCCATAGTTCCTGGTGGCGGTCCAATGGACCCCGGTGGCGGTCCCATAGATCCCGGTGGTGGCGGCATCGGAGGAAAGTTTGGCATCCCCGGTGGAGGCCCCACCGAAGCATTGTTATTCGTAGATCCGGTCCCTGGTGGACCATCCATAGCTAATTCACAGTACTGCTACTGAATTCACTGTATAAAATAGACTTTTAACTACAAAGGTATGATTTAGTTCGTGATTATTAAGATCTATTCATTTATAAATTTACAGTAAAAAACAAAACTGATTTGTTTGAGGTTAACGCGCTTGACATTAAGTGTCAACATACCACAGAGACTGTCTTGTCTATGGTATAATGTGGAATCTATGTGCTTAATTATAGATAATACTTACTGTTCTTTAAGTCGTCACTTTTTCGGTTCTTTTTTGGCCTTTGGTTTTAGTAAAACTTTGTGAAGGTCAATTTGACAATCGTCTTCTATTAGAACTATCGATTTAACCAAAAAAAAGGTTTCCAAGTAGATAGTTTCCGAATAAACAGTACTTAAACATATTGAACAAACCTCCCTTGAATTATATTTTCTCTTAATGCTTAAGGACGAACGAGCTAACGGCCCACGTAATGCTAAGTGCTTAAAGAAGCCTTCAACAACGTAAATGCCGCCTTCCACCTTGGGATATGAGTTTTTACATTTTTTACAATACAACGGCTGCACCACCCTTCAAACCGAAACAAATTGCGTCACGGCAGAAATAGGCATGGTGAGCCCGCATACACCTGCGCGGACCGACAAGACCCTTCCAGCCCTAGCACCAGTTAGTACCACCAGGCAGTAAATAATTATACTATTACAGATCGTACAAATTGCGTGCGCACACTGAATAGTTTTTTCTTTGCAAATAGGCACTGTCCCTGTGATAGCACTTTCATTGAGCCCTCTTTGGCATGTGATGAGGAGAAGATATTTTCTAGAGAGAATATAACTTCTAGATCGAGGTTATAAGTAACTACTTAAATCACTTTTATCTCAAAAGCTTTAAGACCGTAAACCAAGTTTAATGCATTGAAAGGTAAAAATTATTTAAAAAAACTAGACAGTATAAGAATTATTGTAAAAATCCCATCACCTTCGGATTGCTCATTAATTATTTTTTTTGTGACCTAATGCTAGTAACCACAATCGGCTATGTTAGTTTCGCCGAACTTGTATGCGAGTTCACGTGGCCTAGCCTAGGAGACTTTGCGAGCATCAGCCCTAGCAAGAGCAGTGCTTCGCTGAATCTACCATCGAATCGGAATTGCGATTCACGCCGTTGATCCGCTTCGACAATGTTGGCACATCAAAGAGCTTCTTTTTATCTTTGCAGTAAAGTTGAAATTGAGTAACATTCACCGTAGTATATTTAAAATTTGCAGAAGCTTTTGAGCCTTACGTAGAATCTAATAAGAAGATTCCATTTTTTGTTGAATTTATTGATTTAAATACGTTGAATAAATCTAGCAATGTCTATCTCGTTCTGACGCTTTTACCAGAATGAACAGCGTACATAACAGCACTTTCTTTGTATAAATTTAAAGCTGCCGTCAAAAAATTGAAACAATTAACAAAGTAGTTTTAATTAAGACGTCGATTTTTATCATTTTTAATCTGATTTACATTGTTGACACTATAGCTACGTTTCATTCGTTACAGCTTATTTCGGAAATAAAAAGCTAGTAAACCAAGAAGAGGGCCTCAAAAAAATTCACGGATTGAATCGGATAAAATGCGCCATGGGAACTAAATAAGGGATTTCGGATTTTATGACCTGGTAACTGAGACCTTTAAGTCACATCTTATTTTAGTTTAAATTCATATTTTTATGAAAAATGATATTATGGAATGAAATGAAATAAAGATGATTAATTTGAGACATTAATAAACTGGGATGAAATGAAATGAAATGAGATGATATGGGATAAAATATAATTTCAGTAAAATGGTGGTCATTTACTAAGATTTTTCGGAGTGGACTTTTCGGAGGATCCCGAGAAGTTACGTCCAGCGGCTTTGTTTCATTTTCCCACATTTGTGCACTTTCACAGATAGTAAACAGTTAATAAACCACCATTATTACACAATTAAACCCGAAGAAACACTAAATAGACAAAATAAAACAAATCGCACAACTTCACTCCTCGCGTTCCCGCCAAAAAGTCCGCAACTAAATAAGTTTTTTTTTTTAAAGGATTTTATGACCTGGTAACTAAGATCTTTAAGTAAACTGAATAAGAGACAATATGGAATCATAGATTATGCAAAACATAGGTAAAGGTATAATAAGCTTATGAATAGATACTACGTCAAAATAGACGACAAATGGGAATGGGTATAAAAACTTGTTGAAAACAGATGAACAATTTCCTTTTTGTTATCAAATTTGTTTGATTAGATTGCTAACTTGCTAGTGTGGAAGTCAATTATTGCGTCACCAAAATAATAGTTTAAAATTAAATAAAATGGCCGAAATAGTTGAAAAATATAATACGAAATGTCCGGGAGTAAAACGATTAATGCGAGAAGCGATCGAACTAGCCGAGGCCACTGAGGAATATTGTGCAAGGCCTTTGGAAGACAATCTGTTTGAATGGCACTTCACCGTACAAGGACCTAAAGGTACGGAATTCGAAGGAGGCATTTACCATGGAAGAATATTACTACCTAAAGAATATCCCATGCATCCACCTCACATCATTTTATTGACACCTAACGGCAGGTTTGAAATTAACAAAAAAATTTGTCTATCTATATCTGGCCACCATCCTGAGACATGGCAGCCTTCATGGTCAATAAGGACTGCATTGCTAGCTCTCATTGCATTCATGCCAACGCCTGCCGAAGGCACGATAGGCTCGCTTGACTATACACCAGCAGAGCGTAAAATATTAGCTAAAAAGTCCACCAATTGGTCTTGTTCTCAATGTGGAGAAATAAAGTTATTATTGTCGTCCACTGCTGCTAAACCTCTAACAGAAGAAGAGCAGTCCGTGTTGAACCAAATAGCATTCAAAGGCGAAGATGATCAAAGTTCCAAGCCGCCTCCACCTACAGAAGAAGAAACTCCAGAACCTGAACTACAAGTTTTGGAGTCTACTGAACCAGTTACTGGCTTTTTAGATCAACTCACAGAAATTCTTGTAGCACTTCTTGTAGGTGCAATTGGAATATTCATATACAGGCGTTGGAATGCTTTTTATGCAGAAGCAGAAACTCAATTGTAAATGATTTAATATTATCATAGATTAAGTTCAATATGGTGTTTTCTTTGATACTTCTATTAATAAACCATTCCGCTAGTGCTATTCATAATTTTAAATTAAAATTTCTATAAATTAGAAAGCAAAGCTTGTTTTGAACTATATTACTAAGTCAAATGTTAGTATTTTTGCAATAAATATTTTAGAAGTGACTCAAAGAAATGTTGCATATTATGTTTTGTAAGTAAATTATTTTATTAAAGATTTGATCTAATTTGGTTAGTGTAATAAATCTAATATTCATTGCTGCAGTAAACACTTGAATTGTTACTAATTGCTTTTTACCTAGAGATAAACTACCATTAAAATATAAACAATTAAAATAAATAAATTAAAGGAACATATAAAAAAAATTTATAAATTGTATATTCTTGTAAATCAAATTTCATTTAGCATAATTATGTACTGTGATTAAAAAGATTAATTGGTCACTGGTGGTTAAATTTTCACATTTCATGTAGTTGATAAGAGCTTAAAGTTAATATCTATATAGAATAGATTGTTTTTCTTTGATTTATGTGGCCAATCTTTAATTGTAAAATGTATGTTTAATGAAATTATTGTCCTTATTTATTTTGAAATTAAACAGCTCATTAATTTTGTACCTTATTAATTGGAAATTTTGTTAAATGTCTTAATAGTGTGAAGGAACAGCATCTAATAATAAAAATAGTCAAATGGAGTAATCTCAGCCATATTATGTGTTTCTGGCTATTGAATTCGACAATCTCTAATATATGAGAAACAGTTAAGTACTATTGTATTATTGTAATGAAAATGAGCTTGTAAATTTATTGTCTTTGTAAATATTATAATTTCAATAAACTCATTGCTCTTTTACTCACAAGTACTCATATGGTTTACGGGATGAATTAATGTAATGTTAAACAATACCAACTTCCACTATGATTGGTTAACATTGTGCAATAAAAATGAAACCTGGAAAATTTATAAATTTGTAAAATTAGTTGTAGTTGGATGTAAGCCAGTATGGAGAGGTACCACTGTCTATATTTGCCACGGAGTGGTCATATGGTCCGGTTTGAAGAGTGAGACAGAAATTATACAATTAAAGACTTCAACTTCATGTCGTAAGGAAATTTTTTTAATTTTTTTATTGCCCCTCTGAGCAGACAAGCACATGGCCCACCTGGTAGTGAGTGGTTACAGTCGCCCATGGATTTCAGCAATGCCAAGGGCAGAGCCAAGCCGCTGTCTACCGCATCTGGATTCAGTAAACTTCCGTATACCCGATCTTGCAGACGTGATAGCCCAAAACACGTAATCCTCTCGATCCACTGTCGGTGCTTTTAGGCATTCCAAGGATCATTCTCGTCGATGGCAAAATTCAAATTTAACTTTCCAAGCTAATTTTGGAAAATTAGCATGAATTCAAAAACAGTACAAGATATCTGTTTTTGTTGTGACACCCCATTTGTATGTGTTTAAATGGGGAACATAAAGATAAATTATTTCAAAGAAATTTAAATTCATATTTGTCACATGAGGACTATCATGTGGATCAATAGAGCCCTATGAACTGCTTAACATTAGATGGGTCTGTCATATTATAACAGATTAGGAAAATCTCTCAAAATAAACAGTGTGATATATTATGTAATTTTAGATAGAGCTTTAATAAATAAAACTGCCTATTATACAATAAAACATTTATGTTTTGATAATACAGAAATACAGATATTACGGCTAAGTTATATAATGAAGTATTGGTAAATGTGCCTTTAGCTTTTCACCGTGTGCTTAACCAGGCTAATACCCTGGGTAGACAGAAGATCCATTCCACACAAAGATAATGAACACAATATAAACAATGTTATATTAAGTCAGCCACATTCATTGGCATTTCATCTATTTGAGTAGAGTAGTACTGTTCAATGTCTCTCAAGATCCTGATGTCATCTGATTTAACGAAGTTGATGGCGACACCCTTACGACCGAATCGACCCGATCTACCAATTCTGTGAATGTATAACTCACGATTGTTGGGCAAGTCATAGTTTATAACCAAGGATACTTGTTGGACATCAATGCCTCGTGCCCAGACGTCAGTTGTAATGAGCACACGGCTGAAAATGAAAAGTTATTTAATGTATATTATGGGGATCATGAGAAGCCCAGAAATTAGTGGTAAGCCACATTGCAGTATTTATTTCGATGATTGTCATAAAGAGAACTATAATTGAGACTTAAGAATAATGCCCGTCCAGTGTTGGCCTTAAGCTTAGTATAGAAACAAATGAATAATAATGGAACCATGAAAAATATGGTTCCTCTAAAAAACTGACCAATATATTGAGTGATAACCTAAACCGATAACTATTCAAAACTGAATTGAGGTTGTAGTTGCTATAACTTCTAGACATAGTCATCTATTACATACTATATAACACTATAAATTAGATATTAGACATTAAGCACTAGCCCATCCAACACTCAACAAAAGCCCAGAGGCATTATTACATAAATGCTGTCTGTAAAGGTGATCCATATCTCGTTTACATTTAAAAAAAAAGAGCAATTGTATTCTTCATATTAAATCACTAGTGATATTAGTTCACGAAATTCGAAACCATTCACATTTAGATCTTGAAAACTAAAAGTCTTCAAGATCGTATTGTTTTTATTTTAATAGAATTTCCATTACCTTTGACCAGAACGAAATTCCTTCATAATGTTGTCTCTCTCTTTCTGTGGCATGTCACCATGCATTGAACTGACAGTGAAGTTTGCCTCTTGCATCTTCTGTGTGAGCCAGTCAACCTTCCTCTTTGTATTACAAAATATTACTGCTTGGGTAATTGTCAGTGTATCATAGAGGTCACAAAGTGTGTCAAACTTCCATTCTTCTCGTTCAACTGCCACGAAGAACTGTTTGATACCCTCCAGTGTCAACTCATCACTGTAGAAAAAATAATTCTTAATTTCAAATACATTTACCATGATAGAAAATTTGTTTACTTAATTACTATTTAGCTTGCATAGGTTTATGTGTTGAGCAATTAACAAAATGATAGTCCATACAGAAATAAGCTTCATCCTAGAAATAGTATAGTTGATAATGCTAAAATAAAACAGATAGTTTTATACACTTAATGTAACTTCTTTTTTTAATCTAAATCTCCTCTAGTGTTTCCTGAGTACTGTGACATAATTTTATTCAAATGAGATATCAGGCAAATTACCCCTAGCGTTACTAGTGTCCATAGGCGGCAGTAATTACTCACTATCAGGTGGACAAATTCCTTCAAGGGCAATATAAAAAAAAAATTCATTTAACTTAGTGGGTGGATGAGTTCAAGGCCCACGGTGTTAATGGTGTTAAGTGGTTACCAGAGTCCATACACCTAGAACAGCTTTGCTGTACTGAATTCCATGGGCGATTGTCACCACTCACCATCAGGTGGGTGGTATGCTAGTCTGCCTACAAGGACACATAAAATGACATGGGTTCTAGTGTCTCGCATTTTACAGTACAACAGCTGACCCAACGTTCAAACCAAAACACATTACTGCGCCCCAGCAAAAATAGACAGGATCATGGTACCTACCCGGGCAGACTTACAAGACGTTCCTACCACCTGCCACCAGTAATTACGCAAATTATAATTTTACTTGTTTGATTTTTATTATAAGATGTTATTCCTTCACTATGGAAGTTAATCGTGAACAATTGTGAAGTACGTATTTCATTAGAAAAATTAGTACTTGCCTGCAGGATTCGAACTTTAATCTATATTTTTTAAATAATCATACAAACCGTTTTACTAATATCCTTATTGGATCAGTCATAAACTTTGATGTCATTTCCAATATCTCATGGGGTAGTGTTGCTGATATAAGCACAACCTGAGTTGCAGGAGGCAGATAGCGGTATACATCATAAATTTGCTCTTTGAAACCTTTGTTCAACATCTCATCAGCCTCATCAAGAACCAGCATCTTTATTGACCGGGTTCTCAACACACGCCTTCTGATCATATCTGAAAATAAGATCGTTTTCTTAAAATCTAGGGCACCCTACATCTTGCAGTGGATAAATTATTTAACTTTTTCAATTATTGCACAAGGATGACAATTTATAGACACCATCCCTGTTCCGAGATGCCTGAAACCATACAGATGGGTTTGTGGTGAGACTACTGTAGTGAGTAGTACTGTTGGTGAATTTGAGAAGTGGAAGTTATGTTACTACTTTTAAGAAATAAAAAAGGTGAACCAGCCAGACAACAAAAAAGATCACAGAAGGATTTATCTTTGGATTTGGAAACTAAAACAATTAGTACTTTTTTTATTTATTTTTTATTGCTTAGATGGGTGGACGAGCTCACAGCCCACCTGGTGTTAAGTGGTTACTGGAGCCCATAGACATCCACAACGTAAATGCGCCACCCACCTTGAGATATAAGTTCTAAGGTCTCAAGTAAGTTACAATGGCTGCCCCACCCTTCAAACCGAAACGCATTACTGCTTCACGGCAGAAATAGGCAGGGTGGTGGTACCCACCCGTGCGGACTCACAAGAGGTCCTACCACCAGTAAAAACTTATTTACTTGGATTAGCAATTTTCATTTATTTACCAAAAACTCTGCCAGGTGTGCCAGACACAACATGCTGTCCGTAATCCAATTTCCTTATATCTTCTCCAAGATTGGTACCTCCAATACAAGCATGACATTGAACGTTCATGAAATCTCCAAGAGCTAATATCACTTTCTGAATCTGAGTTGCCAGTTCACGGGTCGGTGAAAGAATAAGTACTTGAGTTTCACGCAGAGTCGTGTCTAAAGTCTGTAGTATTGAAATTGAGAATGTCGCAGTCTTTCCTGTACCAGATTGTGCTTGAGCTATTACATCTCTGCCTTTGACTATAGGCAAGATGCTTCTCTGCTGAATTGCTGAAGGTTTTTCGAAACCTGTAAATTAACGTTAGTTATTACTAAGTGGTTACCGGACCCCACATACATCACAATACGGAATCTACCAGCCCCCAAGGTTTAACAGTGCGATTGATTTTAAATGTATTGTAAATTAGTATGTTACTCTTCGAAGCCGGAACGCAGAACTGTCGCGAAAAAACAGGACGACAGTCTGACGGACGGACGACCATAATACGGTCTAAAGCTGGTAAGATAATGCCCACATGATCGTTTATGTAGGCAGTTGTAATAACTGTAAATAACACCACAATTTGTACTAACCATATGTGTATATTCCTCGCAATAACTCATCTCGAAGTCCCATGGAGTCAAAAGTGGGTATAACTTCGACATCTTCACTCGTGTCGAACTCAACATTCGACAAATCTTCCGACAATATTTTTCTATTGGACGATACTTCAGACGATGTCATTTTTCGAATCTAGTTCGCTTCTAAGTTTTTAAAATAACAAGTTAAACGATAGGTGAAAATCTCTTAGAATCTGAATTTCTAAATTACCAAAGGGAAACTTAGGAAACTGTGTCCATAACCATAGATAACACCATAGATAATGCATTTAATTCCATAAGATAGATAATACATTTCATACATAAGATCCATAGACTATTAAGTGTATTAAATTTATTATTACGCTTTTATTAGCTCCATACCTATATAGGTATGTNAACGATAGGTGAAAATCTCTTAGAATCTGAATTTCTAAATTACCAAAGGGAAACTTAGGAAACTGTGTCCATAACCATAGATAACACCATAGATAATGCATTTAATTCCATAAGATAGATAATACATTTCATACATAAGATCCATAGACTATTAAGTGTATTAAATTTATTATTACGCTTTTATTAGCTCCATACCTATGTAGGTATGTAACGGAATCTTTGAATATGATTTTGACCACCTTCAAAATGTCGGATTAACTCAAAATTTGGCATACTTAGGTATTTAGGACCGATGATAATTCAATATTTTTAGACTCGTTATTTAATTTCGGCAGTCAAAACAACAAATTTATTTCTGCACCTTCTTTTCTTCACTTAGAAAATTTGGAAACTGTTTTATTTGCCTGAATGCACATTAAAGAATAATTTATGATAGATAATAAGTAGGTAAACTAAAAAATGAAAAATACATAATAGTTTAAAAAAACTAAAATACATGTTCTTATAGAAAATCCAACTAAAAAATGGATAATAATGTAGTGTGCAACAACGTTACTTCCCACACATCACAATAAATTTATTTTAAAAAAGCATGGGATGCTTTTTATGAGATTATCAAAATGATAAGACTTAGCTACCAATTTCTGTCAATAAAATATTTAAACTATTGACACCGCGCATCTCACGATTTTCTATAAAACGTGTATTTTAGTTTTTTTTAATTATTATTTATTCATGTATTCTTAAGCCGCGATAACCGGAGTGATGGTAAGAACTCATCCGAAAATAATGTGATTGTTTATAGTACTGAAAGGCGACGACGCGGGGCCTCATAGCTACTGACGAAACCCCTTACTAAAATAAATTAATAATGTTGATTTGTAGATAGTCTGTGGTTTCAAGAGTCACAGGTAACAATCTAAAATGGAAAAGAAATAAAACGGCTATAGATTATACACAAAGTAAAAAAAACGTGATACAAAACGCGAAAGAAGAAACGTTAAAAAAAGAAAGTTTTAGAGCGTAATCAGCGAAAGATATAATGCGGCTACAAATTTTAAAAATACATGTAATATATGATTCTATAATTTAACTGTTGATATTGTTAACTGTGCTTTACAAGATTAATTTGAGATCTAAACATTTTTTCGACTGGGTCGAAACAAAACGCAATTAACAACGCATTCGTTCAGAGGTCGAACTGGTCGAAGGAATTTCGTTTTAATTTGTGGCCAAAAGAACGACCGTATTTGATTTTGAACGAATCAAAATGGATGCTGGGTGTGAATGAACTGTATACTGAAACCAACAGCTTTTCAATAAATTGTGTCGCGGGTTCGATTGATGATAAAATTCCTACGTAGGGGTATGAATTTAAAATTTTAAACAGTGAGCAAATCGGATTTCTTTCCTTTGCAGAGTCACTTTGCTTATTGTTGAAATCAGTAGTCACTGTGTCGGTAATGTGTTTTTATTACGGGATTCTGGGCGAGCCCACAGCCCGCAGGTGGTCATAAGATGAGGATTTCCAAGGAAATGTTTCATGTCGACCGTAATTCGCGAGTGTTTGATGTGTCGGTCTATCCATGTTCATGTACGTCATGGCGAAAAAATTCGGACTAATGTGTCGACGCGCTGTTTGAGCGGTCAGAAATGAAATGCATATACAGGAAGGAACCAACACAACCCTGACAACATGTACCAAAATGACAGAGGAAGTAGACAGAAGACATGGCGTGAATGGTAACAGCAGCAGTAAGGGTACAAGTGATGATGTTCCAGTTCACAGCTCAGCTATCAATGCCACTGGAGGAAGACTCAAGTTCTTCAAAGGTTCGTACTACCTATTCATATTTCTCAGTCACATTATTTAATTAGATTAGCTTAAAAATGTAAGCAGAATTAATAAGAACTCAATATGAAGTTTACAAAATGAAAAACTAGAAAGTTTTCATGCTCTGATAATTGCACAGATATAAGCACACTTGATGGAGTTGTGAATTATCCTCATCTAGCCTCAAGCCTATTGTTATTTTGTTTCGCAACCAGCCTTGATCACTGTACCAGAAAAAAACACAATTTAAATAATCATTTTTTTTATGCATAGTTTAAAAATACTACCTAACAAAATTGAAGTTATCAGATATTGTGTTCGATAAATTAAAATGATTAATTTAGCAAAATAAAAAGAATATTGAGTAAAGCTGTTTGGGCTGTATAAAAAAAAAATTGAAACAAATGCATGTTACCATATTGACTTATCTGAACAAAAAATATTTAAATAAATTATATGTGTTAATTATTATACATAATTGAAACATTAAAGAAAAATAGTTCACTGAAAAATATCATATTTAATGAGTCTTTGTACTAAAACCAGATATCTAAAATTATTTATTGCATATTTTTTTGTATTACCAGGTTATTTTATTATTATTAAGTTATGTTACTTGGTTAGGTTACATTATTTTACAATTTTAAAAAACTNTAAATAAATTATATGTGTTAATTATTATACATAATTGAAACATTAAAGAAAAATAGTTCACTGAAAAATATCATATTTAATGAGTCTTTGTACTAAAACCAGATATCTAAAATTATTTATTGCATATTTTTTTGTATTACCAGGTTATTTTATTATTATTAAGTTATGTTACTTGGTTAGGTTACATTATTTTACAATTATAAAAAACTTTAATATTTCATTACTGGTGGTAGGACGTCTTATGAGTCTGTATGGGTAGGTATCACCACCCTCCTTATTTCTGCTGTGAAGCAGTGTTGCGTTTCAGTTTGAAGGGTGGGGCAGCCATTGACCTGAGTCTTTAGAACTTATGTCTCAAGGTGGGGGGCGTATTTACGTTGTAGATGTCTATGGGCTCCAGTAACCACTAAACACCAGGTGGGCTGTGAGATCGTCCACCAATCTAAGCAAAAAAAAATCTATCATATTTATGTATTGATTTTTAAATTATAAGTACTGATTCAGTATTATTATATAATAATATTTTGTAAATTTTGTGTCATCAATATAAACTTACAAAACAACAGACCCCGAGTCTCTCATAGATTCTACTCAGTGATGAAACTGCAGTCTTAATTGGTGGTAAAGTAGTATCATATTAGAAGCACCACTGTAAGACCTTGATTAAAAAACTATTGCTCTGATTTTTATGGTGCAGGCCTAAAATAAATTCTAAATTTATTTCTCATAGCTTTGGCATTCCTGGGAATTACTTTTTGATTAAATTATGAATGTTGTGTTATTTTATCATACCAGAAATCTAATGCTGCCATTAATTTTATACATTGTACTTTCTTCAGTTTTTGTGAGCTGTAGACTTAGACTATAGACTAACTTATATAGTTTTAAAAACATAGAAAAACAAATTAAAATGCATTCCTAAGTGTATGCACATTAACAGTTTTTCCCCGTGTGTGCCTAGAGAGAGGTAATTAAAAACTGTGTGTGAAGTGTATTTGGAATTGGGCCTCATAATAAGTCTGTACAGAAATTAGCAAACTTTTCTTTATTGGTCTAGATAGGTGGACAAGCTCACAACAAGTGCTTATCAGGACTTATAAACACAGTATGAGCCATCAAACCAGAATTAATGTGAAACTGGGTGGGCAACCTATGCTTTGACAAATTTTTACATTGAAATTATGATTTATAATTGTCATGTAACATCATAAAACAAGTACTACAAAAAAAATAACTAAAACAACCATATTGTATTTCATAAAGTTATCGTAATATTTAGTTGGCCTATATAATGGAATGTTTGTCTCATATTACACTACTAAACAGTTATCATGAATAAAAGCATAATGCTGTTGCATCTAAAAATCAAAACGAAATCTGTCGATACAGTAATGATATCACTTTACAGAACTAAGAAATTGAAAAAGCAATTTTGTAGCACATTTGAAACTATGCAAACAAACTAATTAAAAACATATTTCGCTAGCGTTTTTTTTATTCCATATATCTTTAAAGCATTATGAAAGTCTTATTTTATGTTTGTGCTTTAACAACTTTTCTAATGGCCTATAAGATGTGATAAAAATATGTTCATGCATATTTTCGATTTCGAACTCGTCTTGTCTTGCTATTCTCTGTGCTCAAAACTCTTTGACCATGTCTAACACTTAAAAAAATCTCAAGGATAAAAACAGCAACCACTTTGCAAGCGTATTTATGCATTTGAGTCAATCCCAAACATTGATTTGTTCAAGCCCATTTAAATATATTTACTGTGACAGCAAAGACCTCAGTACCATTAATAACTACTTTTTTTTTTCAAACCTTAAGGCCTGTGCTCATGAAACATTGTTGATTTTCTATTAAAATGATTTTAATTGTCTGTACTGTATATCTGATGGTTAAATTGTGCAGAGTAAGGTTTGTATATTCTAGCCCTACTATAAATGGGCAATAAAATTCTTTAAGTAATAAATAAGCAATACTGAATTATGCTATAATAATAATAAGTGTTAAAATAAAACAGTAAGCAAATAAATTATTATTAAAAACAAACAATTCAAGCAACTTGTCATATTTAGATATCTAATGTAAACTCAAGATAATGCACTAATGTAAAGTGTTCCTTGTCCTAATCTAGTTTTGCTTATTTAGTACAATAATAATACATGATTATTATGAAGGAGAGGAGGAGAAAGTAGGCATTTTATTTATTAAAGAAATAAGGTCAACATGTATTGAATGTGCCAGTGTTGACAGTAATTAGGATTAAACAATATTGTATTATATTATCTAAATAGTATGAATTTGTTCATACAAGTAAATAATGAAATGATTGTTTTTTTCAGATGGAAAATTCATTTTGGAACTGGTACGCGGATGCCCACGTGAAGGCGAGCGGGCTGGATGGGTGTCAGTGCCGCGGAAGACATTCTGGCCGCCCGCCGCCGCGCCCTCCACTCCGCCTGCTGGCGCCCCGCCCTCCGCTGCGCTCAGCCTCTCCGACGATAATAGTTCCGTTCAGTCCTCGCCTTGGCAGCGCGACCATTGCTGGAAGCAGGCAACGCCGCGTCGAAACATATCCAAAGAGTTAGCAATGTACTACTGCAGGCCGAGCACGTTGCAGATATCTGCTATAAACACGGCAAGCCGCCTTAAGCGGAGACGGCCCTATGATCTGACCCATCTCGACGGGCTCGTGAATGGAGGCAGTTCTAAAAAGTCAATCAGTAACGGCATCTACGATAGAAAGCGTAACGGCGACGTGGCATCGCCTGAGCCGCGGGGCGAGGACGCTATCGACGGTGTTACGAAAACTAAATCGAGCTCTGACGACGACAGGTGGACGGATTACGATCGAGAAAAGTACTACCATATGAAATTGAAAAAACCATACCAGTATCGGAAGCTCAGGGTGTACAGGAAGACTCGATCCGCCATAAGGCGTAAAGAGTTAACGAAAACGATTAACAGACTTTACGAACGACTTCCGCCGATTCCGGCGCCCGTTAACGCGAAACTAGCGAGCTGCCGGCAGGAACACATGATGGTTTCTCCAAGAAAACGAATCCTCCGGGAGCTCGAGCGGGTCAGCCTCGAAGATCAAGGCAGCAAACGACGCGCGAAGACCGCCCCCGCGCTCAGCACCGCTTCGTACCCGTCGTCGCCGGGCCCGAGTCACGCGGCGCACAAACCACCGCAAGAAACGCCTACGCGATCTCACAATGGAACTGCTGCACCACGAAAAGAGGCAGCCGTTTCAAAGAACGTGAGCAGCTACAGCATTCATTCCCTGTTAAGCATGCCCGACGAGAGTCCAACTCGACCGGCGCCGCCTCTCCCGACGGAATCTCCGTCGAGCGTACATTCGCCGGACCTGAGCCCGAGTCCGGACGGGTACCGGTACCGGCACTCGCTGGGCGTGCGGGACTCGCCCACGCCGCCGCACGAGATGGCTCGGTACCGCGCGCTGACGCCGTACGCGCGCCACTGGAGCCCGGCCGCGTACCGCTCGGCGGCGCGCGAGGAGTGGCGGGACCTGCCCTACGTGTACGGCTACGGGTACGTGCCCCCCTACGGGTACCGCGCCCCGCCGCCGCTGTGGATGCACTACGCCGTGCCGCCTAGTCCCTGGGCGCCGCTCACGCTGCCCCTCCTCACCGACCACATCCCTAAAGATGAATCCGCTTCAGGTCAGTTTCATTAATCTTTTTGTACGAGTCATGTATCGCACAGGGCACACGCGCATTCACATCAGCACTTTAACATCGCTTTACTCAAATCTTAGTATAAAGTGCCAGTACACGTTCAGCACTCATATACAGCGGTACTCACCACATCAACATAGATAGATAGAATTAGTTACTTGTTAGCGAAGTATATAATAAACAGATTTTCTTTAACTATCAGTGGTTTCTTCCTATCTAAACCTCAAGTTGTGTACGCCACATTCAGAATCACACACCAAAGAAAAATACCTTTTTAGTTAAAATAAGTGCAAAGGAAGTATACTGTGGATCTCCTAAATAATGTTCTTTGTTTTTCAGATTTGCCGCTGAACTTGTCGAAGCACTGAGCAGCGCTGCGCCCGTCGCGAGTCCGACATGCGAGACTGATAATAATCCTGGTGATGTGAAATGTTATTCGTTGAGAGGTCAATCGAACTATTGTATAGATTTTAATCGCATGGTGTGTTAAGTTCCATGATGGATTATGTATTCACGAAGTGCGAATATATCGTCCATAATCATCTCAGTAAGCCCAGTGTTGTGGCTCATGGTCAAATTTTCGAAGCAACATTCCATTGTCGCACCCTTTGATTGGCGCGTGTCAAAGTCCAAAAAGTACATCCCACCTATCTCAGCGTTCGATTGTTTATATGAATGACTAGTGAATTGCGTTTTGCAAACTCGCAAATAATATTTTTGTATAGATCATAGTTTCCGAGCGACGTTTTTTTTTGTTCGGGAATCTATTTACAAACTACTGTATATTACATTAAAATATATTTTAGTATAGATGTATGTATGTATGCAGAGTAATGTGTGTATTTTCATATGAATCATTTTGATATGCAAGTTAAATATTTTAATATTGGCTATTATATTAGTATAAGATGATCAAATTAAAAGCCATTATCAATTGTTAGCAATCAGTGCCTTGGAATATAAAAATATTATGAACATATTTATAAATGAAAGGTGTGACATAAAAATCTGGCTTCGTCCAATTATACAAAAAATATGACAATAGTTTACATAACATGGGTACTGACAGTTTTCTTTAAAAAAAAACTCAAATGATTGTTCAGTAAATAGAATTGATGAAAAATCCTGTTGATTTCATGATATTGCGAAATTCCATAAATATTTATGTTCGATCTCATTATTTAATTTAGAAAATAAAACGAGGTAAAGACTACAGTTTTTTGGGATCAAATTTTGGATGTGTGTTTATGAAACCTGTATGAAATATGTATCTATGCGACCTTGTAAATAGTTTGTGAATGGTGTATTATTGAGTCGTCGAGGAGTAGATTTTTATCGGAGCATTAATTTGCTATACAATATATGTGTAAGAGTTTATTACCTTCAGAATAATTATTGTAATTGTACAGTATTTTTATAATGAGTATTTTATGGTGTTTACGATGAATGATGTGAAGAGTTATAGAGGGAATGTTGCGAGTACGTTGCGCAGTGTTGCCAGCGCGTCGCACGCCGCGCGCCACGAGCGGCCTCTCGCGGCCTCACGCGGGACTAACGAGATTAAACGTAGACGTAGATTAATTGCAATGACAAAGCTACGGGGTTATGTATTATAAGGACAGTTATGACGGTAAGGGACTGATTTCAGATGTAATATTATCATTAAAGGAATTGTATAAAATAGTTGTGTATTCGGAGGCCTATTTGTACACATCGTGTTGTCCGCCAACAAAGTTGACTTAGTATATAAACGAATAGCTGTTAATACATCCTGCTCAATTTAATTCTTGAGTACATGTAGTGTACAACGTTTTGACATAGCGGTTTTACGGGAGGAAATTTGTGTCTAAAAATATTGCACAAAAGTGTATTTTTCTAATGATTTTATTTGCATGTTTTAATAAGTGCAACAACAGACATGAGCAATGTTAATTATTTAAAATATGAAAACAATATCTTCGCTTGAAAGGTAAACGTGACTAAGCGACAATGCGTGAATTTTACAGTAGACTAATCTAAAGTTGAATTACCTGAAAAAAATTATATTTTAACGAATCTAGCTGTAGTAGAATCTAGCTAGTAGCTGTAGGATTGAAATTATTTTAATAGACCTAGAAATATATATATTTTTTGTGCATCGAATATAGTTATTGCCTATCATTTATGTACAAAGCAGTTATTGTCGCTTAGTCATGTTTGCCTTTCAAGCGTCAATATATATTTATGCGTTGGCAGTTTTGAGACTATTAAAAAATTAGTTGTTATACAATTAATAGTATGACGAAAACAAATTTACAGCTAGCTGTCAATAGGAAATCAAATACGAAATGCTCGTGTTGTGTACATTTCAATTTTTCTATTTGAATTGTATGAACATGACCACAGTCCAAATGTGAAGATGATTTATATATTACTGTACTAGAAATTTATATAATACTTGGTGCTTCTCATTCTCATTCTCTTGTGTGAAGGACGCGATTAGCGATTGACGATTGTTAAAAACGATGAAAGATATTTTTGCTTGTACAATGAGAGAAATCAAGGTGTCCTTATCAGTGGAAGGCGTACCATTTTAATGTAAAGGCCTTGTGTGAAAGAATATGGCTTGTAAAGCCTATTTAATAAATAAAAAACCTGTAACAACATAAAAAGTGCTGTCAGCCATTAAAAGTTTTGTGGCCTTAAAGGCGTCGCGCTTTGACAGACCCAAAACTATTATTGTAATTCACTATTTATTTTATTAGTAACGAATTTAGTACATAATGGCGCAATAGTCGATTTGAAATTTTTCATTGAACGATCGCCAATCTCTTCTCTGGTCATGGTGTCCTTCTTCGCAGTCGATCCATTTTCAAACAAGTAGTTGTTTTTTCGCCAGCTAAAGGTCAGCCTCAAATGTCTACTGATTGACAACGTTTTGTTTTCAGTCTGATATTAAAATATTTCTATGATTACTTCAACATAAACTAAACCCTGTCTATTTGCTAATTTATACATTAATACTTATCGTTGTAGTAGTACATACTTTGTATGCCTGTACTGGGAGTCAGTCGGCGACCCTCCCCTCGTCTTGCGGAAGCGTGACCACGCACCGGTTACGTTCATACAAAAATCATCAGTAAAATATATTTTATTTTGTAACGAAATTTTTTACATCGCAAGCACTTTCTGTTTGCAAAAGATCCCACGAATTCAGTAGATTTATTTATAACGAAGAATAGCAAAAATGTTAAAAAATATATTGTTCAATTTGGTCAACTGTAAAGAGAAATGAAATGAGGACCGGAAACTTACATTTTGTACCATTTTTATAATATATATAGGTGCAAATGTTTTTATTTATCCAGTTATATTTAGTAGAGGCTTATTTGAATTATTGATGTTTATGATCAATTACATTTTCCTCCCTACCACACTATTATTTGCCGATGTTGAGAGAAAAAAAAACACATATTTTTGTACTCAAAATTTTGTATGTTAATGAGAAACGTTGGATCCTTTAATAATAAATAAAAGACTTAAATATATCAACGGATGTCTTTAAACCACTTAAAATAATGTATTTATCAAGCGGAAAATAGTGTTATTATCCATTTATATTAAGATGTAGTTATGTACTCGAATAAATATAACTTTTTCAAAAAAATTGTAATTTTTATTGTCGATTTTTTTAATGCGTTGATGTTACCGAGACGGCAATTAGTTTTTCAACTACATAATCATTAATTTTCCAAGGATGGAAGCCAGCTTTATCGTAAGCTTCTCTAGATGTCTTCCGGCAGATTGTTGTTGTTGTTAGTAAGACACTAACAAATTTTTAATTGTATTAATATTATAATGAATATAATCATTAATATTATGAGCTATGCCCTCGGTGGAAGCTCTGTCTACCCATGGACGTCTGTGAGAGCTGATGATATAAACTATGTTTAGTTTTCATAATTAAATACCGCGACACTAGACATAGACGTGTACACTTGCAGTGCCGTCTATAGTAGAATTATTTTGTCCGTGCAGTTTGGGTCATAAAACATAGCCCGGCTAGGGCAATGAGCATGTTGCGCGGGCGCAACGCCATTATCGATAAAAACAAATCAGTCATCGAAGGCAGGTACACGGCGGCGGGGTGGTATACGAAGGGTGGTGAGACATTGTTATGTTATGAGTCATTTATACTTACCTGCAAATTATAGTACAGTATATCGAAGAGAAATTTGTTTTTATGCATTCTTTCTCTGAATTTCTTTAGTGACGCAATGGCTACTCCTTGCTTTTGTATCAAAACAGCAGAATTTATTCAAAATAATATTTGCACATGTTGTTATCAACAATGTGTTAAAATTTTGCACTGAAATAAGAATAGATCTCGAAAAGTTACAAAGTGTTAATTTCTGCCGTTCTCGTTAACTTGCTGCGGCGATATGTGGTGTAAGTGTTCGATTAGTGATTTTTCTTTCATTTTTATCACTAACCCACAAAATGACAAAACTAAATACACTATCGACAACAATAACGCGCATCACTATGCCCGTCCATAAAGCTCGTGAGTTGAAGAGAGAGCGAAATACTCGCTTCACCGCTCCGTTTTTTTATGACCCAAACTGCACGGACAAAATAATTCTACTATAGTGAATAATGACAAATTGTTCTTTCAACCATGTTTTAATGAACTTGGATGACATAGAGAATACACTTAATATTTGAAAAGATTTAGAGGCTCCCGTTATGGTCGTTGTTATATACGTAAAATAATCTCAGTTAATTTAAGTATTTTTTTAAGTCGTTTTTTAAATGAAAAAAAAAACCGCGATTTACTTAGTCGATACCTACGACATGCGTAAAATTATAAAATAATTTTTGGTTCATAAACCAGCCGATTTTTAGATTCGTTGCTACGAAAAATCACTAACCAGCTAAACTGTCGTATTTATTAATTATACCATATTCGTCACCCGGATTCACTCGAGTTATTTACCATTATAAAAAGTTAATCCAAGTTGTGTACGAAGATTCAGCAAATCAACATAGAATTTTTTTCATTTATAATAATATGTATTATAGTACAGACACGTGGTTCGGCTTTAGCTGACAACGTCATCCCATTAAATCCCATGATTAAAAAAATGTGAAAAAATATTGCATTTTTGACACATTCTAAGGTCACATTTATAGATAGATGCTTCTTATGCGTGCCACTGAATTGATAGCGAATTCAGTGAGGCATTGTTAGATTCGCTTGCAGATGCTTCAGTTTAGATGCGGTGTGTTTGTCTATGTATAATTCGAGGGGTGAAAGGCTATTTGGTTTAAGCGACATTTCTCTTTGCAAGTAAAGGTCCGTCTTATTTGGTATTAGTATCAACAATTTGATGTTTGTAATTGAACTTTAATTAAGTTTACTCCATTCAAATAGCTGAAGAAGTTTTTTTTATGATATTTTTTCCAAATTTTAAACATCAAATGCCTCTCCTGTGATGTTACAAAAATGTCGCCTACACCAAATACAAATAAATTACCCTTCGAATTATAAATATAATTTTTAGAATTACGCTTTTCAATACAGTGTTCAAACGCCAATTTAATTATCAATGCTGTATCATGAGTGGAGCGACAACCAGAAGAGAAACAAAGAAAACCAGCCAAAGTTTCGATTTGTGCTTTATTTATGAAAAAAATTGTAAATTATCCTACAATGAATCTCCGAATGAAATAGACTTACATATCGTTTTATGTATCAAATACATGATTGTCGCGGGACACGAGTCGAGTCGGGTCGCGGTTAGAAGAACATAGTCGAAAGTATTATCTACAGGGGCGGCGGTCAGGCGAGCAGCGCGTCCACGGAGTGCGGGCGCCGTCAGTCCAGGATCACGAGCTGCAGCGGCGGCGCCTTCCCGCCCGCGCGCACCGCCCGCCACGGCGCCCGCGCCCCGCGCCGCACCTCCCCGCCGCTCAGCGCGCGCCGCGCCGCCCTGCACGCACACAATCCATTACTGCTGGTAGGACCTCTTGTGACTCCACCCTGCCTATTTCTGCCGTGAAGCAGTAATGCGTATACTGAGTTGACATTTACGTTGTACATGTCTATGAGCTCCAGTAACCACTTAACACCAGATGGGCTGTGAGCTCGTACACCCATCTGAGCAATAAAAAAAACCAGGGCAGGAGGGGTGGGATTTGCTAACAGTTGCCCGAGTGCCTCCAAAGGAGACCTAACAACTCAAGAGCTGATGCTTCGCGAATGAAATGAGGATGGATTTTTAGGTCTGAAACTTAAAAGAGCTTCTATTTCTTTCAATTACCATTATTTTACCTCTAATACCTTTACTTGGCAGCATTTACATTCGTTTTTGTTAGAGAGTCGTATATGACATAATGTCGATTCTCACGGTACCTATAGGCTCGGTGAGCACGTACAACGGTTAAACATTAGAAAGCACTCACTTGGCCGCATCGGTGGCTCTGAAGTATAGGTCGTCGGGGGCGTCCATCCACGAGATCACGTGTCGGCGGCCGCCGCGTCCTGTGATGTTTGTCGGTTTGCCATTTACCTAACACGTACATTTATTATTAACTCAAATCTATCTTTTTATTTATTATTTTTTTTTTTTTTATTAATATTAAAAGCGGTCGTTATAAGTTACAGGACAATCTTCTACAAAACAAGACCAACATAATTCAAATCTAATATGTTTTTCTATATTCTAAAATTAATAATTGAAAAGTATCAATTGTTAACAAACTAGGCGCGTCTCGTTAATTTAGGCATGCTAAATTAGTAACTCGCGAATAATAAAACAAATTGTATATTGGGATGAATCGTTACTATCTGGTACAAAAAGTTCAGTCGATTAGTAGTACATTTTTCTCCTACCTATTCGCTGGTAGCCTAAAAGAGGATATTCCAGCTACTCTCCAAGTGAGCTCAGGGCGCTCAATCTGAGAGGCCTTGCTAACACTCGTAGCGAACTTTTTGGCGGGAACGCGAGGAGTGAAGTTGTGTGATTTGTTTTATTTTGTCTATTTAGTGTTTCTTCAGGTTTAAATGTGTAATAACGGTGCTTTATTAACTGTTTAATATCTGTGAAAGTGCACAAATGTGGGAAAATGAAACAAAGCCGCTGGACGTAACTTCTCGGGATCCTCCAAAAAGTCCACTGAAAAAATCTCAGTAAATGACCACATTTTACTGAGATGATATTTCATCCCCTATCATCTCGTTTCATTTAATTTCATCCCAGTTGATTAATCTCCCAAATTAAACATTTTCATTTTCATTTCATTTCACTCCATATTATCATTTTTCATAAAATTAAGAATATAAATTAAAATAAGACATGACTTAAATGTCTTAGTTACCAGGTCATAAAATTCCTTATAAAATATATACTAGGGCTGGCAAGAGCAGTGGTTCGCATGAGTGTAGAAGTGAGGAGAGTGAGCGGCATAGTGCGAGCGGTACGTACGTGCGCGAAGACGTGCGGCGGCAGCGGCTGTCCGGTGGCCTGCGCGCGCGCGCACATGGCGGCGTACTGCTCGCGCGAGGGCCGCTGCATGGGCGCCGGGTGCTTGTTGGGGCGCTTGGCGGGCGGCGCCAGCGTCTCGCGCGACCGCTCGCCCACTCCTGTGACAACCGCATCATACATGTATGTACAATTGTAACAAGAACAATGGAAAACATTCAACTGTCGAAGGTACAGTACGAACATTCAACGGTAGGTGAAGTCCATGGGTGACGGTAACCATTCAGGTGGGCCGTATGCTCGGCTGCCTACACGGGCAATAAAAAAATAAAAAATATAAATTTAACAAATCACATATCGTTGTTGCAAATTTGAAAACTGCTATGTGACATTCTGGGCCAGAATGATCTTTTGAGATTTTGACTTTACGAAATGGAAGGTTTTTGAAAGGACTTTTCCTATGGTTTCCGAAACAATTAAAGCTCAAGGGTATTGTGATTCCTTAGCTATGCAGTCACATAACGTTTTGATAGTTTTGTTTCCTAGTGTTGGGGAGTGATACTCCGCCCCGCTTAGCCTACAATGCAGTAAAAGTAATAGTAATAAGCTATATACGTCAGTGGTTAACGGGCAGCGATCCGACGCGGTCGTTGACGCGAATAAACATATAATTATACTAAGTGTTTTATTGACCACTCTGATGAAGTTTCCGGAGGACAACTCGACCAACGCACACAAACCCTCACAACACCAAAGACCTCACACTACATTTTCCATAAACTTATGAAATTCATAACATTTACTTTTTCCCCACATTTATTGGAGTTTACTGCTTTAGAATCGATTTACATATATAGGCCCGGGGTATGAAAATTATGGGGACCAAAATCGTACTAGCATGTCACACGAAATGCGTTATGCGCCTGATTGCGCATGTCACACGAAGTGACGCCGGGCTGCTGCGCCGGCAGTCCGCCACAAAGCCTCGTACTGATCGCGCGTTTCTCTCATTATTGTATTTTCATATATTTGTTAGTCGTTTGTTTTGTGTCTCGTTAATTTGTTAATAATCTGTAGTGTATCGTGTTGTCGTAATATAGAACTATTTCTCGTATTGTTTCTCGTATTGTTTCGTTTAATTTTTTATATCCAGTAAACTCCAGTCGTGCGTCGGAGCGGACACACACACTTTTTTTATTTATTTTTATAATTCTCATTTACTAACCTGGTGTTGTTGCTGTTTCCGTAAAGGTAAGCATTTAACAAATTATACATTTATTACTCATTGTTCTAAATACAATATTATCTATTTAATTAAAAGCTTAATTAACTTGCGAAAATATTAAATCTTTTTTTATATGATATAATTCGTTGGTCGTTTGAATATAAGTTAACACGTTGACTGCCATGTAGGTCATTGGTGCCCTACGCGGCGCACTGAAGTAATTATATCGAATTCTGTTACTAAGTTCTACTAAGTTCTTTTGTTTGTTAATGTATGTTTTAGTCTTTTAAGTCGCTTAGAAATAGAGAATTCATTCTGAGTATCTACCGGTTTTTTTTTCAGTATACTATATATTCCGTGTATTAGTAAGGTGATCGAAGAGAGAAATCGATATAATCGATAAACCATGAGCTTCCCTCCACGGTGTCTCCCGAGCGCTATGACATATCCTTCTTCAAACGAGGCTTGTGGAGAGAGTACTTAACGGTAGGCAACCCTGGCAATGCTGAATTCCATGGGCGACGGTAACCACTCACCATCAGATGGGCCGTATGGTTGTCTGCCTACAAGGGCAATCTATACTAATATTATAAAGAGGAAAGATTTGTTTGTTTGTATTGAGTAGGCTTCGAAACTACTGAATCGATTTGAAAAATTTTTTCACTGTTTGGAAGCTAAACTATTCCCGAGTGACATAGGCTATAGTATTTTTTGAAAGAAAAAAAAATGGATCCTTACTAAAACTCCAATAATGTTACCCAAGGTGTAAAAATATTACCTAAAATATTCCATCGCGTGCCCTGCGAAAACTATTGATGATAGAAAAAAATTATGTACTACGACTTTGTAGAACACATATTTACAAAAAAGTGTCGCGACTGCATATGTCCAACTATTATAGTTATGCCGCAATAAGTGTTCTTTTATTTTTAAGAATAAAATAACGTCAAATAACGTTGAAATTTTTGTAAAAGACCCGAGCGGAGCCGGAGCGTGCCGCTTGTAAAAACAAAATTTAAAAAAATTACTTCAATGCGCCGCGTAAGGCACCGATGACCTACACGGCAGACAACATGTTATGCGTGTGGTAAGTGATCGAGTGCGGGGCGGTACTGACTGTCGAGTCCGTTGATGTCGTCGTAGGCGCGGCGCTTGAGCGGCGGCGCGGGCTCGGCCCGGCGCGCCTCCAGCTCGCCGCGGGACAGCACGCGCTCGTACAGCAGGCTGCCGTCTGTAACGCACACGCACGCGTCACGACCTCACTTCTAAACTACTTTAGACTCTAGACTACCTTTTATTAGATTTTATATGACGTAAACGTAAATCTCACTAATCGATTTTATAAATTACTACTGAAACTTTGCTTAGGTAAATATGATACAGTGTCGTGCGTCGAAGGCACTATGACACAGATCTTCCAAAGAGCCAACGACTACAAAAAAAAAATCAATTTAATCATAAAAAACATTTCACTAATAACCATTTGAATTTTTTGGCAAATAGTAACACGGTTTTTCGTAGTGATCCTTAAATTCTTTGAGGAAAGGTGTTATTTATTCTTTAAGTAACGCAGCGAATATGGAGTTTAATTTTATTTAAAGGCAAGTTATGTTAAAGATGTATTGGAGGGTTGGAAGCGCACTGACCTGGTGCCTTGGGCGGTTTGGGGAAGGCGACGTGGTCGGGCACGGGCATGCGGTCCTTGGGCGTGAGCAGCAGCCACTCGTGCGTGGCGGAGCGGGACAGCGGCACCCCGCGCGCGGCCGCCAGACGCGCCGCCACCGCGCCCACCGGCCCGCGCACGCGCGCCGCACCTGCCGCACCGCTCGCGCTGCCCGCTTCCGCCCCCGCGGTGCCTGGGCCGACAGAGCGTCACGTTCACATCAACATATTAACAACAGATTATTATGCAAAAATAAATACTAACCTAACCAAAAGATATAGATTACAGGTTGCTTTCATTGTTGATTTTGTTACAACTTTAAGAGAATGTTGTCTATTTTAGAAAAGTATAATATTCATTGGAAAATTTTATAGATCAATTAAACATCTGTTGTCACAAAGCTTTTTATGATATGGAAAAAAAAAACACTTGAGCTTTGCACTTTCTTGGCCGACTTTAACAGATATTTTGTCCAAGTTTCATTAATTTTGTGTTTATTTTTTTATGTTTTTAAACTGAAAAACTTATTAGAAGAACTATTAGGAACATTTAAGAAATCCATTATCTTGGGCTCAGTGCGAGTTTTTTTAACTTCTCGTTCGCGTAAAAGAACACTCTTTGTACGGAGTTGGAAAAGCGCCCCTAGCGGCAAATGTAGTGACTTAACTTTTACGTGATCGAGAAGTTAAAAAACTCGCATTAGGCACACGAGTTAGAGCAGCCTTTCCAAAGTGGGCGATAACGCCCCCTTGTGAGCGCTGCAGGCCTAAAGGGGGGCGGTAAGAAACCCAGAAAAAAATGGGGGCGTTGTTTAGAGGCTTGGGAAGCGATTTGTAATTTCATTTAGGAGGACCGACTGAGCTCTCGCTATAGTAGTTTTTAAGTAGGTGAAAAAATGGGGGCGCTAAAAAATAATTTATTCTCAAAGTGAGCAGTAGATGAAATAAGTTTGGAAACCTCTGGGTTAGAGCGTTAAATGGACAAATTTTGTTTTTTTTTTATTAATATTTTTGTTATTAATTTTGATTGCAACTATGACTAGTAGGTTAGGTACTCACAGTCGTTCTTGAGCAGCGTCAGGTTGATGGGCGAGAAGGGCGAGCGCGCGTAGTGCTTAGGGCGGCGCAGCGTGCGGGACAGGCGGCGCGCGAGGCGCGTGTAGGGCGACGCGCGCAGGTAGAAGGCGGCGCGCGTCTTCATGACGGGGCGCGCGCCCTCGCCGCCGTGCGCGGTGGCCACGTGCCGCGCCAGGTGGGCGCGTAACTTGAACTCCTGCACCACAACACAACTATATTATTACGGACGTCCGACAATAATAAGCAGCCAGTCAATATACAATTATGTCACAAATTGAAACTTAATTTAAAGCCAAACATTAGATTCACCTCAGGTGACATTATATTCATTATTTTTATTAACATGTTAAATTATATTCTGCAGTTACATGAAACTATACTATACTTGAGACCTTAGAAATTACATCTCAAGGTGGGTGGCGCATTTACGTTGTAGATGTTTATGCTCTCCAGTAACCATTTAACACCAGGTGGGCTGTGAACTCGTCCACCCATCTAAGCACTAAAGTCAATAAGTAATAAAAAACAAGTTTTGCTTCGAGAAGCTTGTCATTATGAGAGAGGTATTATCATATATGAACGACCTTAAAATTTGAATAAACTCTTTGTTTAGGTCGAGTTATTCCTACTAAAACTTGATATTTTATCATCCAATCCGGAGCTGTAGGTCGGCGGCGACGCGTGACGTACATTAAAGTATTGCAAAATTGAAAGACATGTCAATGTGTGCAAGCTGTAATATGATATTGGCGAGCAGGGGCGTGCGGGGGGGGGGGGGGTGTCACCTTGGCGCAGTTGAGCACGGCGCAGCGGTGGGGCCGGTGCGGCGCGGAGAGCGCGGTCTCGTCAGGTTCCCTCACACTCTTGGTCGTCTCCGCCTCGCTCTCACTGAACACACCCGCCGTCTGTACCGAACAAACGTCTCTTACAATGAGTTATCTCGTGACAGCTGTACTGTGTGCTTAGTGCGAGTTTTTTAAACGCTCTCGATAGCGTAAAAGTTAACTCAACTTTGTATGGAGTTGGAACGTTTACCTACGTTTGCCGCTAGGGGCGCTGTTCCAACTGCAGACAATGTTGAGCTAACTCTTATACTATCGAGAACGTTAAAAAACTCGCACTAAACACACTGGTCTACTGATTCAAAGGCAGCGGTATGTACAATATTTCTGCGTAATAGAAATATTGTTTATTTCCTACATTTAGTTCATGTTGTGTCGTTGCTCCAGCCTGGGTCGTTGCTCCTCTAAATTTCAAACTGGACCCATGAGCCAAGCGACTTAACATCAGAGGGACAGTGAACTTATCAGCCTATCTAAGCTAATTGAAAATAAGTTTTAAAATCATTGCAAATTTACTTAAGTTCCAGTTTGTAGATTACAGTTAACAATCTAATGAAGTGTAAGGTCCTCGTTAACTGGTTAAACATTACATTTTTCAGTTTTGAATTTTTCAAGTATCAAAATTGTTCAATGACCCAAGATGCTTTTGTGGTTACTTGACAAACATTAAACTTAAATAATTACAGAATCTTAGGAACCGAGACAACAATTCCTCTTCATATTGTCTAATGTAAGTCAAACTAAGGTCATATAATAGAGGGGTCAAAAGGCTATTCGGTTTAAACGACATTTTTGTAACTTTACAGAAGAGCCATTCAATAGTTAAAATTTGGAAAAACGCAATAACAAAAAAACTTCTTCAGCTATTTCAATGGGAAAAACTTAATTGAAGTTCAGTTGAGAACATCAAATTGTTAATGCTAATACCAAATAAAACGCACCTTTAATCACAAGGTAAATATCGCTTAAAACACCTTTCGATATGATTTTTTTTGTAAGTGTCGAATAATAACAATTGTCTAGTACACTATACAAATGTACAAGACAAAGTCAGTTTTGTAGTAATTTTCTTACTAAAGTTGTTTTGAAAATATTTTTACAGCACCCAAATGTAGCTTCATAAATGTATGTACCGTAGACAGAGCACCGATATTATTAGTTTTTTTTTTCCTGCCTAAGCTGATAGCCTTGAGAGGCTATTTCAGCGGTACCTTAACTAGTAGGTGAGCTCACGGGGCTCAAACCTGACGACGTTGCTAGCACGAACCCTAGCAAGAGCCGTGCTTCGCAGAATCTACCTCCGGATCGGAATCGCGACCCACTGAGAAGATCCGGCGAGAAACTCAGTGGGCATAATATTAGTAAAACGGGGACACGCTTTAAAGTTTTATTATGTATTACAAAATGTTATGTACGTTGTATTAAAAAAAGGTGAACATTGTGATTGTACAACACTTGCACTGAAACAGTATAATTGTGAATGAAGTGAAATTATTGGTAGTATATTTCAGTTTAATAATTTTCATTTTTGCAAGGTCGTAATGCAATATGTTCTTTTATGTGAATCAAAAAATTTATACGTTTTCTGAGGATTTAAATGTGTCTATCTCATTTTTTACATCACTCGATGTTCTCAATGTATTAAAATAAAATTTTCTATAAAATAATTCAAGCAAATTTGCGAAAAATCTAATTAGATTTTTAGGTTCCGAGTGATCAGGGGCTACCAACATTAGACGGTTTACTGCTGCTGTTAATTGTGCTGTAGTAATTGTTGAAAATCAGAGGTTAAGAAATCCTTTTGTTAAACAATGACAATGCATTAGAGGGTTTTTAAATGAAAAAAATGTTTTTAAAATTAAATCTGCGTTATTTTATTAAGTTTGTTTCATGTTTATGCAGCATCATTATATTATAAATCACTTATGTAAAAGTATCAGGTAAATATTCTACTTTTTTACATTATNTTGTGCTGTAGTAATTGTTGAAAATCAGAGGTTAAGAAATCCTTTTGTTAAACAATGACAATGCATTAGAGGGTTTTTAAATGAAAAAAATGTTTTTAAAATTAAATCTGCGTTATTTTATTAAGTTTGTTTCATGTTTATGCAGCATCATTATATTATAAATCACTTATGTAAAAGTATCAGGTAAATATTCTACTTTTTTACATTATAATTGTTGACATAAACAGATAAATAATAAGTAATTAATATGAATGAGTATTTCCTTAAGATAATTTTTCAGTTAAAATATGACCGAATAAAAATCTAAGATTGTATCATTTGATGAAATATGTGATGAATTCGAAAAAGGTCTTATAAGCCCTAACGGGCCCTTTTCTCTATTATTTATTAAATTACATATCAGTGAATAAAATTTAATTTGAACTTTGAAATAAGCATCCAAACGGTTCGTTATTGTTTCGCAGCGGGTCGCCACTAGAGCCATTAGTGCTGCCCTCTATAGCCCCGTCTCGGTCCCTATTGTAATTCCGGAATTTAAAGAAGTTTTGATATTGTGATCTACAATAAAGAATAATTAACAATTTGTAATGATTTCCGTTAACAGTTCAATGTTGCTATACGATGATTTCTTTTATGTTTTTCTTTTTTTGCATTAAGATCTATTTATGAGTTTTATGTATTTAAATTTTCACCTTTAGACCGCCATATTTTTTCCAGTACTGCCAACATGTACCACACAATCTGTACTGTAAATGCTGTGGTCCCCATGAATACCACTGGTTTGAACTTGTAACTGTTGACAATAAATAACACAAAATTAAAATGAAACAATGAAATAAAATATTTTAACAATTAATTTAATCTTAATTTTTTTATGGATAAACGAAAATACTCTTAAATTATATTTAGTCGTTATTGTTTTAGAGCATAATTTACCTTGACATGATGCACAGAGTTGCGGCGCGGGCGTGCCGTTTGTGCCTCCGTTTAGGACACCGCTTTTGCTACCACTGCTGTTGTTCGTAATTAACGCCGGATTCGGTTTGTTACTGAAAATATATAACTAGAATTTAGAATTTGTTGTCTCCAATTCGGCATTGTTGAAAATAAAATTCATTCTCATTATCTAACAGCAAATTTTAACTCCGAACGAAAAACTCTCAGTTTAATTAATTCTTAAACTAAACTGGACTTTATAATGTGACCTTCACACATACAAATCAACAAAACTGGGTTAAGATCGACTTTCAAGATTCATTAACATAGTTTGTAACAAATCAATTTTAGTTTTATATAGTTATTTTCGTATCATATAATGTATGTATTAGCAACATATAATAATATTTATGAAACAATAACCCAGGAAATAGTTATTATTAGATTAAATAGGCAGCGCAGGACCAGTCTTTGTAGCGAGGCTTGGGGGAGGTCTATGTCCAGCAGTGGACCTCTGTGGGCTGATAAGAAGAAGAAGAACCCAGGAAATAGTTGTATTATATATTTAAGCAAAATAATAATAATAATAAAGAAGTATAGTTTGTCGGTACAAACACTCACTAGTTGGGAATGTACACTTGTTTCAGTTTTGACTCAGCTTCGACCGCTTTCACGCGTTTCTGTTGTACGTAGCGATCCGTCGTCTTCCACATGTAGTAGTACTCCACTAAATTCTTTAACGTTTTCCATGGTAACTGTGACGAAACGAAAAACTAAAGAGCTTACATTGAAGAAATATATTTTTGATAATAATATTATTATTACCTATGGTTAATATATTGATTTTAAAATCTGGAGAAGAAAGGAAACCATTGTCATTAAAGTATGTATGATGCTTTTTTTTTTATTGCTTAGATGGGTGGACGAGCTCACAGCCCACCTGGTGTTAAGTGGTTACTGGAGCCCATAGACATCCTCCACAACGTAAATGCGCCACCCACCCTTCAAACCGAAACGCATTACTGCTTCACGGCAGAAATGGGCAGGGTGGTGGTACCTACCCGTGCGGACTCACAAGAGATCCTACCACCAGTAATTACGCAAATTATAATTTTGCGGGTTTCATTTTTATTACACGATGTTATTCCTTCACCGTGGAAGTCAATCGTGAACATTTGTTGAGTACGTATTTCATTAGAAAAATTGGTACCCGCCTGAGATTCAAACATCGGTGCATCGCTCAACAAGAATGCACCGGACGTCTTATCCGTTACGCCACGACGACTTCAAAATGATGAAGAAAAGTACTACTGAAATCTTATCATGTAAAGTTCAAAGTAAGAGGATTCAGTCGATACTGATGCAGTATGATTCTTCACAGTCATTCATGATAATGTGGATCGCAACAGCTTTTGTCTTCATTTGTAATTGTCGAACTCAGTGCACTGTTGTATTTCATTGAATATGTATTAATGCTGTCTATATCGCAAGCAATCTTTAATCTATGGTATTTTTACTCTTTCAGTTCGCGCTGACTTTTTGGCGGGAACGCGAGGAGTGAAGTTGTGTGATTTGTTTTATTTTGTCTATTTAGTGTTTCTTCAGGTTAAAATGTGTAATAACGGTGGTTTGTTAACTGTTTAATATCTGTGAAAGTGCACAAATGTGGGAAAATGAAACAAAGCCGCTGGACGTAACTTCTCGGGATCCTCCAAAAAGTCCACTGAGATCTTAGTAAATGACCACCGTTTTACTGAGATTATATTTCATCCCATATCATCTCATTTCATTTCATTTCATCCCAGTTGATTAATGTCTCAAATTAATCATCTTCATTTCATTTCACTCCATAATATCATTTTTCATAAAAATATGAATATAAATTAAAATAGGACATGACTTTAAGGTCTCAGTTACCAGGTCATAAAATCCCTTAAAAAAAATCAGATCGCGCTCATTTCGTTGATTCCGTTTTCGAATTTTGAAAAGATAGTTCAGTTGTACCAACATCCTATTAAATATTATAATTTTGTTTTTAAATCCAAATACCATTGAATTTCTTCCCTTTGAACGTTCAATGAATGAATTGGCAAGGAAGTTATTGCAGAATAACAATGAGCCTTATGCAATAGGTTATAAGGTGCAATACTAACAAAGTCCTGTCGTATATCAGCGAAGTCCTTTCCGTATTTGTCGAGTGCCTCCTCGAACAGGTTGGCCTCGGAGGCGGACCACTCCTCCATCTCGTCGCGGCACAGCACGGGGCCCGACGCCGGCACCAGCGACGACAGCGCCGACTCTATGCTGTAGCCAGACTTGTGGAGGGTGTCCATCGCGTGGAACTGCAAACATATTATGATCGTTTTAGTTAGTTTCTAGCTCTTTTTTTTCTACCTAATCTTGTTATAATACGAATTTCGAGGCAAGAATATTTAATTTAATTTTGGCATATTAAGACCAAAGTATTTTTATACAACTCAAAACATTGATTCAAGTATCATGTTTTAAATTATCCATGATTATTGTAATACTAGACAGTGTGAAAATCAGTGCAAGCTTTCTTTTTGCAAGATGTACCCACCTTTTCAAACTGAACCTATCGACTAGTTGTTATTAATACAATGTTCCAAAGTTATTTATACATATAAGGTACATGACCTTGGTAGAATTAAACAACAAAACTGTTTGACATCGCAATGCCACACGCACAGTCAATTCTCTGCACGATGATCTTATCAAAACCAAGATAAAGCAGGATAGAAGATATGATTTACCAGTGTGATGTCCCTGCTCGCGGCGGCGGCGGACATGTGCAGCGAGGGCTGCTTGACGCTGGAGGAGCAGTCGAGGGCTCGTGCGAACGTGCCCACGGACCGCGACACAACTAAGAACTGATCTATCTGCCGGTCCGTGAGCCCGTGCTCCGGTGTCCAAACCAACGTTTCTAATTCTTCACTGATCCGTGGGTCCTCTTCGCCTGGAAAACACAATTTACACCATTAATTGAGTTATGAAAGATCTCATATAATAGTTAGACAAAATTATATTCTCTTCAGATAACTCTTATTTTATGTATTTATATCTCTGTTTATCAGTGCCTTATGATAGAAAAATAGCAACCATTCAGATCTTGTGGCCAATGCCACCGCTTTCACTTTTAATTGAATAAAGTAGGTAGAACTGAAGTTTCATAACATTAGAACAACCACTAAAATAGTCAACAATACAGAATTGCTTAGCGGCCTAAACTCACAGGATAGATGGTGTATCAATCAACTCTAATAACATGCTACCGGTACCTAATATAAGTAGGAGCGTTGGTTAAGGAAATAGGGTAGGTAAAGATTTTAATTAAAGGAATTACTATGTTGAAAAAAGGATGTGACTAACTACTAGTAGAAGGTTGGAGTTATTTATCAATAACATCTGACTGACACTCTCTCTCTCTGGTCATCTCTGGTTTGAATTATTTTGTAAGCTCATTGACACACAATTTTATATTTATAAAGATGGAATAATTTGAATATAGGGGCAATCCACATTTATTCAGATTAGTACTGTAAGGTCTTTAGTACCTTTATCCTGTTGGAAAAAAAATACAAAAAAATGTTCTAAATCTTTAGTTTATTTGTTAGAATTGACATACCTTCTTTTAATAAATTAGTTACTTCAGTCTGATATCTACTTCCAACTCTGATTTCTCCCTTATCTGCTAATAAAGTCTTTTGTGAAGGATCAAATACTAAACAATAAAAAAATGCGTCCTGAAACAAAAGAGAAAAGTTTTTTAATTAAAATTCAATTTTATTATTTTGATTTTCCTTTTGGTTACTTGAACTTTAAAATCTTCTTTAATCTTCATAATTGGATACATTTCAATATAATTTTATATAATCAAGATCAGACTTTAATGAAATGGAACGTTTGAAACATTTTATTGTTTGACCAAAACTTACTTCGAGTTTTACAAGACGCAACTAATTAATTACTTTTAAAAGACATGTAATTATAATTCAGGTCAGTATTGAATATTAGTGGACTAATTTAAAAAAATCTTTGACACATACATAATGAGCTTTTGAGTACATTATCTGTGGTTTTTTCTAATTACAAATTGACACTCTTAGGGTAAAGGTCTATCATAATTAAGACAGAGGTATTAACATTAAGAGTAATATTTTAATACTTCAAATCACTGAATTTTATATTTATACTAATATTATAAAGAGGAAAAATTTGTTTGTTTGTTGGTTTCGAATAGGCTCCGAAACTACTGGACCGATTTGAAAAATTCTTTTTCCATTAGAAGCCGACATTGTGCTTGATGAACATAGGCTACTTTTTTTAATTTTTTTAAAAAATTTTTTAATTTTTTTTTTGGTTTCATGTGTGTTTTAATGTTTCCGAAGCGAAGCCAGGGCAGGTCGCTAGTATATTTATATAGGAACGATTAAGCAGATTATGCAATACACTAAGCCTTTATTTCATAATATAACCGTTTATGTACTTTAAAACAATCGTATTAAATCTTTAATTCCATGTTTAATCAGAATTTTTATTTTTATATTTAAATTCCCAATTAAATTGTTCATCTCTATGGTGTTATCCAAATTAATTTTAGTATCCAACTGGTTAGTTTTTATGAGAGACTAGCCGTACTTGCCCGCTTCGCTGGGCATTTAAAATTGACATTATTATTTATTGTCATTATTATTATTAGCAGTCCAACACTCATATAAATATTAGGCTATCCATTAAGTACATGTATTTTCTACAAGGATACCAAGTTTCAAGTCAATCGGATGCATGGTTCAGTAGTTATAACGGAACATCCGTAAAAACTACTGTAGATTTATATATTAGTATAGATATCTTAGATTCGAAAAAGGCAAAGGGAGAACGGTTAAAAACAAAAACCCCGATATGTTCTCCTCCTCGCGTCGTTTCCTCACTGCTGAGGGTCGTGACCATTATATGTCGACAGGATTTTGCTCCTTGTAATGTACCGCCAGCGCCTCCGATCATTGGCCACATAAAGGGTGTCGTGGAATGGGACCTCTAGTGCGATATGCTTAATGTAGTTTTGTTATCAGTGCGTTCGTATCCCCGGGTACATACTCACATCCTTATTGAGATAGCTGAGCAGCGACTCCGTCTCGTTGAGTAGCGTGACGGTGCACTTGCCGCGAATGTGCGTCGCCGGCAACGTTTCCACGTGCCTGGACAGGAACAGCTCGCGGTGTTTCGCTTGGTGCCGCTGCTTCGGCGCCAGGCCGTCTGTACCTGGCAATTCGGTAGATTCCTCCTCCATCGCCGCTGTAACAGAGAAAATTATATTGTTATTTTTTTTTTATTGCTTAGATGGGTGGACGAGCTCACAGCCCACCTGGTGTTAAGTGGTTACTGGAGCCCATAGACATCTACAACGTAAATGCGCCACCCACCTTGAGATATAAGTTTTAAGGCCTCAAGTATAGTTACAACGGCTGCCCCACCCTTCAAACCGAAACGCATTACTGCTTCACGGCAGAAATAGGCAGGGTGGTGGTACCTACCCGCGCGGACTCTCAAGAGGTCCTACCACCAGTTAATATATCAACCGTTTTTACAGCGTCGCGTCAACTTATATCGACAGATCAAGTGAGCTCGACCAGGAAGAAGGTAAGACAGCATCATCTAATTCAATAAACCGTTTATAAAAATCACTATCACTACATAGTATAAAACAAAGTTGCTTTCTCTGTCCCTATGTATGCTTAAATCTTTAAAACCACACAACGGATTTTGATGCGTTTTTTTTAATAAATAGAGTGATTGAAGAGGAAGGTTTATATGTATAATAACATACATTAAATAGTGTAGAAATCAATAATAAATTACAGTTTCCGAAGCGAAGCGAAGGGCGGGTCGCTATTTTATTATAAAATTTAGTCAGTAAAAGTTGCTATAGAGAACACACATCATAAGTTTAGAAGCCGGAATAGTAATTAGTACCTTTTCAAAACTACAGTAATTCTATAGTACTTGTAATAAAATAACTAACATGATTCCGATTTATGTTTGTATATATGCTCTTTGACACACAACTCGTACGTAATATCCAAAATCAATGGCTTCAATAGAAAATTGTGTGGCGATCGTACGAGGCGAGGGTCCAAGAAGGGTGACGAATCCGCTACATTGTCTTTTTTGTGTATTTGCGACAATGCATTATTTAGTTGGTACGCAAACCTGGGCTTCTTATTCGTCATAAAATATGTTGAGTTCTCATGTAGAGCATCAAATCCGGTTTTTACAAATCGCGATTACAAGATAGTAACCCCCCGAACCGGTAACAATCAAGACTCATGCGTAAATATTCAAAATATATGAAGACAAATTTAAATGCACTGAATATTATAAAATCATCAGTAGATTGAATATATAATGAGAAAACATAGTATAGAACTATATTCAAATACTTTACTAAGCAGGGATTATCGTTTGCCGTATTCGTAGTTCTAAAATGATAGAAGCAGAGCAGGGGGTTTAAGTGTAGTTCATTTAAAAAAAAAGTTTTTAAGGTTCTGGTGGTAAGGACCTCTTGTGAGTCCGGGCGGGTAGGTATCACCGCCTTGCCTATTTCTGCCGTGAAGCAGTAATGCGTTTCAGTTTGAAGGGTGGGCCAGCCGCTGTAAATATACTGAGACCTTAGAACTTATATCTCAAGGTGGGTGGTGCATTTACGTTGTAAATGTCTATGGGCTCCAGTAACCAATTAACATTAGGTGGGCTGTGGGCTCGTCCAACCATCTACGAAAATTATATAATTCTAATACTATACAGTTATCAATCCCAAATGGGGTATTTGGGTTCATCAGAATCGGGGTAGAGCACAGCAGCCGGCGAGCAGGTGTTGCGAAACGAGCCCACGTCAACTTTTGATTTTAACGTACCGATGTGCGGCCGCCATTACGACACGCGTCCTACACGTACACACATACGTATCGACAAACATGTCCGACTTTCCGTTGGAATCTTATTAAATTAATGCATCGTAAGAGATGCGTGCGTGTAACAGTCGTGTTTATTATTGTTTCAACAAAAATCCGTTTTGGTAATCTCACGAGACCTTGCCGAGTGAATGCCTTAACGTGGTTGGGTTGTAGTACCTGTTTTATTGAGAAAGTGGGAATACACAGTACAATTTAAACTCGTTATCAGCGAGAGTTTAATACCAAACTTTACATCATACGCGCGTTGTTTGAATCGACCTTCGACGACTTATGATTTTATTTCACGTCTTATCTCTTTTACATCTGTTGTATTTTTAAATGTAATGATGATAAATAATGATTTTGTATTCGAGTTAATTTTTGGAAATGGAATTTACAAAACATGTAATTTGAAATCGTAAATGAATAACCATTAATGTTGTTTTTTGCAGGGTAAGCCGAGCTGGGGTGTGGACGAGTAGGTAAACAAACAAAAGGGAGGCTCGGCTGCAAAGAGCTCACAAAAGCGCGACCCCTGCCGAGAAGTTGGTCGTGTCGTATTGACGCGTGCCCACGTCACAGCGGCTACCATCATCATCATACCAATCTGCTGACCTTGCATGCAGTTACAACAATTCCTTCCCCTAGTCTTACATTCGTCCAACAATGGTTTTACTACAAACATAGATACACAAAAAAAAATGACGAGGCCACGTCACGTCTATTATGGGTCATTAAACTATTATTCAATCATCTATTTTAATACGTTTTAATTGGTTTGAGCCCTATCTGTCTTTGAACTGAATTTTTCAACGTAATGTTTATCACCTTCAAAAAGATTAACTTTGACAGTTACACACGTGTCGAGAACCAATACAATTTTACTTTGATCCAATATCCTGAACAGGATTAGTAAGTAGGATTAAAAAAATATTATTTCAATATAATACTTCTAGTCAACAAATTTTTGCAAGTTCGATTTAACTTAAAATAAAAGCGTATTTTTTAGTTCCCAAGTTTACGTTACGTTTATGTCTTGTTGGTTAAAAACGTGTACTATTTCCCGGACATTTTAAAACGTAATATAATCGATTCCAGGATTATTTTCGTAATCAATAAAGCCCGCAACGTAAGTTTAAATTGTTTTAAGAAGATTCGAGACCCTGGCGGTGGGGTGGCTCGAGGGGTGAGTTATAACGGCGACTTATTGTTGGCACACATACACGTATAGACAGATACGTCAATAGGCAACATGTATAATAAAAGTCGTTCGGTGAACTGGAATTAAATTAAGATCAATATTCTGCGACTCCTTAGGAATATTCGTTATCGCATGTTATACGTCTCCAAAACCTACTTTATTACTATGCATAATATACATAAAATTACTTAATTTATTTTACCAAAATTAAATTTAAACTAGTATTTAAAACTAGTTAATTCGCTTCATTGTTCGAATTTTTGTGTACTCGTAGTTTATAGAGTCAAATTATATAAGTAGCTATTCAAGGAACATGCAGTGGTGGTATACACGTAGACACAATATTAAGCATTTTGAATTTAATTTAAAATTCAAACAGTAGAATCGATTCTGAAATACTGTAATAAATTGTTACTCCAATCGTAATTTACATAAAAAAAATATTAAAAACTACACGTGTACAAAGTACAAAAATATTTATATCGTTTGTTATTCGTTTTAAAAACATAAATGTTTATGAAAAACATATTTTGTAAGTGTTAACCTATTTTGACCTGTCTAAAATTTTTTTAAGATGGCATGATGTATCTTTAGGTTAAATTTTTATCAAAATTATGATAAATAGCGGCCCGCTCCGGCTCCGCTCGGGTCTTTAACCAAAAAGGATATTTGACATTTTTCTATTTTTTTAAATAAAAGATCACTTATTGCGGCATAACTATAATAGTTAGACATATGCTGTCGCGACACTTTTTGTGAATAACAATGTGTTCTATAAAGTTGTAGTATTTTATTTTATTTTACTATCAATAGTTTTCGCAGGGCACGCGATGTAAAGAATATTTTAGGTAATTTTTTTACACCTTGGGTTACATTATTGGAGTTTTAGTAAGGGTCCCTAATTTTTTTTTCAAAAAAGATTATAGCCTATGTCACTCGGACATAGTGTAGCTTCCATACAGTGAAAGAATTTTTCAAAGCGGTTCAGTAGTTTCGGAGCCTATTCAATACAAACAAAAAAACTTCCAAATATCACCGAAAAAAGTAATAACGATCTGAATTCGATTTGAAGTAGTTGATGATAATTATTTTATCGATACGATCGTGACGATTTTCGATAGCCAACACTAAGAGACGCGGCGGCGGCGAGGGTCTGCCATTTACCGCGACGACGCCCCGCTCCGGGGGCGGTCGCCGAATTGCGGGGGATTTACTTTATGATAATTATTTCGATTGCCATCGCGAGGAAAAGGAGGAGTGAACTCGAAGCGGTCTCGAATACGCTGTAATGTTTGTGAAAATCAATGCTTTTATCTCGTATTTCTTATATTATATATAGCCTATTTATATATGTATAACGTATATTACATATAGTACCTAGACCAGCCATAAGTTCTGTTTACAAATGAAAATTTTTTTTTTAAATGAAGCTTTTTTTTATTGCTTAGATGGCTGGACGAGCTCACAGCCCACCTGGTGTTAAGTGGTTATTGGAGCCCATAGACATCTACAACATAAATGCGCCACCCACCTTGAAATATAAGTTCTAAGGTAGTTTCTCAGTGTAGTTACAATGGCTGCCCCACCCTTCAAACCGAAACGCATTACTGCTTGCTTCATGGTAGAAACAGGCAGGGCGGTGGTACCTACCCGTGCGGACTCAGAAGAGATCCTACCACCAGTAAAATTACGTACATATTTCATTAGAAAAATTGGTCCACGCCTGCCAGATTCGAACACCGTTGCATCGCTCGACAGGAATGCACTTGACGTTTTATCCTTTAGGCCACGACGACTTCGAGGTCGATAATGCATACAATTACAATTACAAACAAATTAAGTTTCGGAACCCGAATCAAGCGCTGAGTTCGAAATATGCACCGTTTTGAAATAGCGGATACCATAATTTTTGAACTAGAAGGTAATATGTCAGATTTCTTGTAATTATATCTGAAGTCAGAAAAGCCAAATTTCTTCGCTGCAGCAATGGATTATATATAAAGGATGGTACAATGCCGGCTCTTAACCCTAGATCACAAATATTTCTACTCTCAATAAGAATAATGGTGAGTTACAAAACATTTTAAGAACCTTATTTATTACTGAACAACTTAACAAATGAATCTTATTTATTACTCATG